CACACATTCCGCTTTGCACGTATAGTCCAAACAATATCGAAGGAAACACTGAAATTAAAATAGGCACTGGATCATGCATGGTAGCAAGGCATAAAGGTACTGAGGTAGTAACAAGTACAGGGTTACCCCACCCACCCAGCATCTGTGCAAATTTATTGGAACAAAAGAAAGCATTTGCATAAGAAAAGAGTTCAACTCCCACAGGAATGGTTTGGGCAACCAACATGGTCACCATTTCATTGTTTTGGAATACCAATATGGCCGCCTTGAGGTCATGTGAAAACACTCTCTATACTTCTGTACAACAGGAATGTACACCATGCACTCCCTCGAGTGCATGATTAGCTGTACATTTACTTCAGTGTTTCCTTCGTTATTTTTTGGACCATCTGTGCAGATGTCGTGTGGTTCAGTTCCCGAAAGGCTTGACATCTAGAATATTTTCTATCTAGTCTCTAAAATAAAATACTCTTGTTGGTGGCCTTGTAGTGATGATATCAACTTTTGTAGCAGTCAGTCGAGAAAGCAAAAATTTTTAAGGTTCTCCTTTTTACTGCATAAGTTGGTGAAAATCGTCACGGCATGTCACTGATTTAGTTACCTCTATCAGGGTTCTATCTGGGATTTATCATTTGGGGGAGAAGTCTCGAGTGCAAAAGGTCACAAGCTTCCTGGGGGGGTGGGGTGTGCCCCCCCTGAAATGTTTTGAAATGAATATGCGCTGAGATGCAATCTAGTGCATTTTGAGACAATTTTTAGAAATTTGTTTCAAAATAAGAATATTCTCTATTTTTCCTTGTCATATAGTGTCCTTAGACAGTGAATGATTACTTTATTTGTACTGGCCTCGTCTTGTCTGGATGATTTTTCCGATATAGGTTCTTATATACTGTAATGATAACAATATTTTTTTTGGGGGGGGAGGGGAAGCTTCTACCCCTCAGATACCCTAGATAGAACCCTGTCTATCAGATACCTGCACTCTGTTGTTTAGAAGAGTTGGTCATTGCAAAATAAGACCATTTCTCAGTTGTTCCAAGGCTTAAAGAAAGACTCATTTTTGTACTTGGCCTCAATTTGATAGTGAGGACTCCAGAACTAGGAAAAAGCTTAGAATGGATCATTGCGCCTTTTAGGCCACTACTAAGTCTTCAGACTGCAAGCATTCTCTTAGTTTCTTTATAGTCCGTGGAGTGGCACGCCGGGGGGACTCCTATTTAAAAGTGACAGGGATGCTTGTCGGAAATTTAAAATGAACTCTTTAAGTCCCAATGGTGACCAACACCAATTTTCTCCCAATGATATCCATAAATTGTCAAGAGATTGGGTTATGAGAATTAATAAAATGAACACCTAAGAGAAAATGCTTTGACCTTTTATCAAATTCTCTCAACACATTCTTTAAGGAAATGTATTGAGATCAGTTTGGAGAATTTGTATGTGGATATTGGAGGTTAAAGGGTTAAACCCCTAAGGGAGACCAATGTGACCATTTGACTAAAACAGAGATCACGGCATTTTTTTTTATGCACAGCCTTAAGTAATACCTGAATGGGCAAATATAGGTTGAGTGGTTCTAACAATATGGAAAACAAGAATAAATTAGTTGTGAGAAGCTTTTATTGAAAATAAAGAAATTGTTAACGAATCCGTGGACTTGTTTTCTATACAGGCAGTGAAGGCTTATGAGGCCAAGAAAGAAAATTTCAGCCACAAAAAAGGCTCCCGAAAATTCTAGGTGACCTTTTTAGGGTAAAAATCCGTTGAAAATGGGCAATTTTACCATTTTTTAGATGTTCGAAAATCCTAGGAGAGGCAGGCAAGCAAGTATTCTATTCACATACATTCATATTCATGCTCAGTTCTAATAAGGTATGGGAAAAAAGATTGATCAGCGGACTAAGCCAAGCTGGGACAGCTTGGCTTAGGGAGAGTTCAAGATACGACTCACGCGATTTTTGGGCGGGACTGGGTGGGCCGTCCACCTCTTCGCGGCTCCGCTGAAAAACTGAGCAAGAATGGTTTATTTTCGCGCCAAACCAGAATTTATTATCGGTAATTACGTAATCGCACGTGAGACCGCTAGACTAGCCATGAAAGAACCCATTATTGAATTTTAACCTCGCATATCATTATGAGTGTTGTGAATAGTATTCTATTCACATACATTCATATTCATGCTCAGTTCTAATAAGGTATGGGAAAAAAGATTGATCAGCGCCCAACAGCCCTCACTGTTCCACTTCCTTTAAAATGCTTGAAAAACGGCTTAATCGAGACCTTGTCCCTTATCCACCCAAGAATCTGTGCCTGTTGGGGTGACGAGCTATCTCGCGCAATGTACTGCCAATACTCGAAATGGTTATGCAATTCTCCAGCTCGAAAACAATGTGGGTCACGGAACAATAACTCCGAAATATCACCAATTAACTCTCCCCTCTGTATTCTCTGTAATCTAACACGGTCACAGGCTGTCACTTCTCCACTGACCTCGACGGGGTTACCAAAACAATCGACCCAGGACATTGGAAGCTCAATTTCGTTGCCTTGTAACTCCTGAAGTCGAAGATCAAAGGAGTCAGATTTTTCCCAACACCACATGTTTCCCTAGGAAAAAGGGGTAGTGAAGACACCTTTAAACACTGAATCGCCGAAAAAATCTAAGACTATTAAAATCATCCCCGTCAAAGTCAGCAGAGAAATAACAGCTAAGACCAGCGAGGCTGGAGGGCCCTTGTCTCAAGGATACCCCTTTTTCAAAGTCGCTATAACTATGTTGACAAAATAGACAGAGTAAAATATGCACTAGATTGATTCAATACACACAAAAGTTTGTTTATTATCGCAAAGAATTAAGCAATATTACAACACACAGCCTTGTCCAGGCGGCCTTCAACCTATAACACCGGTGCGAACTAACGAGATCTAAACACAAGCTACTTGTCTGATTTGGGATCCGTTTTCCTCTGCTTGGACTTCAAATCAGGACAATCAGCTTTGATATGACCTCGCCTATGACAAAAATAACATCGCAAAGAAAAAAGACGAGACGGACGTGCCACACCAGCACCCCTGTTGTCGTTCGCTTGAGGCTTCTTGCGATTTGACCTCTTTTCTACTTTAGAAACGATATCCAGGACCCTCTCGTGGTCCTTGTCTCCTAATAGGCGCATAACAAGGTCCTTGAAGTGGTCCTTCGACAACTCCACCTTTTCCCTCGCCGACTGATGAACGAGCCGATAGTAGTTCTTCCTGTCATGATTACGGTCAGCGGCCTTGTTATGCAGAGTCTCCAACATCTCAAGCACCTCATACTTGTTAAACTCTGTCAACGGGCGGGAAGCATAAGCCAAGATCTGTTCCACGAGCTTCTCAGGCGACGCGTTGGTTACTGCCTCCACTGCCTGCTTTAACTGTCTCACCTCCTCACGCAATCTCTGCAAAGGAACAAAGAGACTCTTAATCACCGCCCACCTCAATGTGCGAAGCACTTAGTGTTATGCATAAAAAACCTCATTACAGGCCTCGTGAAAAAACAAAAACATCACGTAACTTCTCGCGTTACCATGTATAAACATCCTTCGGCAGGCACAGCCAAAGGAGAAAATACAAGTAAGACGACCTAGCAACGTTTAACAATTAACGATGACCCATTATCATAACTCATAACAAACATCCAAAGGCCACATCAGCCGAAGGAAAAGACAAAACACAAATGACACCTCGCTGTCACCATTCGTAACCATCCCACGACCGCAAAAAGGCTGAAGGAAATACAAATAAGCGAATTCACGGCGTCTCTCTAGCCAAAAGCTAGATGTCACCGCCGAACAAAACGGTCACGTCGCTTGTACAATAAGCGAGTCCACAGCGTTCCTCTAGCTAAAAGCTAAACGCCCAACGCTGGTCCGTCAACCAACCACCGCCGAACAAATCGGCCACCTCGCCTGTACGGTTTGTAACCATCCAACGACCACAAAGGCCGAAGAAAATACAAACAAGCGAGTCCACGGCGTTCCTCTAGCCAAGAGCCAGACGCCGACCGCTAATCCGTCAACTAGCCACCGCCGAACAAATCGGCCACCTCGCTCGTACGGTTTTGTAACCATCCAACGACCACAAAGGCCGAAAGAAATACAAAATAAGCGAATCCACGGCGTTCCTCCAGCCACAAGCCAGACGCCGAACGCTAGTTCGTTAACTAGCCACGCGGAATAGCCCGACAATCTTCCGAAAAGATTTCGATAACAGGCCGCGATCGGGCCAAAGCTCTCCGTTATTCTCTCCACCATGCTGTGTGAAGAACCTGAAAGATACGACAGACAAGAGAAATATGCCACGAAAGAATTCATAACAACTAAAAGAGAACTACCTCCAGGATCAGTGTACCACATGGCCACTGTAAATTTTGATGCTATCATTCCAAAATTTTGTTCTGAATTTCCAAATCCCATTTGCAATTTTAGCTTTTATTTCTTTTTTTTTAAGCTTTTAATTTGTTTTTCATGAATATTTTCTGGTCTTAAATTCTCCAATTAGGTTTTCTTGAATTCGTGATCGACCTTCCATGTGTTGCCTCAACGCCCGGTCTTTTCCTGCATTTCTGTTGATATGTTGTTAGCTTCCTGTATTTAGTCATTTTCATTTCGTAAATGTCTTGCCTCGTTTGAATTTTCGCATTTTGTATTCTGTAATTTTGTTGCCTCGATTTCGTGTTCCTTGTTTTTTATATATTCCGTCTTTTGCTTTTGCCCCGTGGGGTAAGAATTTTTGGTACAAACCTACATCGATTCGAGAAATTTGGTTTGTAACGTCAGCGCCATCTTCCGCATAGGCTCTGGAAGAAAGGGACATGCCAAAAATCTTTCCTTGGAGGGAAATTGCGCGCTTTTTGTCGGCTGCATCTTATCGCTAAATGAATTTGCTTTATCTATGTTATCTCGGATTTGTTCTGTCGAATGTCCATACTCTATTTCTGTATTTTTTTTTAAAGTTGCCTCGATTTAAAGTCTGGTGCAGTCATGGCTCAATGGCGGGAAAAGGTCACATGACCTAAAAAGGCAGGAAAGTTGGGAGATTCATTCCGAATCATCTGGCATTATGGCGGATCTGGTTCAATTGGATTATGAAGGCAAAAGTGTGGGATTGACACCAATGAATCTTAGCAAAACAACAATTGCTCGATTTTTTAGGGTGCATGAAGACGGTTTGCACCTTAAAATCGTGAAAAACGGCAAGTGCGAAAATGTATGGCCGCTATCGAACGGCAAGTTTTTATTATTGCCAACGGGAACAAAAATGCACATGTGGTTGCCTTTCCTGCTGAAGATCAAGATTTACAAGAGGAGGAGGATGATGATTTTCAGGGAACATTTGGTGCTCGGTACGTATGCACGTTCTTTTGTGTTTGCGATTTATTTTTTTCTTCAATGTTTTATTTCGGTACTTTATAAAGAAGGAAATATTTTAAAAGCCCGATTTGATCGCTTACGCTAGAAAATTTTAACTTTACTTAAACTTATTTTGCATTTCACTTTCTTATTTTTATAATCATAAGAGCAACCTCGCATCCAATTCCTCGCCCATCAATTAGTGGCCGCAGCCGAGTCCTTAGCCCACCAGTAACTAGTGCTAAGCCCGCGTGACTCTGTCGGAGGAAACATCAAGCGAGAAAGTTAGATAGAAAGGTAATGCAAAGAGATATAACTCTTACCAGGAAAGAGAACTCGGAGTCTTTCACTAATGGATTTGTATGAAAACCCTCGTTCAACAAGCACTCGTATAAACGCCTCGTCCACTAAGTCCGCTAAACTCATTTTGAAGGTGACTTTTTCCAAATAATTCTGCTTATCGGTTCCAGTTTCTCACGCTTTAGCCTCGCTCACAAGCTATTTCCAGGCCGCCTCGTTCTAACTCTATGGAATCGAGGCAACATAATTACCGTGTAGTAAATACGTTGAATTCCAAATACGGTGCGTAAATAATCAGTGATTATGGAATCGAGGCGACATAATTCCAGAATGCACATATCTTGAAAAAAAAAGGAACATGGAATCGAGGCAACATAATTCCAGAATGGGGAATGCAGAATATTAATTTTAAATACCGTAAATGAAAGAAGAAACATGGAATCGAGGCAACATAATTCCAAAATGCAGAATGCAAATGTCGTAAATAAAACTAGAATCATCAAATCGAGGCAGCATAATTCCATAATTGAGAATGCACATACGGTAAAAAGAAAAAGGAACATAGAATCGAGGCAACATAATTCCAGAATTCAAATACCGTAATTGAAACAAGGAACATGGAATCGTGGCAACATAATTCCAAAATGCGGAATGCCAAACGTCGTAATTAAAACTAGAATCATGAAATCGAGGCAACATAATTCCTGAAAGCATAGAATCAAGGCACCATAACTCTAATAAATATGCTAAATACCATAAATAAAAAAACAAATGGAATAAAAGCATACTAGGAATGGCCACGTGTGACACTTATTCTCCAGTTCCTGAGGCTGAGCGACATTAACATTCTGGTTGCCATCCGGTGGATTCACAACCGGCGGATTCACAACTAGCGGGTTCACGACCGGTGGATTCACGAGTAAGTAACTGAACGTTCGGCTCCGGAGGTTGACCCTCAGCCATCAGGAAATCGTCAAGAAAATCGCGTGGGTCGTATCTTCCAAAAGAAAAGAGACCAGCTCTTCGCGGCTCCGCTGAAAAACTGAGCAAGAATGGTTTATTTTCGCCCCAAACCAGAATTTATTATCGGTAATTACGTAATCGCACGTGAGACCGCTAGACTAGCCATGAAACAACCCATTATTGAATTATTTTAACCTCGCATATCATTATGAGTGTTGTGAATAGTAATTTTACAACAGATGTTCCGAAAATTCTAGATCTCAAATCGTCTTCCGAACAGATATTTTTCCGAAAATTGTCGTTGGGTGCACCTGTATTTTCAACACTGATTCCTCCATCAGAATGACCGTGCAAAAAAAGCCTTTCTACGACAAGGTTTCATTACTTCCGCATTCAGCATGAGTGAGAGTGAGTAAGCCACTGCTTTTGCATCATAGAGGCCGATGACTAACTTGAATAATAACACATTACTTAAACTTAGGTCTGGCCGCCGTTTCGACGTCGTCTTCTTTTGTATACCGATTGTGTACCGTCTTTTTGAAGATCTGCATGCAAAGAGATTCTTTCACCCGCTTTTAGGAGTGACTTCATTTCGAACAAAATAATGCGATGGTGTGTACGTCATAGAGCTGTCAGTCATGGTGGTGGTTTGAAGAATGACCCACATATTAGCGTTCTTCTCTTTAAATTGCTCGCACTTTGCACCATGTTCATCCAGTGAGCTGCCTCCAAAATTCCCTTTTAGTCAGTCAATGTTTCAAACGTTCACGCAAACATGCAGCCCAAAGAAGGTGACAACGATTTCACTTTAATCCTGAAACACGGCAAAGAGATGAGAGTAAGTAGAAATGAAATTGCGGCTTCAAGCGATTTCTTTTCTACCCTTCTCAACAGCGACATGAGGGAGAACAAAGAAGGAATTGTTCTGTTACAGCACATCACAGAGGCATGTATGAGAGATGTGTTAGAGTTTGTACGATCTGGTAGTGTTGAAATAACTGCTTCAGAGAATGCGAAAGAGCTGATCGAGGTAGCGGAATATTTACTTCTCGACAGATTGAAAACATTCTCTGAAAAATATTTAGTGCAGGAAACATTAACATCTTCAAATTGTATGTCAATTTATTATTTTGCTGAGCAATATCGATGCCAAGAGCTGACAATGAAGACTAGGCAATTTATCCTATCAAACTTTGCCGCTGTGAGTGAATCTCAAGACTTTCTTTCTTTGGATAACCAGCAAGTTGAGGAGTGGATTAGCAGCGATGACGTAGCTGTTAGTACAGAAGATGTCATATTCAAGGCCATAGTAAGGTGGATTCAACATTGCAAAAGCGAGCGGAAAGGGAAGTTCGAAGAATTATTTCGACACGTGAGATTGTCCTTTATATCGCGTGACTATTTGCTCAGTGATGTTCTAGCCAATGATCTCGTGTCAGGGTGCTCAAACTGTTTGAAGCTGGCCAAAGACGCTGCGGAAGGAAAATATTCTTTCCAGTCACCCAGGAATTGGATTGATACACACCTAGTCGTTTACATGGGCAAGGAGACCTATTGTTATGAACCTGACGGAGACAAGTGGTATAAGTTAGCGGACACGCATTTGACATACAAATATCCAGATCGATACAAAATGTGCTCTTTTCAAGGAAAGTTGTATGTTTTCCCAAGTTTGCTGTATGCCTGCGGTGAAAAAGCACAAATGTTTGACCCGTGTTTGAATGGCTGGACTACCTTTGACTGTCCGACTGGACAGACTTTCAAAGCGATTTGCGGTTTAGCAGTGGTAAGGGGGCAATTGTTTGTTGTTTATGACTATTATTTTTTAAGTCTTCGGTCGCACAGTTGGTCATTTCACGTATCTAAGTATAACTTAAAGTCAAACACATGGACCGATTTTCACTGCAATGGAAGTAAACCATTGGCTGCCAAAGGTGCCTGTATAGTCGCCATGGACAGATACCTGTACGTTATTGGTGGTTTAAAAATTCCTGGCTCAAAGACTATATCACCACCTTATAGACTAGACACTATGACTCTACACCCAGGAATGCCGGATGGTGGGAATCAGAGCTGGGATCGTTTAACGGAGATGAAAGTGCCAAGATCGGGAGCCTGTGGCACTGCTGCACACGGGAAGATTTTCATCGCTGGTGGATCGCTAGCGAGTGAAAGGCCAGAGAGGTATCCTACTTCGACCTGTGAAGTTTACAACGTAGACGCAGACGAATGGCAGCTGATAGCAAGTTTAAATTCTCCTCGAATTTCCGGCAGGATGGTGTATTTGAAGGGAATTCTGTATGTGGTAGGCGGACGTGGTCGAAACGTTAATAAAAGAGTAATGGCAGTTGAAAGTTATGACTTTGAGGAAAAGAAATGGATAAAGAAAACAAAGTTACCAAGCAACAAAAATTTTCCTCCGTGGGAATATGATGGTTGTGCACTAAATATTCCAAGAATACTTGTTAAACCCATCCCCAAAAGACTACCAGCGTTTCTAAGGCCCTTGTTGCTAAGGTCATGACATAGTACTTTTTGGTAGTCTTCTCCGCGGACCTTAATGACCAACCTGGTCCCCAGGGCTTTTCCCAGTTTTTAAGGGAAAAGCCCTGGGGACGAGGTTGCTTAATGACGAGAACAATCTCAGGGAGTTGCCAAGGAGTTGCCCCGTCCCTGTACGGCGTTTTCCCAGTCCCTCTCGGACAACTCGGTGACGTATCCGAGGTGAACGGGAGGGAAACGCCATACTCACATCTTCGCTTGGACCACGTGAGCCGAAACGCTTTGGCCGTGTTGAATAAGGAGGCCAAGGGACTAGGCAACTTAGATAAACGATAGAAACTGAAAAATATCAGTGTTTTCAGATGCCGTAACGGCGGCCATTTTGGTGTTCACAAACAATAAATCGCACGGCCAACGTGTTGGTTTTCCAAACAAATCCTGTGGAATTTCAGGAGCCGGGAAGTTAAAATCTTTTCTTTAACACGCAAACACTTTCTATGGTTCCGACAAAGTTGCACTTAGCATGAAATAACAGCCGACATTTTGGGACGCCACCACTGCATGGTTTCCCTACGAAATGACGTCTGAGGAACGATTGCAGAAATTCCATATTGATGACGTGTCACTACCCCTGAGATCTGGGTGGTGCTTCTGATTGGTCCATGCCGCGAAGGAATTTTCCTTCAACCAATCGACGCCACCACTGGTTTAACGTTCTCCGTGAAATAATGCCTGAAAAATGATTGTCGGATACCAGTTATTTTGAAGATTTTTCACACGTATTCCATACAATTGGTAAAGAATAAAACAGGAAACGCAAGGCTCCATGCACTGATTCAGTTCAATTTACACAGCTTTGATCAACATACAATTACATATTCACTAGTTTCAAGAATAGTTTTAATTAAAGGTTGGAGTTTTTTCGCTCAGTTTCTCTTTCACTTTTTACATACAATTCATTTTTGTGGCTACTGCAGAGCCACTATGACATGGCGTTGTAATTGTCCGTAAGGGGTGAACCATTTGACTTTAGCAGAGGGGGTGGGGGAAGGTTGGACGATTTGGAAAAAATATATATTGCAGCCCCCAGGCAAAAAAAGAAATTTCATGCATGGCAGCTCCGAGGAAAAAAAATCATGTCTGCATGGTGCGGCCGAGAAAAAAATTCTTACAAATCATAGACAGCCCGACCCTACCTGTAGTCTAGCAAATCTGAGTATTTATATGCAAGCTATGCTCTTTAACTCAATAAAGCAAGGTTGTGTCAAAAAATGAGGAGTTCACTGGGTTTATCGTGTCTCTAATAAACAGTTAAGTTGTAAATCCTTTTCCTAGCATGACAATCTTTTATAACACATCAATGACAATATGATTATTTCATTGATATCTGACCGTTTAAATAAAAACATGCACACTTGCATTAAAGTGGGAATATGCCGAATTTCCGAGCCATAAAAATTTCGATCCAGAAAGCATTAAATGAAACAACACGAAAAATAGAAACATTAGTTTCAATACTAAAAAAAAATCCCCACTTAAAAAAAACTACTCAAAAAATACTTGGAAAAAAATCCTGACAACGAAAATCTTTAACTCCCCCCCCCCCCCACCTCTGGAAAATTACCTGGCTACCTTGAAGGTTAACAAGAGGTCATGCATATATTTATATATTCATGCATAGAGTGCATATATTCATGCATAGAGTGCATATATTTATTTCAGTGATTTCCTTCATTATTGCTTTGACCATCTGTACGGACTCGCGTGGTTCTGCTGCAGAAAGGCTTGACAATGATCTAGAATATTTTCTATCTAGTCTCAAAAAAGGAAATACTCTTGTCAGTGGCCTTGTAGTGATGATATCAACTTTTGTAGCAGTCAGTTAAGAGAGCTAAAATTTTTAAGGTTCTCCCTTTTACTACATAAGTTCGTAAAAATCGTTACTGTATGCCACGTCAGGATTTAGTTGCCTCTATCAGATGTTACGCCATACTGACGAGCCCCAAAGAGGGCGAAACAGCTGTCTATGGCTACAATCCCGCTCTGTTTTGAGTTCTTTCGGTGTCGTGCTGATGTCTTGCAGAGTTAATTTTCACGTAGTACGATCAGCGTTGCAGTATTCTGCTTGCAGAATTTAATATGTCCTCTATTAGTTACCTGCAGTCCGTTGTTTTAGAAGTTGGTCATCGCAAAATTTGGCCATTTCTAAGTTGTTCCAAGGCTTGAATAAACACTCATGCCGTAAATGCTCAAATTAGCGCCCGGGGCGCATATTTAATTTTCTAAGGCGAGAGGGGAGGTGCTAATTCGAAGAGGGGCGCTTATTTCGTATATCAATTTGGCAGTATCTTTATTTCTATTTTACCCAAACTGTAACATATAAGTGAAGCACCTATGTGCTCACATGGATATTTCTATCGAGGAAATGAGAAGCAAACCTGTACGATTTTGAAGAACATTAATTTTGTCACGTCACATTCATTAAAAGTACCGTATACGTCTCCCATATAATACTGAGTACCGAACCTCGCCTATCCAAATTTTAACCTTAGGAGAGGCGCTAATTCGAAGCGTGGCGCTTATTTGAAGCTGGGCGCTAATTCGGGCATTTACGGTTTTTTCACTTTGCCTCTATTTTATAGTGAGGACTTCGGAAATAGGATAAAGCTTAGAATGCATCGTTGCGCTTTTTTGCCTCTAGTAAGTCTTCAGACTGCAAGCATTCTCTTAGTTTTCTTTAAAGTCCGTGGAATTGCACCCCGGAGCAGGGGTGGGGACTCCTATTTAAAAGCTTGACGGAAATTTAAGATTAAACCTCTAAGGGAGACCAATGTGGCCATTTGACTAAAACAGAGATCACGGCATTTTTTTTATGGAAACCGTAAGCAATACCTGAATGGGCAAATATAGGTTGAGTTAGGAACATGGTTCTAACAGTATGAAAAGCTATTATTGGATCCGTGGACTTTTTCCCAGGCAGCCAAGGAAGAGAATATTAAAAACTGTTTATTTCCTGAAATTCGCTTGACAACCAGCTAAACAGAAGTCACAGTATTTTGAACACTGATTCCTCCGTTACAATGACCCGGCTAAAAATAAAAGCCTTTCCGCCACAACAAAAGGTTTCATTACTTCCGCATTGAGTAAGAGTAAGAGCCCGGAGTAAGAGAGTAAGTCGGCCAGTAATCCTCTTGCATCATAAAGGCATATGACTAACTTGAAAAATTCGCCGGCGCCATGAGATTGTACCGACCTGTACCATTACTTAAGTCTGGTCACTGTTTCTTCTTTTGTATACCGTCTTTTTTAAGATCTACATGCAATCAGATCGAATTAATTTCGAAATAAATAATGCGATGGTGTGTACGTCATAGAGCTGTCAGTCATGATTGTGGTTTGACGAATTCTTCTCTTTCCGCTGTTCTCACTTTTCATATGTTCTTCCGGGAGTGAACCGCCGCCAAAAGTCCCTTTTAGTCAGTCAATGTTTCAAACGTTCGCGCAAAAATGCAGCCCAAAAATGATGCCAGTGATTTCACTTTGATCCTGAAACACGGCCAAGAGATGAGAGTAAGTAGAAATGAAATTGCGGCTGCAAGCGATTTCTTTTCTACTCTTCTCAACAGCGACATGAGGGAGAACAAAGAAGGAACTGTTCGGTTAGAGCACATCACAGAGTCATGTATGAGAGATGTGTTAGAGTTTATACGATCTGGTAGTGTTGAAATAACTACTCCAGAGAATGCGAAAGAGCTGATCAAGGTAGCGGAATATTTACTTCTCGACAGATTGAAAACATTCTCTGAAAAATATTTAGTGCAGGAAACATTAACATCTTCAAATTGTATGTCAGTTTATTATTTTGCTGAGCAATATCGATGCCAAGAGCTGACAATGAAGACTAGGCAATTTATCCTATCAAACTTTGCCGCTGTGAGTGAATCTCAAGACTTTCTTTCTTTGGATAACCAGCAAGTGGTGGAGTGGATTTGCAGCGATGACGTAGCTGTTAGTACAGAAGATGTCATATTCAAGGTCATAGTAAGGTGGATTCAACACAGCAAAAGCGAGCGGAAAGGGAAGTTCGAAGAATTATTTCGTTACGTGAGATTGTCCTTTATATCGCGTGACTATTTGCTGAGTGATGTTCTAGCCAATGATCTCGTTTCAGGGTGCTCAAACTGTTTGAAGCTGGCCAAAGACGCTGTAGAGGGAAAATGTTCTTTCCAGTCACCCAGAATTTTTTTTGATACACACCTAGTCGTTTACATGGGCAAGGAGACCTTTTGTTATGAACCTGACGGAGACAAGTGGTATAAGTTAGCGGACACGCATTTGACATACACAAACACAAACACAAATCCTTACTGCCCAGGTCCTTACAAAATGTGCTCTTGTCAAGGAAAGTTGTTTGTTTTCCCAAATTCGGCGAATGTCTGTCATAAAAAAGCAGAAAAGTTTGACCCGTCTTTGAATGGCTGGACTACGTTTGACTATCAGACAGGACAGGCTTCCAGACAGACTTTCGGTTTAGCAGTGGTAAGGGGGCAACTCTTTGCTGTTCATAATGATCCTTCTGAATGGGTCCGTACCAGGAGTAATGCGTTCCTTCCACGGCATTTTATGACGTCATTTTGCGTATCCAAGTATAACTTTAAGTCAAACACATGGACCGTTGTTCATTGCAATCGACATAAGCCAGTAGCTGCCAGAGATGCCTGTATAATCGCCATGGACAGATACCTGTACGTTATTGGTGGTTTAATGCTTACTGACCTTGACAGTATATCACCACCTTATAGAATAGACACTACGAGTCTACACTCAGGAATGCGGGATGGCGGGAATCTGAGCTGGGATCGTATAACGGAGATGAAAAAACCAAGAACGGGAGCCTGTGGCACTGCTGCACATGGGAAGATTTTTATCGCCGGTGGATTGGTGAGGGGAGGGTGTTACTGTGTGAGCTGTGAAGTGTACAACATAGAAGCAGACGAATGGCAGTTGATAGCAAGTTTAAATTCTCCTCGCATTTTCGGCAGCATGGTGTATTTGAAGGGAATTCTGTATGTTGTAGGCGGACGCGGACATGATCAAAACTATGATAAAAGAGTAATGGCAGTTGAAAGTTATGACTTTGAGGAAAAGAAATGGAAGGAGAAAACAAAGTTGCCAATCAACAAAACGTCTCCCAAGTGGAAATATGACAGTTGCACACTTTGTATTCCAAGAATACTCGTTAAACCCATCCCCAAAAGGCTGCCAGCGTTACTAAGGCCCTTGTTGCTAAGGTCACGACAGAGTGCTTTTCGGTAGTCTTGTCTGCTGCGAGAACAATCTCAGGGAGAGGATGAGGACTAAAAATATGGAGCGTTTTCACATGACGTCATGGCGGCCATATTGGTGTTCCAAAACAATAAAACGGTGGCCATGTTGGTTTTCCGAACAAATCTTATTCCTGTGGGAGTTCAGAAGCCGGGGAGTTGAAATCTTTTCTTTAATATGCAAACACTTTTTACAGTTCCAATAAATTTGCACTTAGCCTGAGAAAACAGCCTCGACGCCACAACTGGTTTCATACTGATACTGATGTAAATGTAAATGTAAATAATAATGTAAATGTAAATAATAATGACGTCATGGCGGCCATGATAACGTGTTACTACCCAGATCTGAGTAGTTCTTTTAATTGGTCCGTGCTGTGAAGGGAATATGTTCAACTAATCGAAAGCACTACCCAGATCTGGGTATTGATACGTCATCAGTATGAAATTTCAGCAGTCGTTTCTCAGACTTCACTTCACGGAGAAACCAGAGTTGCTGGTTGTCACGTGAGGGAAAACTCTGTATGAGAAGCAACAAGCGTTAGTCAAGGGCACGAGTGTGCCACGTGAAAATAAGACCCCCTCTCTTTCCCCAGTCACCGTGGGTTTTTTTGCATCACTCTTAACTGCAACAAGAGAGAATTTCTTGGATCCTGGACGGGCTAGAAGGGAGGGCTTTGCCTTTCAAATCGGCCGTCAGTTCTATCCTCTTGATGACTTAAAACTTATCTTGTAACAGAGGCCAGTGTTTCGGTAGTAAGGAGACTGACTCGTTCCCTGTCATCTGTATTTGAATTTCTCTCTTTTCTCTTTCCCGTCACCCCTTGCGCCTAATTTGACTGCGCTGACTCTCGCTGATAAAATAGAACAGGTTCCTGGAGGTTTATTGGAACTACTTTTATATTGGACCGAGGAGAAAATGATTACTTCCCACTCGTACGACTTGTGAAAAATACGTTCGTGCCTATGTTACATTTTAAAAAAGCAACATTGAAATCTTTTCGTGATATGTACGTAATTAAATTAAATTTTAATTTTATAATCATGATTCAAATTATTTCTAAACTGCAATTGGCTGTGATATCGAATTTTTCTCATTATCATCACTTCTAGCTTCTATATGTCTGCGCGCGTTTGTATACAGTCGAACGGGCTCTCTAATACGGACACAGAAGGGACAGAGCAAAGTGTCCATATTACAGAGGTGTCCGTATAAAAGAGGTCACTGCGATGACGTCACTTTTATGACTCCACTTACAGTTTTAAGTGTTCAGTAACTAAAACCAGTCTTACACTCTTGTTTAAAGTGCGGACACAGAAGGGACAGAGCAAAGTGTCCATATTACAGAGGTGTCCGTATAAAAGAGGTCACTGCGATGACGTCACTTTTATGACTCCACTTACAGTTTTAAGTGTTCAGTAACTAAAACCAGTCTTACACTCTTGTTTAAAGTGCATTTAAGTTTACTAATTCACAGAAAATAAAGAAAATATATAAGAATTTTGTCGGGACGTTGGAATCTGCCCGTAATATAGAGGTGTCCGTACCAAGAGGTTCGACTGTATTTGCACTTCGCCTCTATTTTATAGTGAGGACTTCGGAACCAGGATAATCCTTTAAGCTCCGATATCTACTTACAAACTACACAAACTGATCTCCATACATTTCCTTAAAATTTAGTTGAGAGAATTTGACAACAGATCAAAGCATTCTCCCTTTTGAGATCATTTTATTTCTCTTGACAATGTAAGGATTTTGGTAGGAGAAAATTGATGTTGTTCACTATTGCGACTTAAAGGGTTAAAGCTTATATATAGAATGGATCGTTGCACCATTTTTGCCTCTAGTAAGTCTTCAGACTGCAAGCATTCTCTTAGTTTTCTTTAAGGTCCGTGGAGTGGCACCCCGGAGGGGCGGGGACACCTATTTAAAGGTGACAGGGATGCTTGTCGGAGATATAAGATTAATGAACCCCTAAGGGAGACCAATGTGACCATACTAAAACAGAGATCACGGCATATTTTTGTGCCCAGCCCTAAGCACTACCTGAATGGGCAAATATAGGTTGAGTGTTAGCAACATGGTTGTAACAATATGAAAAACAAGAATAAATTAGTTCAACGAAAAGCTTTTATTGGAAATTAGTCAATGAATCCGCGGACTTTTTCTCAGGCAATAAACTGCTAAGGAAGAGAATATTAAAAACTGTTTCTTTCCTGAAATTCGCTGGACAGCGCAGCTGAACGGAAGTCACGATATTTTGAACACTGATTCCTTCATCAGAATGACTCGGCTAAAAATGAAAGCCTTTTCTCACCACAACAAAAGGTTTCATTACTTCCGCACTGAGTAAGAGTGACAGACTATGCTCCAGTACTGCTCTCTCATTATAGAGGCAGATGACCCACTTGAAAAATTCGCAGGCACCATGACATTGTACCGACCTGGTCACTGTTTCTTCTTTTGTACAACCGTCTTTTTGAAGATCTACATGCAAGAAGATTTGCGCGATCCTTTCACCCGCTTAAGAGTAAATTGATTTCGAACTAAATAATGTGATGGTTAGACTACTTGCAGTCCGCCTTTTCTCTTAAAATCCGTCTAGTTCTTATCTCATCCAGCGCGACTGCAAATCACGACGTTGTTATTACAATAAGCAGGGGCACCCAACGAGAATATAGTTCAAAACCACTTAAACATAGCATTGTTAAACGTATTTTAGTATTTAAACGGTAGATATAGGCATATTTTTATCCCCTAAAACTTTTTCATCTGTTCGGATTTCCTAGCTGAAAGTCTAGTGATCCGAAAATTATAGGGATCAAAACTTACCTTTCCGAAAATTCCAGCCAGAAAAAAGGCTCCCGAAAATTCTAGGTGACCTTTTTAGGGAAAAAATCCGTTAAAAATAGGCAATTATACCATTTTTTAGATGTTCGAAAATCCTAGGAGAGGCAGGCAAGCAAGAAATTTTACAACAAATGTTCCGAAATTTCTAGATCTCAAATCGTCTTCCGAACAGATATTTTAAGATATTTAAAGAAAGTGTAATTTTTTCAGTTGTTTATGTTCTATTTATAAATCGTTTCAAGTTACTCTTGACATGACAGCTTCGTTGTCCCCAGACAGAACAAAAGTAGACTAGGAGTAGTCCCCCATTTTTCCTCAGGGATAGTAGAGCGAGCGAAACGCGAGCGCGCGTGAAAATCACCCCAAGCCGAGAAAAGACGACACGCGGCGGGGAGAAGAAAAAATGAAAAATTCGTCAAACCACAATCATGACTGACAGCTCTATGACGTACACACCATCATAGACTCTCAAGCAGTCTCTTATTTTTTTTTGCAAAGTTATAGTTACTGCACGCGAAACCTAAGAACGCGAATGGCGAATTAAGCCGCGAGAATTGAGGGCGTTACCCTGCGAGCAGAGGCCCTTCGATCTTCCTAGTCGGGAAGAGGAAGGGACTCTCTTCGCAGGGTATGAGGGCGTAAGCCCGAGAAGAAAAAATAAGAGACTACTGACTCTTTTGTTCGAGACTTCGAGTAGTTGTGTCGCCTTTTCTCGCGTGGGGTGATTTTCACGCGCGCTCGCGTTTCGCGCGCTCGCGTTTCGCACGCTCTACTATCCCTGAGGAAAAATGGGGGACTACTCGTAGTCTAGAACAAAAGAGTCAGCAGTCTATTTATATTTTTGGGGACGAGGTTGCTCTTCTAGGGCTTACGCCCTCATTTCTCGCGGCTTAATTCGCCATTCGCGTTCTTAGGTTTCGCGTGCATTAACTATAACTTTGCAAAGTAGCCTGAGTATCAGGTCTTCCGAAGGGGCTAGGGGAGAGGAGGGATCTTTCCCCTTTTCTCAAGAAACGCCTGATACTCAGCTATTTGCAAAGAAAAATAAGAGACTGCTCGCAGTCTACGATGGTGTGTACGTCATAGAGCTGTCAGTCATGATTGTGGTTTGACGAATTAATGACCCACACAGTTCTTCTCTTTACAGTGTTCTCACTTGGCATATGTGCCGCCAAAAGTCCCTTTTAGTCAGTCAATGTTTCAAACGCTCCATCACTTCACACATTACTTGTAACACTAAAAATGTGATCTACATGGTTCAATGTAACCGTTGTAATTTACAATATATAGGTGAAACTAAGCGACGTCTCAAGGACAGATTTAACGAACACAGACGTGCAGTCGACAAAACTAACATTAAATCTAAACCCACTACTGTTTCTGAACACTTTCTCTCTCACTCTAACCATTCTCATACTGACATGCAGTTAATCCCACTAGAGAAAATTCATTCCTCACGTGACTCAGTTTGTAAGGCCAGGGAGTCGCATTTGATAGATATGGCCATGACTCTTTAACCTCAGGGTGTATATATAAATGCGAAATTTGCAATAAATTCACACTGTAGTTATAACAAAAATTTAGCCATAAAGTCACTTTGTATATTCTACAAACCGAGAATTTAGCCATTAATTAACGGCTAAATATTTTCCTTTTATAGAAATTATTTAGCGTGATTAATTAACGGATTTTTCGTTTGTATAAATAGTTAATGAAAATTTCACTTCTAAATAGTTAATGAAAATTTAGCCGTTCATTAATGGCTAAATTTTTCTTTAATAATAATACAAAGTGACTTAACGGCTAAATTTTTCTTATAACAACAGTGTGAATTTATTGCAAATTTTGCCATTGTCTAAACACCGTTTAACCTCATAGCCTAAACCGCCGTGACGAATTATTGTAATCCATATCCTTAGGGGCCGACCATTTAACTCTTGAGGGTGGGGGTGGGTGATTTCTGGTCATCAAGAATTTTTTTTCCTAGCAATATGGTGGGCAGGATATTTTTTTCCCTTTTTTTCCCATAAGCTCTCTATTACATTTGTGCTGCATGCAATTTTTTTCTTCCGACAAGCGCTTGCAGGAAATTTTTTTTCAAAATCACCCCCCCCCCCCCATCAAGAGTTAAATGGTCGGCCCCTTAGTATTTTTCCTTTCCAGTTTTTATCTTGTACGTCATTTCCGCCTCTTCCTTTTATTGCGACATTCTCCGTTTATATAATATTGTGATTGCTACATAAGTTCAGTTACATCTGTAAACCTGAAGAAGGCTGGTATGGCTAGCCGAAATATTGTTATAAAAAACAATACACCTTGTTTTAAATCAGCTTTGCAGTAGTCTTTGGACTTCTCGTTCTTGGTTCGCGCAAATATGCAGCCCAAAGAAGTTGACAACGATTTCACTTTAATCCTTAAACACGGCAAAGAGATGAAAGTAAGTAGAAATGAAATTGCGGCTTCAAGCGATTTCTTTTCTACCCTTCTCAACAGCGACATGAGGGAGAACAAAGAAGGAATTGTTCTGTTACAGCACATCACAGAAGCATGTATGAGAGATGTGTTAAAGTTTGTACGATCTGGTAGTGTTGAAATAACTACTCCAGAGAATGCGAAAGAGCTGATCGAGGCAGCGGAATATTTACTTCTCGACAGTTTGAAAACATTCTCTGAAAAATATTTAGTGCAGGAAACATTAACATCTTCAAATTGTATGTCAATTTATTATTTTGCTGAGCAATATCGATGCCAAGAGCTGACAATAAAGACTAGGCAATTTATCCTATCAAACTTTACCGCTGTGACTGAATCTCAAGATTTTCTTTGTTTGGATAACCAGCAAGTGGTGGAGTGGATTTGCAGGGATGACGTAGCTGTTAGTACAGAAGATGTCATATTCAAGGCCATAGTAAGGTGGATTCAACATAGCAAAAGCGAGCGGAAAGGGAAGTTCGAAGAATTATTTGGATACGTGAGATTGTTCTTTATATCGCGTGACTATTTGCTCAGTGATGTTCTAGCCAATGATCTCGTGTCAGGGTGCTCAAACTGTTTGAAGCTTGCAAAAGACGCTGCAGAAGGGAAATGTTCTTTCCAGTCACCCAGGAATTGGACTGATACACACCTAGTCGTTTACATGGGCAAGGAGACCTATTGTTATGAACCTGACGGAGACAAGTGGTATAAGTTAGAGGACACGCATTTGACATACACAAACACAAATCCTTACAAAATGTGCCCTTTTCAAGGAAAGCTGTATGTTTTCCCAAGTTCGCCGAACGTCTGTCATAAAAGAGCAGAAATGTTTGACCCATCTTTGAATGGCTGGACTACGTTTGACTATCAGACTGGGCAGGCTTCCAGACAGACTTTCGGTTTAGCAGTTGTAAGGGGGCAACTGTTTGCTGTTTATGATGATCCTTCTGAATGGGTCCGTGCCAGGAGAAATAGGCTCCTTCCACGGCGTCTACAGGAAAGGCCGTCATTTTACTTATCCAAGTATAACTTTGAGTCAAACACATGGACCGATGTTCATTGCTTTGGAAGTAAGCCAGTGGCTACCACGGGTGCCTGTATAATCGCCATGGACAGATACCTGTACGTTATTGGTGGTTTGATGCTTACTGACTTTGAGACTATATCATCACCTTATAGACTAGACACTATGACTCTACACTCAGGAATAGGGGATGGCGGGAATCAGAGCTGGGATCGTATAACGGAGATGAAAGTGCCAAGATGGGCAGCCTGTGGCACTGCTGCACATGGGAAGATTTTTATCGCTGGTGGATCAGCGGAAGGAGGGTCTCCCAGTCTTGACACCTGTGAAGTGTACAACATAGAAGCAGACGAATGGCAGTTGATAGCAAGTTTAAATTCTCCTCGCTTTTCCGGCAGCATGGTGTATTTGAAGGGAATTCTGTATGTGGTAGGCGGACGTGGTCGAAACGTTAATAAAAGAGTAATGGCGGTTGAAAGTTACGACTTTGAGAAAAAGAAATGGAAGGAGAGAACAAAGTTACCAATCAACAAAACGTTTCCGGAGTGGAAATATGATAGTTGCGCACTAAATATTCCAAGAATACTCATTAATCCCATCCCCAAAAGACAGCAAAGGTTACTAAGGCCCTTGTTGCTAAGGTCACGACAGAGTGCTTTTCGGTAGTCTTGTCTGCTGCGAGAACAATCTCAGGGAGAGGATGAGGACTAAAAATATGGAGCGCCATATTGTTGTTCCAAAACAATACATCGTTTTCACTGTCACGCAAGAAACAAATAAATTGCAAACCGTTCAGTGGAAGAGGCCAAGAAAATGAAATGTTATAAAAGACTAATATATAAACAATTTGCCCACGTCTCAGGTCTTTGTGGCCCACTCAGGTAAATTAAGGCATGGGTCCCCAATGATTCAGTAAAAAAGTGATGGGGGGTGGTCTATCTCTGAGCACGTAAGCAGTAGAAAGATGAGACTTTGCCAGATACATACATGTGTGGTTTCTGTCAATTAGGTCATGTTCAATTATGCAAAAGTTGTCACGTGACTCCACACGGCCGGAAAACAATAAAAAGTCTTTAAGTAATGGTCCAGATAAGAAGGAAAGGACCAAAACGCAGTGAACACGTCGGAATGCAAAAAGGTGCTAACTTTACTATTGTCTCTACTAAGGTTCTGATTGGTTTAAACATCAAATTTTACGAAATCTTCGCAAAGCAGCATGTACATCAATCCTTTTTTTTTCTATCCAACTTCCTTATAACAAAATCTCGTCTGAGTCTAAGTAACACAGAAATCGTATGTGCGGATCATGTAAAATTGTGAACATTTCTTTGCCATTGTTTGCAACTCTTGTGATTGGTCGAAATGTTTTAACACAAAAATACACCCTTTAAAAGTAGAGTTTAAATACATTTTCTTTCGTAAACAGCCTTTTGTAGATTTATGCACTCCCTGCGTAAAAATGAAAACATTTCTATGTGAGGAAAGCGTATTGCGCCACAACAATAGAAATTGCTTTCCTTCTTACCTGGATCATTACTTAAACAAAAATGGCAACACTTTTTGTTGTGAGTTATTAAACAGGACTGGTTTAGGACAATGTGTAAAAAAAGCATCTACAAGACTGTGCTTGGCCTTTTTTTAATTTTTTACTGTTTTAGAAAATAAACGGCTTTTTCAACTAGACCCAGTCCCCCAAAGCAATTGTATCCCATCTTAACGCCTTCGATTTTAAATATCTAAAAAAGGCCAAGCACAGAAGTGATACATTAAACGGCATTAACGTTATGCAACCGGTAAAATAATTGAAGATCACACGAAAAAGTGTTGCCGTTTGAAGAACAAGCTTTTTCAGCCGATAGAGGTCACGTGACCTAATTTGCATAATTTTAAAGCTTAAAATTGACACAAACTAAAAATGTGGTTGGCTGGCAAAGTTTTATGTCTCTTCATCTAAAGCTCTTAGATATAGACCACCCCCTCACTTTTGAAGAGAGCAAATTAAGGCAAATTGAGGCCCATGCCTTAATTTACCTGAGCACAGTTTCTGAGTTATTTGCTGAAACGTTTCACGCAACTTTGTCTGCTTTGTATGGAGATGCCATATTGGTGCACCGTTTTGGTGCACCAATATGGCCGCCGGAAATCAACAAAAACATCTGGAGTTCACTTTTTCTATAAAAGTTCTTTCTTTCCACTCAAGAACTAGAATACGTGCGCATAAACATATCTTCTAATACTTGAAATGGTTATACTGCTGAAAATCAGGAGGAGAGACTTTTTTCCAACGAGACAGCATTCCTATGTTGGTGTCACGCACTGCGAAAACTCGGAAGTTCAAATTGCTGTATTTTCGAAATGAAACATGCTACGGGAATGGAAACTTGTACAAAGATTTATTTTTTCTTTATCTTCAACCTAGTGTAAATAAGAATTCGTAAAACCTCGCTATTTTTACTTCACAATTTAGTGACGTCACTGTGAAAGCCATCTATAAAACGGTGGCCATGTTAGTTTTCCAAGCATATCCTATTCCTGTGGGAGTTCAGAAGCCGGGGAGTTGAAATCTTTTCTTTAATATGCAAACACGTTTTACAGTTCCAATAAATTTGCACTTAGCCTGAGAAAACAGCCGACATGTCGCGAAATTTCATACTGATAACTCGTTACTACCCAGATCTGGGTAGTTCTTCTAATTGGTCCGTGCTGCGAAGGGAATTTGCTTCAACCAATCGAAAGCACTACCCAGATCTGGGTATTGATACGTCATCAGTATGAAATGTCAGCAGTCGTTTCTCAGACTTCACTTCACGGGGAAACCAGTGTTGCGTCGCAAAATGTTGGCTGTTTTGTCAGGCTAATTTGCACCGAGATGCTGTCCACGTGAGGGAAAACTCTGTATGAGAAGCAACAAGCGCTAGTCAAGGGCACGAGTGTGCCACATGAAAATGGGACCTCCTCTCTTTCCCCAGTCATTGCGCGTTTTTTGCATCACCTTTTACTGCACCACTGCACTGCACTTAAAACTTATCTTGTAACAGAGGCCAGTGTTTCGGTAGTAAGGAGACTGACTCGTTCCCTGTCATCTGTATTTGGATTTCTCTCTTTTCTCTTTCCCGTCACCCCTTGCGACCCCCTTGACTGCGTTGACTCTCGTTGATAAAATAGAAGAGCTTCCTGGAGGCTGAGAGACGACTGGGGACGAGTCAGGTTAGGAAGTACTTTTGCAATCTCGTCCCCAGGGCGCTTTTCCCTGGCTTTGTAGAACCAGGGAAAAGCGCCCTGGGGACGAGGTTGATACTTTTGTTGGCGAGGGTCACGGAGGAGTATTATGTGTGATCATTTTCTCAATTCTTATAACCTTGTTTATTGGAACTACTTTTATATTGGACCGAGGAGAAAATGATTACTTCCTACTCGGACGACTTGTGAAAATACGTTCGTGCCTATGTTACATTTTAAAAAAGCAACATTGAAATCTTTTCTTGAGATGTATGTAAATAAATTAATTTTGAATTTTATAATCATGATTCAAATTATTTCTAAACTGTAATTGGCTGTGATATCGCATTTTTCTCATTATCGTCACTTCTAGCTTCTATATGTCTGTACGCATTTGTATACAGTCGAACCTCTCTAATACGGACACCCAAGGGACAGAGCGAAGTGTCCGTATTAGAGAGGTGTCCGTATAAAAGAGGTCACTACGATGACGTCACTTTTATGACTCCACTTACAGTTTTAAGTGTTCAGTAGCTAAAACCAGGCTTACACTCGTGTTTAAACTGCATTTAAGTTTATTAATTCACAGTACAAAGACACTGTCTTTCAATAACATACAACATTGTACATATCAGCTACGTACGTACAGTCGTAGAAAAATCACTGTATCAAAAGGAAACGAGCTACAGCGCAATGCTGCATGGAAAAAGTTGTAACGTAAAGCACATCTTTGAAAGCGTCTTGCGCTATTTTGCAAGTGCAGTAAACAGTAAGTAGAGTGCAAAATGTAATAGAAAAGGTCTTTATGCTATCTGCAGTTATTCAAGCCTTAAAACAGTCGGTTATGTTCCTCTGTACACCTTTTGCAAATCGTCGTTTAAAAAAAAAGCGACGAGCTTCTGAAGTCACCTTGCATGGCTCATCAGCCAGACGGGATTCACCCTGTACAGATTCACATGATCTTGATTCGGCATTCACCTGATAACCGCAGTGTCCGTAATAAAGAGGTTAAGCTTATATGAATTTACTTTCTGGGCCGAGATTTAGTGTCCGTTGTCCGTATTAGAAAAAGTCCGTATTATAGAGTTTCTTGTAAAGAAAATATATGAGAATTTTGTCGGAACATTGGAAAGTGTCCGTAATATAGAGGTGTCCGTACCGAGAGGTTCGACTGTATTTGAACTTCGCCGCCATTTTACAGTGAGGACTTAGGAACTAGGATAAATCGTTAAGCCCCGATATCCATGCCACTTACAAATTCTCCAAACTCATCTCCATACATTTCCTTAAATAATTAGTTAAGAGAATTTGATAGCAGATCAAAGCATTTTCTCTTTAGTGGTCACTATATGATCTCTCATAACCATTTTTCTTGGCAACATATGGATATTGTCAGGAGAAAATTGATATTGGTCACTATTGGGACTTAAAGGGTTAAAGCTTAGAATGGATCGTTACTCCTTTTTTGCCTCTAGCAAGTCTCCAGACTGCAAGCATTCTCTTAGTTATCTTTAAAGTCCGTGGAGTGGCACCCGGGGGAGGGGGGGGAACTCCTATTTAAAAGCTTCTCGGAAATTTAAGATTAAATCCCTATGTGACCATTTGACTAAAACAGAGATCACGGCATTTTTTTATGGAAACCCTAAGCAATACCTGAATGGGCAAATATAGGTTGAGTATTAGGAACATAAATTATTTCAATGAAAAGCTTTTATTGGAAATTAGTTAATGAATCCGTGGATTTGTTCTCATGAATTTTCTTTACAGGCAACCAAGTCAAGAAAGATAATATTAAAAACTGTGTATGTCCTGAAATTAGCTTGACTTCCCAGCTGAGCAGAAATCACGGTATTTTGAACACTGATTCCTTCCTCAAAATGACGATCGACCGTGGAAAAAAAGCCTTTCCACCACAACGAAAGGTTTCCTTACTTCCACATTCAGTATGCGTGAGAAAATTAGTTACTGCTTTTGCATCATACAGGCCGATGACTAATTAAAAAAATTAGCCAGCGCCATGAGATGGTACCGTTACTTAAATTCAGGACTGGCCATGCACCGTTTGTTCTTTTGTATCCGTTCTCAGTTTTTGAAGATCTACATGCAAAGAGATTCTTTCACCCCGTTAGGATAGTGACTTAATTTCGAACTAAATCGTGTGTACGTCATAGAGCCGTCAGTCATGGTTGTGGTTTGACGAATGACGCACACAGTCGCTTCCACTTTACACTGCTCGCACTTTGCAGCACGCCGCAAAAGTCGCCTTTATTGGAAACTTAATGTTTCAAACGTTCGTGCAAACATGCAGCCGAAACAAGGTGACAAAGATTTCACTTTAATCCTAAAACACGACAAGGAGATGAGAGTAAGTAGAAATGAAATTGCGGCTTCAAGCGATTTCTTTTCTACTCTTCTCAACAGCGAAATGAGGGAGAACAAGGAAGGAATTGTTCGGTTAGAGCACATCACAGAGGCATGTATGAGAGATGTGTTAGAGTTTATACGATCTGGTAGTGTTGAAATAACCGCTCCAGAGAATGCGAAAGAGCTGATCGGGGCAGCGGAATATTTACTTCTTGACAGATTGAAAACATTCTCTGAAAAAAATCTAGTGCAGGAAACATTAACATCTTCAAATTGTATGTCAATTTATTATTTTGCTGAGCAATATCGATGCCAAGAGCTGACAATGAAGACTAGGCAATTTATCCTATCAAACTTTGCCGCTGTGACTGAATCCCAAGATTTTCTTTGTTTGGATAACCAGCAAGTGGTGGAGTGGATTTGCAGGGATGACGTAGCTGTTAGTACAGAAGATGTCATATTCAAGGCCATAGTAAGGTGGATTCAACATAGCAAAAGCGAGCGGAAAGGGAAGTTCGAAGAATTATTTCGACACGTCAGATTGTCCTTTATATCGCGTGACTATTTGCTGAGTGATGTTCTAGCCAATGATCTCGTGTCAGGGTGCTCAAACTGTTTGAAGCTTGCCAAAGACGCTGCAGAAGGAAAATGTTCTTTCCAGTCACCCAGGAATTGGATTGATACACACCTAGTCGTTTACATGGGCAAGGAGACCTATTGTTATGAACCTGACGGAGACAAGTGGTATAAGTTAGCGGACACGCATTGGACATACACAAACACAAATCCTTACAAAATGTGCTCTTTTCAAGAAAAGCTGTATGTTTTCCCAAGTTCGCCGAATGTCTGTTATAAAACAGCAGAAATGTTCGACCCATCTTTGAATGGCTGGACTACGTTTGACTATCAGACTGGACAGGCTTCCAGACAGACTTTCGGTTTAGCAGTGGTAAGGGGGCAACTGTTTGCTGTTCATGATGATCCTTCTGAATGGTACCGTACCAGCAGAAATACGCTCCTTCGACGGTGTCTACAGCCGTCATTTTATTTATCCAAGTATAATTTTAAGTCAAACACATGGATCGATGTTGATTGCTATGGAAGTAAACCAGTGGCTGCCAGAGATCCCTGTATAATCGCCATGGACAGATACCTGTACGTTATTGGTGGTGTAATGCTTACTGACTTTGAGACTATATCATCACCTTATAGACTAGACACTATGACTCTACACTCAGGAATAGGGGATGGCGGGAATCAGAGCTGGGATCGTATAACGGAGATGAAAGTGCCAAGATGGGCAGCCTGTGGCACTGCTGCACATGGGAAGATTTTTATCGCTGGTGGATCACCCAACGGAGGGTCTTACTGTCGGAGCTGTGAAGTGTACAACGTTGAAGCAGACGAATGGCAGTTGATAGCATGTTTAAATTCTCCTCGCTTTTTCGGCAGCATGGTGTATTTGAAGGGAATTCTGTATGTGGTAGGCGGACGTGGTCGAAACGCTGACAAAAGAGTAATGGCAGTTGAAAGTTATGACTTTGAGGAAAAGAAATGGAAAGAGAGAACAAAGTTGCCAATCAACAAAACGTTTCCCGAGTTGAAATATGATAGTTGCGCACTAAATATTCCAAGAATACTCATCAATACCATCCCCATAGTTAAGGTGGTACATTCCTCAAAAATCACTATTTTTTGATATGTTCTTTTGCAAAAGTATTCCCAGGTATTCTTAAACTGTAGCATGAGATGAGTATATTTTTATACTTTTTGTCTTGTTTAGGTACCATGGCAACCAATAATGCTAAAAATAAACCCCCTGGGATAACCGGTACAAGAACACTTCTATCTCCAAGACATTACAAGGAAAACTGCTGAAACTTTTGGAATTTCATCTACATATTATTTTTCATGCAATGAACTAAAGGCATTTTTATCAGGCTGATAGATACAAAATTATTGCAATAAACAGATGGACAGATACCTGTACGTTATTGGCGGTTTGATGCTTACTGACTTTGAGACTATATCATCACCTTATAGACTAGACACTATGAGTCTACACTCAGGAATAGGGGATGGCGGGAATCAGAGCTGGGATCGTATAACGGAGATGAAAGTGCCAAGATGGGGAGCCTGTGGCACTGCTGCACATGGGAAGATTTTTGTCGCTGGTGGATCAGCGGAAGGAGGGTCTCCCAGTCTTGACACCTGTGAAGTGTACAACATAGAAGCAGACGAATGGCAAGTGATAGCAAGTTTAAATTCTCCTCGCTTTTCCGGCAGCATGGTGTATTTGAAGGGAATTCTGTATGTGGTAGGCGGACGTGGTCGAAACGTTAATAAAAGAGTAATGGTAGTTGAAAGTTATGACTTAGAGAAAAAGAAATGGAAAGAGAGAACAAAGTTGCCAATCAACAAAACGTTTCCCGAGTGGAAATATGATAGTTGCGCACTAAATATTCCAAGAATACTCATTAATCCCATCCCCAAAGGACTGCCAGCGTTGCTAAGGCCCTTGTTGCTAAGGTCATGACAGAGTGCTTTTAGGTAGTCTTGTCTGCTACAAGAACAATGTCAGGGAGAGGATGAGGACTAAAAATATGGAGCGCCATATTGGTGTTCCAAAACAATACATCGTTTTCACTGTCACGCAAGAAACAAATAAATTGGAAACCGTCCAGTGGAAGAGGCCAAGAAAATGAAATGTTATAAAAGACTAATATATAAACAATTTGCCCACGTCTCAGGTCTTTGTGGCCCACAGTTTCTGAGTTATTTGCTGAAACGTTTTACGCAACTTTGTAGAGCTTTGTATGGAGACGCCATATTGGTGCACCGTTTTGGTGCACCAATATGGCCGCCGAAAATCAACAAAAACAGCTGGAGTTCACTTTTTCTATAAAAGCTCTTTCTTTCCGCCCTCAAGAACTAGAATACGTGCGAATAAACATATCTTCTAATAGTTGAAATGGTTATACTGCTGAAAATCAGGAGGAGAGACTTTTTTCCAACGAGACAGCATTCCTATGTTGGTATCACGCACTGCGAAAACTCGGAAGTTCAAATTGCTGTATTTTCGAAATGAAACATGCTACGGGAATGGAAACTTGTACAAAGATTTATTTTTTGTTTATCTTCAACCTAGTGTAAATAAGAATTCGTAAAACCCCGCTATTTTGACTTTACAATTTGGTGACGTCACTGTGAAAACCATCTATAAAACGGTGGCCATGTTGGTTTTCCAAACAAATCCTATTCCTGTAGGGGTTCAGAAGCCGGGGAGTTGAAATCTTTTCTTTAATATGCAAACACTTTTTACAGTTCCAATAAATTTGCACTTAGCCTGAGAAAACAGCCGACATGTCGCGAAATTTCATACTGATAACTCGTTACTACCCAGATCTGGGTAGTTCTCAGCGCCGTAGCTAGTATGAGGCCAACCGAGGCACTCGCCTCGGTAAAATTTTGACGAATTTCGCCGATCATTTTTATTTTACATAAGCGATCATCGGATATTTTTAACGCATCATGATATTACAAAGAATTCAGCAATTCAGTCAATATACTATGAAAAAATTACCATATCATCGATCTCAAGGGGCTACGTACGTTACCTCGTTACCTCGTTACCTTTTTTTGAACAAATACTGATCAAAACCATTGGCGAGGTTAACGGTCACCGAGATTATGTAGCTTGTTTCTGATTATTGCTTTTTAAATTCCACTTAAATTAACTCGAAAAAAAGTTACCGAAAGGCCCAGAAAACGCTGCAAATCGCATTTCCGAGAGACTAAAGTTCAAAATTTCTCGGGGGGGGGGCATGCCCCCGAACCCCCCTAGCAACTCCCGTCTGCCTCGGTTGGCCGTTTGGTCTGGCTACGGCACTGAGTTCTTTTCAATTTGTCCGTGCTGTGAAGGGACGTAGTGTACTTCATTTATGATTTTTTGTACGTCTGAATAAACTTGAATGTGTTTTTTACATATTTGGTTTTCTTTTCCTGTATGCACTTAGCGACACCCTCTGTCCGCTTGTAGACTACGAGTAGTCCCTTATTTGTCCTCAGGGATAGTAGAGCAAGCGGAACGCGAGCGCGCGTGAAAATCACCCCAGGATACACCCCGCGTGTCGCCGTTTCTCGCGTGGGGTTATTTTCACGCGCGCTTACGTTTCGCTCGCTCTACTATCCCTGAGGAAAAATGGGAGACTACTCGTAGTCTGGTCCGGTTGCACTTAGCATCACATGCAAATTATCATGTCTCTCAGCATGCTCAAGACACGTTGAGAGCTTTCACGACAGGGCAACTTAATATCTTAAGTGTCTACATATTTGTTGCGTGTAATTTCTTAATATCATCAAATTTTTATGCTAATTTGCTAACGAGGAGAACTATTTTCGTTATCCAAAGATAGCGTGTTAATAAAACAACCAAAACAACATTAAGTAAACTAAGTGGACTTTTCCTTTTGAAAGTCTAAAAACTGACGTATGATGCCACTAGCGAACATAGCGAATTTGTTTCATACATACATAAGAACTGAATATACGATTGTTTTCAATATCACCCGTTTTGTTTAAGGTAAACAAAATACGATTTTTCCATCGGAGACCGGAATCTGCATAAGCGAAGCATCGGTGAATTGATTAAATATGCCATTTAATGCCAAAACACCAAGAAAAATTGAATTTTCATTAATGGCAAAGAAAATCAGATATAAATTATGACTTCTCTTCAGGAATGTTCAAGAAATCGATACGAAAATCTCTCGCAGAAATAACCCCCGTTTGTACTGCTTAACCGTAAGCGACGTTTCTAAAACCCTTTCACTAAAACGAACCCCTTCTATACTTGGATGAGTTCCATCTCATACAACATCGTGTGAATTAAATATTTATTGTTTATTACTCAAGAGGTTTTCTGCTGCAAGCGTTTCATTTGACGGTCATTGCGTGCTTTAAGTTGTCTTAAAGTGGCGTTCTTGGACATTGAACTGGGTTTTCGGTTTTTCGCACGCATGTCTTCTTTGGGTGATACTTGATAGCTTTATTATGTCCAACAGATTGACTTTTATGGCTTTATAACAGAGAATGTGAAAGACATCGATGAAAGACGTGCCTTCTTAAGACGTGACGTATAGTCGAAAAATATTATATTTCCTTCCTTTAGGAGGTGGGATTCCGTGCGTATAAAGCAGTATCAAAATATACAAGACTTTCGATTTGGTGGAGACGAAGCACTACAACTATGATGTCAGAGCCACAACGAAGCCAAAGTTTTGACAGTCATGAATCGGAAGTAGATGGGCATCACTCGATTGTGCAACAAGACGAAGAGATCTTTCAAGAGGTGAAATCTAAAGAAACCGATTTCACTTTCAAAATTATGTGCGTCGGAGATTACACAGGTTTCGGTAAGAAGGGAGGCTTTGTTTCGGACTATATTCAACGCCGACCGCTTAGCTTTTATCACAAGCCGACGATTGGGGTTGATTTTTACTTGAATTTCATCACTTGGATCGACAAACAAACTAAGAAAGAATCCACAGTAAAGCTACAGTTTTGGGATGTAGCTGAACACGAACGCTTTCTTAAAATGACCAGCGTTTTTTGCCGGAATTGCGTCGGCGCTTTGGTGTTTTGGGGGCCAAAAAGCCCTTCTCCACTTGGAAGCGTTTTAAAGTGGAGTGAAAAGATCCGAGAAGCGAACCCCAAGGACGCTAATATCCCGATGGTGCTTGTAATAGAGAACATTCCCACATCGAAGCGTGGAAAACCAGTGGATTGGATCGGACACGGAAAAATGCTGGAAAGCAAGGTTCTTCTAGACGAGTTTTGTACTAGAAATGGCTTTGTAGGCTGGTTTCAGCTTTTTTCAAGAGAAGGAGATGGTTACACGGGCGTCATGACCCGAGCGGTCGATTGTTTGGTTCAAAATATTTTCAAACAGCAAAATGTTCGAAAGACTTCATAAGAATTTTTTGCATCTTCCGGTAGACAATGCTGAAGATATGCCAAATTATATGGATCTTCCGGTTTTAAGTGAAGAAGGCAGGAGATTCTATTTTAGTTGAAAACAAACAAACTTTGTCTGAGATGGAAAAGTGTGTTCGTTTTAGAGATTATTTTGTACTGAGGCATTATAAATGTTTTCGTGACATTAAAAGAGTCGTCTTCAAGATGAAGACTTTTAGGAAACACGAAGGAAAATAATTAGACTTTTTTTTACTCTTGATGACAAGTATAAATAAAAAGACTTGACAGTTGGTAGAGTCTTTTTTCTAAAATATTTTAAAAACTCGTGAATGGGCTTCTACTAGGCTATAACGCGGGTAACATTTTTGCCAAGTTAGCTGAAACAGGTTCTTGTATAAACGTAAATTAGCACAAGAAAATGAAGTGTTATTCAACCTTTTCCTCTAGAAAATCTGCTTACCAAATAGGCGTCCTCGTAAAAATGTTTATTATACGAAAAATTGAAGCACAGATCACAAGTTGACCCCTCATTTCATTCCCCAGGTGCACACAGATAAGATAAGAATCTGTTTCAAAGTTTAGGCTAAACGGATTCTTGAATAGGGATGTTAAAATGAAAAATTTTTGCCTAGCCGGTCATTAACTATAAATTCGCCGTTTCCAGTTACAAGAACGACGACACACAACATTTCTAGCAAAAATAGTTTATTTCGAACTTATCGCTAAACATTCATCCCAGTATTTTCGATATTTCCATACCCTTTGGCCCTGTCCACACTAATGCGTTTTCGTTGTCATCGAAAACGCATCGATAGATATCGCGTCCACACCACCGTTTTGTCCGGGGGGAGAAGGGGCGGTACTCCTCTATATAAACGAAACGACGGCAGACGGCAGCGAAATGTAACAAGAAGTCTGCAGCACGAACAAAATCGTTTAAAAAATTGTTTATGCCGAAACTCCCCAAAGACCATTTCTTCCAATTCAACTCATTTTCAACAGAGTTCCATGTACAAAACATTTGATCACCTACGCTGCTTTTCAGCATACTCTTTTAGTCCACTTTGTAGGGCAGCGAGATTCATTCCTCGTCTTACTAAAACACAAGTAACACCTAGAAGAAGCAACAATAAGTCATCATTTTGTAATACAGTCGAACAGACGAACCTCCACTTGCGACCAGCTCTTAAGCCACATCACTTTTTCACGTATAAAAAATGCAAAAGCACAAATTCGTACGCATTTACAGACTTGCACCGGGCTCGAGTTAACGTAGCTTGTAGACGTTTTTCTCTGTTTTTCCTCGAAAATTCGACAGTGCGCGAGGTGCGAGAACGAGCGCGAAGCGCAAGAAAATTGTCTATTTTCTGTTTTCCCCACCACCTTGCGCTTAAGGTCAATAAATCTCCCGCGGTTTTTGTTTTCATACGCGCGCTCGACGATGAACAGGCTATTATGGTCATGACAGTGGTGATGAGAACACAGTTATAAAAGCCTCTTTATTCCAAGCAGTGGCGATAAACTGGATTCTTACCTAGTCTGCTGATCTCATGAATATTTCTCTGTTCATCGTCAAAGAATAACATATTTGAGTAAGGTACTCCACTAGCCTGGGTAAATCTAAAACACAAACAAATTTCAAAGGAAGTATAAACTTATCAGCAATAACATATCAGGTTAGTAGATTATTCCATGCATCCTCGGGGGTCGGTACTCAACAAATGCTTATACGGGAAGGCTCTGTCCCGAGGTCCAACCCCTTACCCTTTTATGTACCATTTTTCACGAAAAACGTTCCCCTTTCGTATACCTTCTATTGACAAATGGTACCCCTTGTTTATATCTTGGCATCCAAAGGAATCAATCATAAAAATAGAACGTTTTCTCGACTTTATAAAGCCATAAAATTCATCTGTTAACCCTTTTGGACTCTTTCACAGACCCAAATGACAGATTTCCCGACCCTTTTATATGCTTCAACTAGCGGAGCCTTCCCGTATGGGCCATCATAAGAAGTAACCCCCCCCATGGGATTGCATCCATTTACTTATTTTTGATGGCAACACAATAACTCATTAAAAAGTGAGACACCATAAAAGGAAGTTGGGTTGGTGAAAAGGCAAAGTTTAAGTAAAGGCATTTTTAAATGACGAACGACAACCAGAAGGGGACTTTTTGCATTCTTGGTCAGTGGTTGTGCCCAAATTTTCGGACAAATTGTCTCTATCAGGGTATTAAGCAATACATTAAATTTGTTTACGTTAAGGCCTCACTTCTGGTTGACATGCACTGCTCAAAAACAACTTCCAATGTACCGTCTAAAAACTCTAAAGCACAGCACATTTTAAATGATGGGAGATGAGCTGTTGACTTAAATAACCTCTTTTTTCCCTATGAAATAGTTTTTGTTTATGTGCAAGGGAGTAGACATTTTCATCAAAGGTCACCCAGAATGCTAAAGGGGATACAAAGAAATGATACACATGTACTGCATCAGCTTAAAATAACCAATGTAAAACAATAAATAAACAAATAAACAATGTACTATTGTAAACTAAACACTTCTTGCAGGGACTATGTCAACATTCACTCACTTTTTAAAATGTGTAACCTTTGAACCAGGATAGATTTCTTTGTATGAAAAATACCAGTCTATATTTAGGACTTTCAATAGTTCCTTGGCTGCCGGAGGATCCTCGGTTCTAAAGTAAGACACCACAAGGTCAAACATCTTACAGTGCGTTTACATTTTCAGCCACTCTAATCTTAGGTCGGGGCCCGGGGGGGTACTGCCATATATTGGCTATATAGGTATGTGCCACTGTGAAGGGTATGGTTTTCAAGCAGTTTACTCTAGGATAGGGTATATAAATCAGAGCGTTTGGGTCTAGAATAGGGTATCATTTTTCAGGAAACTGATCAGTTGGTTGAAGTTTTTATCTAGACTAGGGAGACAGCTACTCTTGGATAGGGGGGATTTGAGGAGTTAACTCTAGTATAGGGTAGCAAAATTCAGCTGAACTAGCTCTGGTAGGTTAAGGGTTCCAGGGTCCCAGCGGCACATCCCTACCCAGAAATTCCTAAAGTACCCCCCCGGGGGTCGGGGGCTGTCTACACTGGTGCATTTTCAAAAGTATGCGTTTTTGTTGTCATTGAAAACGCATCAATCAGTTCGCATCCACACTACTGTTTTGATCATACATCTTTGACTGTCCACACTTTAATGTTTGAAAATGATAGAGTTGTGCGTTGTGACATAAGTTGAATTCAAAGACCATGCTACAAACACACACGCCTGCGATATTTTTTGGTCATGCTTTTCATTTTAATGCGTTTTTGACTATTTTCGAACATCCACACTCATACAATACATATGTGAATTCGTTTTGCTCACTTCTCAGGTGCATTTTTCAAACTGATGCATTATCAATGAAAACACTCAGCATATTAGTGTGGACAGAAGGCCTAAGCTTATCGAAATGTAAGCATTTTCAAACAAAAACACATTAGTGTGGACGGGGCCTTCCTTTAAGGAATAAGTGCAAGGTTCATAAAATAACTATCTTCTATACCAAGGCTCAGTTTCCAGAGTGTTGTTTAGCACTAAGCTAGAGTTAAAATAAAATTTTCTTGTTTTTAATTAAATTTTGTGTTTCAATATTTAATATTAAACACACATTAAAAACAAGAAAACTATCACAACATTGGACAAAATGGGACCCAAATGCTTAGAGATTGTGCACTTTCTTTGGGCTAGTCTGTTACGGATAATATTCTCGAACACATAGTTGGGAGCTGCATCTAAATGAAGTGTAACTTAATTAAACAACAGTTCATAACAATCAGCGCCTTGATGTGTTTATACGTGGGTTATTTTAAATATACAAATCTGCTGCTAGTCTCCACCAGGCCTCATGCCTTGTAATAATCTTGTTTATCCATTTCCCTCCTACTCTAACTTTTGAATTGGTGGAAGAAATCCTATGGTGTTACCATTCAAATGAAACCTCTTCAGTAGTACTTTCACATGGTACTATTTATTTAGTATGTAGTTCTAACTTTCGAGTCTGTGGATGAAATCCTAATATGATGCTACCATTCAAATGAAACCTCTTCAGCAATGCTTTCACATGGTACTATTTATTTAGTATGTAGTTCTAACTTTTGCGAGTCTGTGGATGAAATCCTAATATGATGCTACCATTCAAATGAAACCTCTTCAGCAATGCTTTCACATGGTACTATTTATTTAGTATGCAGTTCTAACTTTTGAGTCTGTGGATGGATTCCTCTGGTGTTACCATTCAAATGAAACCTCTTCAGCAATGCTTTCACATGGTACTATTTATTCAGTGTGTAGTTCTAACTTTTGAGTCTGTGGATGTAATCCTATGGTGTTACCATTCAAATGAAACCTCTTCAGCAGTACTTTCATATGATACTATTTATTCAGTGTGTAGTTCTAACTTTTGAGTCTGTGGATGAAATCCTATGGTGTTACCATTCAAATGAAACCTCTTCAGCAGTACTTTCACATGATACTTTTTATTCAGTGTGTAGTTCTAACTTTTGAGTCTGTGGATGTAATCTTATGGTGTTACCATTCAAATGAAACCTCTTCAGCAGTACTTTCACATGATACTATTTATACAGTGTGTAGTTCTAACGTTTGAGTCTGTGGATGAAATCCTATGGTGTTACCATTCAAATGAAACCTCTTCAGCAGTACTTTCACACGATACTATTTATTCAGTGTGTAGTTCTAACTTTTGAGTCTGTGGATGTAATCCTATGGTGTTACCATTCAAATGAAACCTCTTCAGCAGTACTTTCACACGATACTATTTATTCAGTGTGTAGTTCTAACTTTTGAGTCTGTGGATGTAATCCTATGGTGTTACCATTCAAATGAAACCTCTTCAGCAGTACTTTCACATGATACTATTTATTCAGTGTGTAGTTCTAACTTTTGAGTCTGTGGATGTAATCCTATGGTGTTACCATTCAAATGAAACCTCTTCAGCAGTACTTTCATATGATACTATTTATTCAGTGTGTAGTTCTAACTTTTGAGTCTGTGGATGTAATCCTATGGTGTTACCATTCTAATGAAACCTCTTCAGCAGTACTTTCATATGTCTAACTTTTGAGTATGTGGATGAAATCCTATGGTGTTACCATTCAAATGAAACCTCTTCAGCAGTACTTTCACACGATACTATTTATTCAGTGTGTAGTTCTAACTTTTGAGTCTGTGGATGTAATCCTATGGTGTTACCATTCAAATGAAACCTCTTCAGCAGTACTTTCACATGATACTATTTATTCAGTGTGTAGTTCTAACTTTTGAGTCTGTGGATGTAATCCTATGGTGTTACCATTCTAATGAAACCTCTTCAGCAGTACTTTCATATGTCTAACTTTTGAGTCTGTGGATGAAATCCTATGGTGTTACCATTCAAATGAAACCTCTTCAGCAGTACTTTCACATGATACTATTTATTCAGTGTGTAGTTCTAACGTTCGAGTCTGTGGATGTAATCCTATGGGGTTACCATTCAAATGAAACCTCTTCAGCAGTACTTTCACATGATACTATTTATTCAGTGTGTAGTTCTAACTTTTGAGTCTGTGGATGTAATCCTATGGTGTTACCATTCAAATGAAACCTCTTCAGCAGTACTTTCACACGATACTATTTATTCAGTGTGTAGTTCTAACTTTTGAGTCTGTGGATGTAATCCTATGGTGTTACCATTCTAATGAAACCTCTTCAGCAGTACTTTCATATGTCTAACTTTTGAGTATGTGGATGAAATCCTATGGTGTTACCATTCAAATGAAACCTCTTCAGCAGTACTTTCACACGATACTATTTATTCAGTGTGTAGTTCTAACTTTTGAGTCTGTGGATGTAATCCTATGGTGTTACCATTCAAATGAAACCTCTTCAGCAGTACTTTCACATGATACTATTTATTCAGTGTGTAGTTCTAACTTTTGAGTCTGTGGATGTAATCCTATGGTGTTACCATTCTAATGAAACCTCTTCAGCAGTACTTTCATATGTCTAACTTTTGAGTATGTGGATGAAATCCTATGGTGTTACCATTCAAATGAAACCTCTTCAGCAGTACTTTCACATGATACTATTTATTCAGTGTGTAGTTCTAACTTTTGAGTCTGTGGATGTAATCCTATGGTGTTACCATTCTAATGAAACCTCTTCAGCAGTACTTTCATATGTCTAACTTTTGAGTATGTGGATGAAATCCTATGGTGTTACCATTCAAATGAAACCTCTTCAGCAGTACTTTCACATCATACTATTTATTCAGTGTGTAGTTCTAACTTTTGAGTCTGTGGATGTAATCCTATGGTGTTACCATTCTAATGAAACCTCTTCAGCAGTACTTTCATATGTCTAACTTTTGAGTATGTGGATGAAATCCTATGGTGTTACCATTCAAATGAAACCTCTTCAGCAGTACTTTCACATGATACTATTTATTCAGTGTGTAGTTCTAACTTTTGAGTCTGTGGATGAAATCCTATGGTGTTTGCATTCTAATGAAACCTCTTTGGCAATACATTTGAATAGTACTGTTTGTTTGTTATGATTTTAGAAAATGAAATTTTGAACTTTTTGCTGAGTTTTTTGTTGGTCACTATGAAGAAACTCTCTTCTATGCAGAGGCCTCTTTGTGTTGTGGGGAGGCTGGGAAGAAAGAAAAAGAACGCGCGCAGGAAAGCCCCGAGCCCTTTCTATTTTTTCGATTATTGCTATTTTTATAGGGATACCCAGCGGGAGCCTCTGTGGAGGAGAGAGATCAAGAAAGAAACGGTTGAGGTAGGCATTGTTTAGATACTAGGTAGCCTGCATTGCAGATGTAATCTAATCTTGGTTAGTAATGTCTGTGAAGTAGTGCCTAAATTCTTGTTCTGGGTCCCCAATAGACTCAACAAATTACCGTAAGTGTGTTTCAAATTTCTTTTTTGTCCATTATTGACTCACCGAGAGGCTGCTGCTAAGCATATTCCTTGTGACTTCAGAAGTCTTAAGATTTCAAGTGTATCATCATACAGCTTTATCTTGTATCCATGTCTATCTTCTACAGAACCATTGCTACAACAAAAAGAAAGTGATCAGCTATCAGGGTTTACTTAATCAGAACTGACAATAATGTTAGAGAGAATTATAAACAATACTGCAACAAACTGGGTACTTGTCAGGGAATAGAAAAGTAGGTAGGTAGGTCAGAATTTTATTTATCCACATTACACGGATGAGTGCAAGACTCGTTTAAATGTGAACGCGCCAAATTACTATAAATGGACAAAACTTTAAATACTACTAATAATATAAAATAAATAAATAAAATAAAATAAAATATACAAAGATATAAAAATAAAAAATAAAAAATAAACGAAAATCAATAATACTAAGAGGAAATCTAGCTATATAGAATCCAAACTATGTACTAAAGGTACAATTACACTCAACTCCGGTAGTCAAGTTGACTTCATCTAGCATTGACTTAAAAATGTAGCACAGGCCAATAACCCAGAGTAAGTAACTCCTCTGCTAGGCCTACATCACAGCACTTATTGGCCTGGGAACTGGCTCCCAGGTGGAGCAGGGAGAAAAAGACCAAAGCGGCCAGGCAAAGCCAGCCAAGTGTGGCCTGGGGGAGAAAAAAGGCAGGTAAGCCTACAGGGTTTGTTTTGATGCTCCCCATCTGATTGGTCAGATTGTTCCTGTTGATAAGTGAGCGATCAAAAATACCCAAGTACGTGTGAATGTTATTGAAGCTGATGCATTCAAGCACAAAAAAACAACATAATTTAACAGGTCAAATTACCTTATTGACATGTTATTGACATACACGTAACAGGATAATAAAAAGCAAGTGGATGGATGAATGGCATCAAAATGTAGTCTAATAGCTTCCCAGTCTCCCCCTGCCAATTTTCCTTTTCATCTTGCTCCAAATGGGAGCCTGTTTGCGGGCTACAATTTTGTGGACCAGTTTATTTTTAGATACATTTTAGAGCACTTTTTCTCCTGCAAAAGGAAGCTCCACTTTGTCTATGAGCATATTTAAAGTATAAAACATGAAAAAGGAAAAGTAAATGTCATTAAAAGGTCAGTTGGTTTTGCTGACTAGTTTGAGGGACTTGGAAGATATTCTAAAGCTGCCCCAAAATGGTTAAAATTATTGCGTTGGACATTAGGAGAACGCAACACATAATCTTGGGACTCCTGTGGTACTCAATTGGGTCTCCTGTGGTGCTCAAGGGTGACCTTTTGTGGTACTCATTTCGTCGTACGTCTGTATTTTCTGCGCCATCTTGAATAATTTATCTCGTGGGGACAAAAATGTTAAATACAATTGATTTGACGTATGGTTTTAGCAATGGTTGCGTGGCGCAATGGATAATGCATTGCCCTCACATGTCAATGGTTTTGGGTTCAACTCCCGCTGGGTGAGATTTTTTCTTTTTTCCGTAGTCGTTTTGTTTTGTTTTGTTTCTTTTTTAAAAAACATATTGGAAGCATTTTGCAGCATCAATTTATTAGGAAATAACGTCACATTTGACAGTAAAACTAAAAGAGCTCGAACGCACTTCCTAATCTGAGATTACTCCTAGTTACAAAAATATAGTCAGTGAAAACATTGTGACATGAGTTACTTGCTCAGGGTTTTGCAGGGCTCTAGACAGTATACCGGTAGTCTCATAGGCAGCAGAGCAGGGGAGGGTGGGGGGCATGGTGGGCTATGTGCTGAGAAACACTGTTAGGAGAGGTCCACAAACTGTAGTGGATGTATTTGCCATTACATGTGACATTGAGCATAAAATTCTGCCCCAAGATGACTCAACAACTACCTAGTAAGAAACATGATGAAGCAGGACTGTCTGAACAACTGCCTACTGATGCATTGTTAAAAATCAAATATGGAGACTAGACACTGTCAAGATTGCAAAGAGATTTGCCTGTGCCAACAAACAAGCCAAAGGTCATTTTGGAAAATTTGAGTGGGGATATGTGGATGGTTTTCAAAATGCTCTGCTACCTCTGAGTCTACAGTACATGCCGTACATAACTTGCAACCATGTGCTTTTGATCTTGCAGTGGCAATGATTTCTGTCACTGTGAAACGTTATTGTGCGTGATCCTTGCCATTTAATTCTAGATGAGCACCAACTTGATCTCTTTTTATCAGTTAATTTTTATACAGGAAAAATATTATTGGTTACTCTGAGGTGAGTACACAAGTGAATATTATGATAAACCTAAGCAAGCAACAAAACATAACCATGCAACACAAGTCCAGCCCATCAAAAAATTAAGCTGGTTATAACTCTTTTAGTCAGCAAAATATTAGTTAAGCGTAGCTTAAGAGTCTCACGTGCACAAAACTATGAGCCTCACACACCCGTTTCTTGCCTGAACTTAAGATGAAGAAATTTTAACCAGGTTATTCAAAACTAACCTGGTTAACTTGCTAAGTGTGGCCACAGGCACTCTAACAAATATTTGCTTATGTTCATTACAAATAACAATATACCAACCTTTTTCTTGAAAATGGCGCTGTCACATGAGTATCTGCCCAAAAAGGCCATAGGGTAAAATCTGTTCATTAAAATAAAATAAAAATTTTGATAAATTTTGATAGTCAAGGAAATAGTGTAAAATCCTGGAACTTCATAGTTTCCAGTAGACTTGCAGCTCTTCAGAACCTCTAGTAATAATTATTGAATTGGACCCCTATAGGTCGCAGCTCTTTTGCTTTTTGGCTAAGTTCCATTGTTAACTTTGTTGCGGAAGAACCAAAAGGCTTGCCTTGGTGGGGTGGTCAGTGGCACTTTTTTTGGTGTATAGTGGGGTTTTTGCAAAATCTGTCCACATTCTTGGGATGCCTTTGTTCTTCCAACTAATATGCATTGGTACGTGGCTGATAATTGGCCATAAAGGCCCTGGTGTTGAGTGCAAGGTCCATGCTAGCGTGAATAGTACACAAATCTGCACGTGACTGCATCATCAACGTTTTCCAAGGCGCTGATGCTGCATTTCTCGTTGCACTCTGAGAAGTTGGGGAACACTAACAAGAAGAAAGTCGAGAAAGAGAAATTTTTGGAAAAGTAAGCTCCGAATTGATTTTCAGTATACAGCAGAACCCCATTAATACGGTCACCAATTTGCCAAAAAAAAAATTGGCTGTATTAACGGGGTGGCTGTATTACGAGCATAGGCTCAAATTTCGTGACTTAAGGGCCGTAATTACAAATACACCATGAATACACTGTACATCGCTCGTACGGTCCTTCAGTACATGAAACTCATTTAACATTTGGCTGTAAATCACCACAAGTGCATTTTAAGTGTACTGTATTCTGAAAACAGTACCAGAATAAGCTTAGGTTACTAGATCAATAAAATCGCCATGTCACAGGCACTTTGACTTTCTAAATTTCAGTCGAGAAGCTGCGTTAACGGGGTGAAATTATAAGGGATTCTACTGTTTGGGATTTTAAAACATGGCTGTTGGCCGTATTAATGGGTGACCGCATAAACGTTAAATTTTGTAATAAGAAAATGTATGGTCGTTTTGCAGCGCCAAAAAAAACTGGCCATAATAATGAGGTGACCATATTATTGAGGTGGCTGTAAGGCAGGGTTCTAACGGGGTGGCTGTATTACCATCGTAGGCTCAAATTTCATGACTTAAGGGTCGCAGTTACAAATACACCAGGAATAGACTGTACATCGCACATACAGAGATTTTATTGAAAAACCTTCTTAAAATTTTCCTTCAGTACATGAAACTCATTTAAAATTTGGCTGTAAATTGCCACAAGTGCATTTTAAGCGTACTGTACTCTAAAAACAGTACAAGAATAAGCTTAGATTACTAGATCAATAAAATCGACATGTCACGGGCACTTTAACTTTCTAAATTTCAACCGAGTGGCTGCATTAACGGGGTGAAATTATAAGGGATTCTACTGTTTGGGATTTTAAAACATGGCCGTTGCGTATTAACGGGTGACTGCATAATCGTTTTTTTGTAAGAAAATGTATGGTTGTTTTGCAGCGCCAAAAAAACTGGCCATAATAATGAGGTGACCGTATTATCGAGGTAGCTGTAAGGCACGGTTCTACTGTATAATCAAGTTAAATCAAGGTAAACGTATTATCCATTTCTCTCATATTTTGTCACTATAGTGGTGCAAAGCATGTTTATCAGCTTGCAGAGGGTAGTGTGAAGCTATGTCATCTGAAAGGTTTCATAAACTAAAGTTTACATTTCACAATTTAGCTTTGCATTAAGTAGAGCCTTATAACAGCTTAGTACGGAATGAGTCTTCGGTAAGATAGGAGTGTTTGCAAAGTCTAGAAATCCATCTAAATTAAGTTAATTCAGGCTACACTTCAGGGCGTAGTTTTTATTTTTTAAATACGTTTACAAGCATGTTAAGTAGCTTGTCATCTGAAAGCTTCAATAAGCTTTAAACTTCAGTGGTAAACGAAGCTTTTTCATTATTTTCTATTGCATCTCTATGGCCTTTGGTCATTGAACACGGATTGAATAACCGATTGAATAATAAGACTTTGTGGGGTCATGACTGGCCTGGCGCATGCTACTGGTGTACACGGCTAAGAATCTCACATCGTTTGGCTCTTATGAACTTATTAAAACTCAGATCGCATCGATATTTGGCAAGAAGTTAAAGTTTATAAACAGCTTTTCATTGAATATTTTTTTTCTGGCTGTAAGACCAAAATAAAATTGAAATATGAAAAATATGGCTCAAAATGGGACCATTTTTTAACAGCTCGCGTAACATTTACAGTCTAACCACGCATATTGTGGGATTTCTCTGTTTCTGTTAATGGTACTTTGGAAAAATTTCTCCGAAGAGGTCAGTGACTTATGAGTACTAACTGTATTAAAAATTACTGAACATAATGGCAAAACAACAAAGTTTAGGGCATTTTCAGAAAGATGTTCTGTCTACATACGATCTCTGTGCAGCGCGAACGTCAATTTAAAAGATTGCTTTTCATTGACTTTCTGTTGTTGTTAAGAGAAGAAATAATAATTTTTGGAATGCTCATAAGTTAAATTTTCCTTATAGACTAACTGTTAAGACTTCGGGAAACCCATTTTTACGCTAAGATCAAATATGTAAGGTTAGACAGCATTTTTTAACGTGAAAATTCGTAAACCGTGCGTTGGACCGAAAATCGGATTCTAGAGTGTGCTTTGGCATAAAGATTTTGTGCCTAAAATGTGCCTAAGATGTGCATAAAGTGTGCATTTTAGTTTTGAAAAACGTGCCTAAGCCGTGCCTAAGTTGTGCCCAAACTGTGCCTAATCTGTGCACAAGTTGTGCCAAAATATTGAGTCACTTGGAAAATCGTGTCCAGCCTATCGAGCTCCACAGCGAACGAAAAGGGCGCACGGCAATTATGTCAGTTTTGAGGTTTAAGAAAGTCTAGAAACACGGTCTGACGACTCAGAATACGGTTAGAGACAGCAGGGAAAGCCCCGACAAACAGGAAAATGGAATCTTAAACAGGTTAGCGTATTTAAAGTAAGTGCTCAGCTCAATTACATTGTTGATATTGTGCTAATTTCATTGATGCTGAAAAATTTCCAAGTAGGTTTCTTCTCCCCCTCTTAATGGAGCGTTTAGTTGGAACGAAATATTTGTTTTTTTCAGGAGGGCAGATTTGCATTCAAAAAAAGAATTTACTTGTGATATAACTTATAAAATGAAAACGAAAAAATTGATTGCACGCCGATGAGTTTTGAAATAAATGGCACGTCTCATTGATTATTATACGACCAAAGCTTAATTTGCTAACAGAGCCAGAAAACAAAAACAAACAAGCAGCTTGAATTATTTTACTACAGTGTAAATCCTACTTTTTTAGTTAGAGAAATATTTTTAAAAAGCAGCCGCATTTTGTATTTAAAAAACAACACGTGTTGGCATGAAGGTTTCAAATTACCACTTTGTACTTTTCATGTTGTTATGCAAATTCAGGCCAATTTTACCGCGATCACAAAAAGTATTTTCTACGACTTTTATTGGCTATTTTTGTGCCTCACTTCTTTAGCTTTGTTTTTGTTATTATGGCTTCGACTTTCTTTCAAGATTTCTTTTAGAAATGAAAGAAAGCGAGTCTATAAAATTGCATGGCAATCGAAAAGGTTCAGACCGGCATATATCGCGTCTGAATTTCCACTTTATCTGCGGAGTAAACACGGACTGTCGAAGAATACTTTAATTTTCCAGACTTTCGGCGTGGCTCAAAACTTACACTTCCTATACTTCTAACTGTATCATGTTTGATCTGAATTATTTTTGTAATTCGTACCAAGTTTGTTCTTTTTTGCAAGTCGGGTTACAAAGATTTTCAAAAAAGTGCCCAGCGTTGAATATTTGTGCCTAAACCGTGCCTAAACCGTGCCAAAACTGTGCCCAAACTGTGCCTAAAGTGTGCCTTAGCAATATTTAAAACGTGCCTTAACTGTGCCTAAAGTGTGCCTAATCTGTGCCTTTGCATGTTTTTTTTCCCGTGCTTTGGCACAAAAACCGTGCCTTTTCTTGAGCGCGAATCGTGCGTAAGGCACGGTGTTACGCTCGTGTACACCAGTAGCGTGCGCCAAGCCCTATATATTTCAGGATGAGCGTTGTTATGTCACACATTACAGTTTTCATTGTATCTTTGCCTGCAAATACAGCTGTCTCTCCTTGGTGTGCAACAAACGAAGATTGAAGTCTTGCAGAAGGGCGGGTAAATGAGGTAAACGTTGTTGTGAAATGCTCTAACAGAGTTCCTATCCCTAAACTAGACTTTTAGAAGACTTCTTTAAAGTTTAGGGGTAAGGAATCTGTTAAAGCAGTTCACAGTGTTTACAACCTTTATCTGCCAGTCTGTGAGTCTGCAGTCTGTGTTTGTCGCACACCGGTCTCCCCTCGCTCCTCACCATTCGCAGGCTGATTGTATATGAGCAACTGTGAATAAAATTGTTGAATTAAGTATGAGTCTTGTTTACTGTGTTGTTCAATTCAGTTTCTACTCTCATGATCCGCCGAGATTCCCTTTGTTAACACTGGAACTAAAAGGGCTTTCTCTGATTCATGTAGTATGTACACGATTTTGAAAGCGGTTCTCATCATTTACATCTGTAAGGTAAATGCACATGTTCGCCCGCACTTCCTAACCATCGGTTACTGCTAGTTTGTGTATTGTTTTCCTAACCGGTTGCAAACAAATCTTGTCAGGTCTTCCGACAGCTTCATGTTTTCATATCGTTGGATTTTGCTTTGACGATTTTATTGGGACTTCCACTGCGTTTATATGATTGTGGAGTCTTGGAAAAACTGTTTTGAAAGTCGTTTTTAAAAAATATCACAATATAAACTTACCTAAATCGAAAACCACTAATTTGGGAAGATCTTTTCCGCCATTTTCTTCAGACATTTTTAACTAGTGCCCACGTTTTCGCATTATTTCTTTGGCGATCGGGATTAAGGGAGCTGGGCTGGACTTAATACGTATTGGACAAGCAGGGACGGGAGAGAGAGTCGTAATTTTTTTTGTTCCGGGTTTACTGTAGCCTGCGTGGCAGGCGTTAAAAGGGGAAGGGGAAGTTCTCGCGCCCTAATTCCCTTCCCCTTCCTTTTCGAACGTCTGACATGCAGGCTAGGTTTTCTGGAAAACGATACCATTTAAAACGTTTTCAAAAAAAATTGTCTTTTGATTTTGAATACTAAATTAGATCTCTGAAGCCAGGCAGAATGTTAAGTATGCAGAAAAAAATTGGTTTTGGAAAATTGGAAATTTTTCCAAGATTTTTGCACTGAAAGGATATTGTGAAGGTCCAATGTCAGTTAATGGCAAAATAAACTTCACTAGCATCAAAATAAGGAGGGGGAGGGGGAGGGGGGTCTGATCATTTGGTGAAAGGGGAAGTGTACCTCTTCAACTGTAACTAAAAGACTGATGTTTTTAAACCTCTATCCAATATGCTTTGCTTGGCCGCTAAAAAGATTTTTTAATGTCCGAGTTGGTTGCTAGCCAGGATATTACTCCTGTACTTAAGACTGACTGAAATGTTAACATGTACAACACAGCACAATCTGTATCAAATGTGCAATACAGAACCAGTGAACAAAGCGCTAAATTATGGAAAAACACACTTTAAATAATCCTGTTAATCTCTTGTGCGCATTTAACCAGTATTATGCTTAATCTCCGGTCAGAGATGCCCCACTAAAACATAACTATAATGGTAGTTTAAAACAAGGATTTTTTTTTCGTTATTTTCTTAGTATTTTCGTGCGTTGTTGTGCTCCAAATTAGTTTGCTTCTGGAGCGGAAGCAAAAGGCCGTAAACAACGTATCGATGTACTCAAGTTTTATTGTGACGTACATAATACATGACAGTCTTCTCATTCGTTGTATTGTGAACCGTAAACAAGTAACCTTCCCGAAAACTAGCCGCTGACGCAAAATATCACGAAATGTAAAGCAAATAGCTTACTCAGTCCTATCAATATATAAATTTCGCAACTGGTTCTGTTGGATTGCTATTTACGTCTCAAAGATTTGCAACGCAATGTTTATTTCGCGCAGAGACAATTACTATGCATACAGGAAACACAAAATTGACAGACGTTTGCAAAGAATGAATGAATGGCGGCTTTTTAAATTTTTCGGTTACATCGCACGGAACACGTTTGTTCGCTTATTTCCAAGCGTTACGGGCTGGAAATTCTTGTCAAACGTTAAAAACGTTCATAAAGTGGCTGGATCTTGAAATGTTCATCAAAGTCTATCATCGTAAAATCGTTCGTCGGACATCACAACGAAGTGTAAACAAAGACTCTCTGCAACCGCAAAGCAGTGGTTTTCCGAGAAATTCAACGAGTTCCCTATGTGGTTTATTCTTGTTAAAATGTTCCCAGTAATCACATGTTTCGCAATATATCAAGTCTACAACAATCCAAAGGACTTGAGAGCATTTTCACCTGCATCGATCTAGCCGTTTCAACTGCTTGTTTCGGCCAGGTGACGTTTTCAACCTTCTGACGGCCTCTTTTATCAGGTTACCCTGTTCCAAAAGTTCCATTAGAATGCCATAGGAAGAAGACGAAGAGTTCGATTTCCTGAAAGGATCCGCTGTAGGACACATAAAAGCTCGAAAACTTATTTCACTTTCGATACCGTCCACTGACGAACGCTCATCACAGTTCAAAACATCTTCCACCCTTTCTTTCTGATTGACTTGAAGTAGGTCGCGAAAATCAGAAATAACTGCCTCCATGGCATCGTTGTTCCTCGCTTTTAACCATAAGTTCCCTTGGCAGTAGCTTTTCGTTGAAGGCATGACTGTCTTGAAAAAGAAGGAAGAAAGAATAACGCGAGATTTTAAATAAACGCAAACGTAAACAGCACAGCGATTGATGACTCTGCGTTCTGTTATTGTTTGGCGATGGAAAGGAACTACAACGCTGGCTTTGAGCACGTGGAATCGGTATTTGTGAAAAACAAAGGTTCTGATTGGCTGATGAACAATGCTCTAACTGACGATTTAACCGCGACCTTGAATCTCATTGGTTAACAATGATAAGGCCACGCCAAGCAATTGTCATATTTATTTGCGTACTTTCAATGGCGGGAACTGGATAGGTACTATTTTTATCCGGTTATCCGATTTTAATGGTGAAAAACGAAAGCGTTTGAACGGGACACGAACGCCAAAACCGAAAGAATACAGGACAGACATTTTAGAATTATTTTTTGAGGTTGTTCAGGGGGTCAGTGGAATGTAACAACCTCTCTCAGGAGCCGATTACGTAAGTGGCTCCGCCGCTCCTGCTTCTTATGAGCCAAAAGGAGCTCACTTTAGCTGCCTTTCATATTCCTATGTTTATTCCGATATGCCTGACAATGAAAAATTAAAATATTTGTCTTTCTCTTTTTAAACCATTCATCGTGACTTGCAGCATCGCGCCTGACATTCGTCTAACTCCTTTTTTACAATATTCGACAATGGCCCTGTATTGTTTTGTACCCGGTCCACATGAATTAGAATATAATCCCGGGGGGAAGGCTCGGCGCGGTCCGAAAGGGGTACCTTCTTTAAGCATAAGGTTTGTGAAAAAGTAGGGAAATCTATCAGTTTTAGAACTTAAAGGATCTGACTTGTATTAAACACTGACAATTACAAGAAGAAGAATTCCTGTTTTGACGATTTCTTCATTTTACTCTCCGGCACACGATGCGAGGTACTTGCTAGTAACAGGCTAATGGGGATAAGCCGCTGGATGGGGTCACAGTTGAATGGCAGGATTGACTATAACAAGGTTGTATTTTCAATAGGGTTACTGGGGTCGTACATTTTCGAGTCTTTAGGGGTAAGAAACTCTGGTAAATTAAAATGGGAAGATTCGAGGCTAAAAAAAGTCACAGAAACTAACTAAGTCGGATGGGATCGCGAAAATTACATTTGCTCAAAAGTGACCAGGGAAAATGACTTAGATGGGGTCTTTAATTAATTGGCCACAGAATAGACAATAATGGGGTAGTGGTTCAAAGAGGCCAGCGGCAAATTTCCAGCAAAAAAATTGACCCGAGTACCACCCCCGGGGGCCACTCTAGCTAAAGATCTAGAAAAGGGATGCAGGGTTTTTAAGTAAGTATTTGAAAGGGGTCACTGTTTTAACGAAGGGTATGCGAAAGGGGTACCCATTTTCTGTCAGAAAACGTATATAAAATAGGCTGAGTATCAGGCGTTTCTGGGGGAAACGTGGAAGAGAGAAGCGAGAAAGGGAAAGAGCGAAATCTAGTCTCCTCTCCCTTAGCCCTTTAGGAAGGTCTGATCACTGCACAGGATATGAGAGGACAAGGGGTTAGTGTAGCCTCCCCATAGAACTTTGTTAAGACTGTTGACTAGCCCCCCGGAATACAGTTTAATACTAATTGTAAAGGAAGGAAGGTTTTCATAACTTCCGACTTTCGAAATCCCAGATCTCTCGCACGGGTGATGGAGCGTGATCAACTGCCAGCAGATATCAATATCAACGTCGCTAACTATGTCCTTTTTAACGAAACGGAAGAGGAAATAAAGAAAACATGATCGAAGTCATCACTAACGGTACCACAGTCATATTAACAATTTGAGTGGCATTTAAAAAAAAATTGAGTTATAATCAGCAAAATATTGTCGTTGTTGTCGATATTGTTCAGTTTAGGTATAAGCAATAGTTTGTTGCTCTTCTTTAATCACGAAGCGATTCTTCCTTCTGCCAGTCTTTCCTATATGTACCTTGGCTTCCAGGAAAGTAAAATTTCAATTCAGTGTACCTGGAGTAGAGCAATAACGGGAAATGCAAGCAAAAAAAGAATTTGCCCAAATCGCTTGATTTGACTCCTGAAGTGCGCCATTCGCAAACTTCCCCTGGAGGAAGGTTGCTCTGGAGTCCCTAACCGTTCAACAAACGGGTAAACAGATAGTTGAAAACATCAAGAGTGAGCTGATGTTTTAAAAGGATTATTCTGTCAATGCAGATACAAATGGATAATATCGTTTTTGTTCGCTGAAGTGGCATGGCTGTCGCCCGTCATGCTTTCTATTCCGGGCTCAAGCCAAGTTCCGGCTAAGTAAGCGATTTTTTTTCCGTTTTATTTCAGGGTCTTTTTTTCCATTATTTCCTCAGAACTGTTGGGCCTGTGTAAAGCTCGCGTGCAAGAGTGAATGAGGACCTTATTCTCTCTTGTAGCGTGAAAAACGCATCACTCTCAACATCTATCAAAAACGGTCTCCTGACTTCTTACTGGCTGTCCACAAACGAGAGCGATTCTCTTGCTAAAACCCGGTCAATGCAGTCTATGCATGATTGGCATTGCGTAAGTGTACGGATGTTGGCAGTCTTTTGATTGGCTGCTATGCTTTCCTCCGTATCGGTGTACTTTGATATACCCTAGTTTAATCAAAAATAATGTTCAGCTAAAATTATTTCTGGTTTTTCAACTTTAAATGTATCAAGTTATGTGGAGGGTCGGGTCTGTCGAGGTTGTCCAAAACACCGGAATAAATTAACAGTGCTCATGTGATATATTTTATGTTTAAGCCATGGTTTATAAGAATTGTACAAATGACTTGTACACTACAGTACAAATATTTGTTAAACTTGCTTGAATTGGCATTTCTTGACCACCGGCTGGAAAAGAAATTTTGCATTCCACCCCAGACGTCAATACATTTCGAGTGTTCTGATTGGCTCTGTGATGTCAATTGACGTTGCCATTCTCTGTTTCTGAATTAATCAACAATAGCGAAGAGAAAATGGCCGTTCCATAGTGTAACAGGGAAAACGATGGCAAAACACTCCCGTCACTCTTCTGTTAAAGATGCACAGATCGCGGGATTGTACGATTTGCAAGAAACTCTAGGATGTGGGCATTTTGCTGTGGTTAAAGTGGCTAGGCATGTTTTTACTGGCGAGCGCGTGGCTGTTAAAGTGATCGACAAAACCAAACTCGACGATGTTTCTCTGGCTCACCTAGTCACCGAGGTTCGTTGCATGAAACTCGTGCAACATCCAAATGTGGTTCGACTTTATCAAGTCATCGACACACAGACCAAGCTGTATCTCGTTCAAGAATTAGGCGATGGAGGGGACATGTACGAGTATATCATGAACCACGACCAAGGTCTTTCCGAAGACAAAGCTCGACATTATTTTCGGCAAATTGTACTGGCCATCGACTATTGTCATCAACTGCACATAGTCCACCGCGATTTAAAACTGGAAAATGTAATTTTCTTCAAAAGTTTGGATGTGGCCAAGCTTACGGATTTTGGTTTCTCGAATAAGTTCTCGCCGGGTCAAAAACTTGATACTTCTTGCGGTTCTCTAGCCTACTCTGCTCCCGAAGTTTTACTCGGTGACTCGTACGAGGCACCGGCAGTCGGTGAGTAGTACTATTTTTTAAAGATAATAGTCGATTTATCAACAGCAAATCCAGTTACTTGTGCACTTAATTGTGGACACTTTTCCTGGGTTGAATCACACAGCTCGTCTTTAGCTAAAGTATACCTTTGCGTGTTTAAAACATATCCTTTACTTTGCGTCTGGAATTTTCTCGTTCCATCTCCGGTTTGGTGGAAATTTCTATTTCTTATCAGTATTATATGCTCCTTATTATTCCGAGTGATAATTTGCAGTTGGTTGGTCGCTGAAATTTACAACCCTGACATTTAAAAAGAAGTCATGCATTAAAAGGGCTTACAGTACAATGCGTTCTAGAACGTTTCGTCAAACGAATGTTATTTATTATTTTAGTCGTTTGGGTTGAAAAAAACTTTAAAATTTCGACCTAATTTTTAATTTTTTGATATCCACTGACTCCTCCGTGGGAGGTATACTTACTCGTGTTTATATCTACGCAGTTTGATTGACTATAGTTACGTTATTGGCCATGTAACATATCTGAATATATATCGTGGGTGAATGTTATTCTTTAGACATCACTGTTGTTTCCGATGGCTACATTAACATTAAAAGATCATAGCCTGGTTCACACGCAAAGCTAGAAAATCTACACCTGCTTTACAATAGAAACAGACTTTAATTTTGAACAATTTTAAGTTGGATGTTCGCTTGTTAAGAGAAGTGACAAGTTAAGTCAGTAATATGTTTCCCCCTTCCTACTGCAAACTAACAGAGGGGGGTCAGCTTTGCCATGATTTTTTTGTTGTTGAAATTACCCAAATTTTAGGATGTTACTAATGTCGAAGCCATCATTTTAGCATGCCAAAAGCCAGTTTTATAAACTTAATGCTGTTTGGTGGTAGTCGGTAGTGAGTTAAATAATGATTGTTAAAATAATTTAGAGTGAAAAGTTTTCCATTTGGTAAGTGTTTAAAGACACATTGCACAACAGGATATTTGGATTTGTGTCTGTTTACACAACAAAGGCATCTGGGTATCAACGTTTACTTTACACGAATCGGCGTAATTGTTTTTTCTTAGATTTTCACAAGTCTCTCTGAGGCTCAACAGCTATGTCCAAGCAAAGAACTCTTCTGAGGACCTTCAGCTGTCTGCTGAAGACAAGTGTCCTGATCCTTATATAGAAAGATAGTTTTAGAGTAGGTAACATAACTCATCTAGAACTCAACAAGCAGAGATGTTTGTGTTGTGGGTTCTCAACTTCCATCCTTTAAAAGGCTTTTTTTAAATCTTTGAATATAGAGCATTCTGTAGACAATTTATTATATCAAAAACTGCCTAAAGCAGTGTAAGGCAAAGAGACTTTGTTCAAGGGGGTGCCAAGGGGAAGGTCATCTTTAAAGAATATGTGCGGATGGTCATTCGTTTTTCTAACATTGACAACATTTCTGTGTAAACAATAAGATTTTTATGGAATGTTAATACAAAAAGCTGTTTCTATTTTGAAAACAGGCCCTTGCACAGTACTTAATTCCATCAAACAATTTCACTAGCTGAGGCTTATCACTTATGTCTAAGTCCGTTAATGGAGAAAAGTAGAAAGGAGCAAATAACTGCTGGGAGTGAAGGTGGTGGGCATATATGTCACAATGTTAGGTTAATTTGGGACTGCATAGTAAAATAAAAACTAAATATGAAACACTTTCTTTCAGATATTTGGAGTCTTGGAGTTATTTTGTTCATGCTCGTTTGTGGGCGAGCACCTTTTTTTGAGGCTAATGACAGCGAGACACTCATCAACATCATGGATGTTCGGTACCAGGTATCTGACCACGTTTCGCCAGCCTGTCAAAAGTAAGTCCATCTGATAGAGTGAAACCTCTTTAAACCTTTAAGGCCCGTAAGGCCCAATATCCATGTGCAAATTCTCCAGATGAATTTCCTTACCTTTCCTTAAAGAAATAGTTGAGAGAATTTGATAGTTGATCAGAGCACTTTGCCTTTGGTAAATATCTCAATAATTTTTATAACCTTTTCTTCTCGATATTGTCTTGTTATGATTATTAATGAGAGAAAATTGGTCATCGTTGGGACTTAAAGGGTTAAAATGGATCTCCTTACACATCTTGGCTCTGTCTGTGAAATACCGTAAAATTCCGAAAATAAGCCCCTCCATGTATAAGACCCTCCAAATATAAGCCCCCCAAACCAGTAACACAAAAAACCGTCCGTTAAATTGCCCCTCCAAATATAAGCCCCCCAGGAGCTTGTACTTGGAAAATTGCTCTCAAATACAAAGTAAAACAAAGCAAAGACGATAAATTTACTCCCAACTATGAGGCTAGCCCAATCGATTTTGAAATGCAAATTTCCTTCCGTAGATAAGCCCCTCCGAACATAAACCCTTCCAAAAATAAGCCCCTCAAAAATGGTCTTTGAAAAATATAAGCCCGGGGGCTTATTTTTGGAATTTTACGGTAGTGTTTTATAACTGTGGTTTGTGTTTTATTATCTTAACAGCCTGATAGAAAAGATGCTTGTGCGAGAGCCATATCTTCGCTCCACACTAAGAGACATAATGGAAGACCCTTGGTTTCAGGGGGCCCACCCTCCTGTGCTTCCAACCCCTGTACCCCTAGTTACAGAACTCCCTCTCACACCTGAAGAACATAACTATGTTATAGAAGTAATGGAGACTGGAAATATTTCTGATCGAGAAACTATTCAGACGTAAGTACATAAATCTTCTAAGCTGAATTACTTGTGGTGTTATGAATTTTGCAGACTGCAGAACACAGACCGTAGACTTCATACTGCAGATCAAGCAATGGTTTTTGACAGATCTTTTCCACCTTGATTTTTGGATTATTTGAATACTAAATTAATGGGAATTTTTATTTTGAGCAGATTTCTAGATATTGAAATGCAATGAATGCCAAAAACAAATGATCTCGAGCAAGAGTGGCACATTGGTGATAGCACTCGCCTCCCACCACTGTGGCCACGGTTTGAATCCCGGCTTCAACGCCATATGTGGGTTGAGTTTGTTGTTAATTCTCTCCTTTGCTCCGAGAGGTTTTCCTCCAGGTCCTCAAGTTTTCCTCTCTCCTTAAAAACCAACCAATCCAAACTCCAATTTGATCTGGATCGCATGGACACCGTTTCAAGGAGTTCTTAAGAACTCTAACACTGTAAGTGCAGGGGCGTAGCCAGCTTTTCGACTACTTTTAAGCGTAGCCAACTTTCATTCCCACATTTCCTGAAAATTGCACCTATGACTAGTACGCACTGACCTCACCAACACCATGAGCTCTTAAGCTTTTTAGCTCACCCCAACAATGCATAATTTATTACAACCGGTAGAGTGATCAAACCAAAAATGTTTAGGCCCGGGGCTAAAGGTTTATGGGCTGTCAACGCCCCTGAAGTGCTCCGTGGGCAAACAAATTGCAAATTACATTTGGAATACGGTCAATCGAACATGATGCCTTACTCAAAAATATAATAGGGATTTTAAGCAGTAACGTTTTTGAGCGACAAACTTCAACCAGAAGGTAACGTTTTTTTCTTTTTATATGCGTTGACGCTACCAAATTTATATTGCTAAGTGTCTTTAATCTTAAAGAGGCGTTTTGCCCAAAAATTTGTTCAAAATCACGGCTCAAGAGTGCAAAAAAACCACTTCCGGTTGACGTGCAGCACCCCTCAGAAATGTCACTGTTTTAATAAACTCCCTAATATCTTAAGCACTCGTGTGCCAAAATATTTTAGCATCTGGCGAAGTGTTTAATTGTTAGCAGGCATAGTGATAAAATGGTTCATAAATTGATATTTTTGCGCTTAATTTACAGGTCGCTCGAGAAGAACACTTATGATCATGTGACTGCCACATACTACCTTCTGGCAGAGCAACTTCTACGACGTCTGAAAACAGCCAACAACACTTTCAATTCAGCTATCACTAGAAGAAGAACTAATGGTCGACTGTCTCTTCCAGAAAACGTGCGCCGAGAACAAGATTCAAAACCAAGGTATGGTGACCAATGCAGCTTGCAACAACTTGATTTCAATGTTTCAAGACAGGTTTGAACGTAGGTGGTAAATCACGCAACATCCCTTTTCAACTCCTTTTTAAGCGTTGCAAACTTAGGCTACGTGCAAACGGGCGCAACAACTCCCAACAATGTTGGGAGTTGTAAGTCAACAATGTTGCGTCCGTTTGCACGGGGCTAAAAGTTTGACCGGTTTCAAGCTTTGCGCAACAACATCCAACAACGTGCAACAGGGTGAGCAAACGGGCGCAACATGTAACATCCAACAATGTTGGGAGTTGTTGGTCAACAATGTTGCGTCCGTTTGCACGGGGCTAAAAGTTTGACCGGTTTCAAACTTTGCGCAACAACATCTAACAACGTGCAACAGGGTGAGCAAACGGACGCAACATGTAACATCCAACAATGTTGGGAGTTGTTGGTCAACAATGTTGCGTCCGTTTGCACGCAGCCTTATTCGGCCTGCTCTTCAGCCAGTGCGGCGTCGGTGCACTATTTGCAGCCACGTCTGCGTAATCCGGGTAATTTTGTTCTTAGCACTTATAAAAACATTCCAGTTGATTTTACACAAGGGACTGTTTATATGATACCAGACTGAATTTCGTTCCAGAGTGTATTTCCTACTGCATTCACTTAATAACAGCAACTGGATGACGGTGCGTGACGAAAACGTCACCCAGAAAGAGAATTCGCGCTATTTTAAACTTCATCGCCCTCATTCCAGCTCTTTAATTTGTCAGGTGTTGGCGATATTTTCAGGAGATGAGTTCTAAAGCGACTATTTCCGGCTAAGTTCACAAAAAGAAAAAGAAAGTCGTTGTCTTGTCTACACTTCCTCCATAAAACGTGAAATTAGACCTTTTCAGGTCGTAGTCGTGCAGTGACGGCAAAGAAATGAACAACAAAGCGTGATGCACGTGCAAAGTTGTTGTTTTGCAAATCAAAACCTGTTGCTTTTTGCCGTTTTCGTTGCCGTTGCCGTCGCCCTCGTCGTTTCTTAAGCTCCTTTTTATTTATCGAACAGCTCAGGCTGAGGCGTTCTCGCTCCACTCGGATGCTTTTCGCGCCAGATCAGGTTCGCATGCATCACTCGTCTCGCAGGGGCGGATCTAGGGGGAGGGTGTAGGGGGTGCGCCCGAGATGACCTGCGGTTTTCTAGGGTATTCTGCAAAAAAAAAAATGTGGTTTATTGGTGTTGAATAGCGCAAGAACGAAGTCCTGGATCCGCCCCTGTCTCGGACTACAGGATTTCCGGTTTTCAATGATACAAGAATTAATGAAGCTTCATACCAGAACGAGAATTTCATTCGGAATGAAAAACCGGAATGAACTCGTTCCCGAACGACTTGTACGGGAACGAAATGTCGTTTTGGTATCATGTGAACAAATGTAGATAAATAAAAGTAATTCCGTTATCATGTGAATAGCCCTTAAGAGTGTTGGGTAGTGAGCGTAGTGTCCTGAATCATAAATCCTCTTTACAAAGTTCAAAATATCCTTTGCCCATTCCATTTCTCTTCAAAGGGTGCCCAGTAGGTTTCTCGGGATCCGGGATTTGGCTTCTTTGAAGGCCGGGATTTATGAGGGTGAGATTCGGGAAGCCGAAAATTACCATCGTTAATACGTAATGTTCCCAATTGGGTTGTTCAGAATTAATTTTCAAGGCTTTACAAGGATTCATTAGGCTTAACAATGTTGATTCGCTAGAAGATACTGAAGAAATAGATCTTGTCTAGTCAGATATCCCTTCGACCATTTAACTGGAATTTTTTTTTGTCACAGCATTTCTGTCGTGAAACTAGACGAGGACATAGAAAACGAATCTGAAACGCATTCTGACACCGAGTCCTGCTCAAGCTCTTCACGCACTCGCCGCAACTCTTCAGGAAGACTGGCGCCAAGGGAAGGAACAATACTGAATGAAACTATCAAGGCACATGCAGTCGAGGCTGACGAAGTGTTGCATAGCTCAATGGAGGAAGATGATTTGGTACCCGGAAGTCTTCCAAGAACTCATGGCAAGTTTTCGTCGACGAGTTCACTTCCGGATCATAAGCCGTCAACTTCAACGAACTTGCAATTTTCAACTGAAATCATGCATACTCCTAGTCCCTCATCTTTGGCGCGACAACACCAAAATAGGATTGCTCGCCAGGGTAGATTGGGTAAAGCTAAAAGCACACCTCTAGCGCTGAATCAAATTCACGAGGAACGCGAGTCGGATTTGGATGACAGTCCGGCAAATTCGCCCCGCGTTGAACGGACTAGAAAGCACCTCGGGGGAGGGGTGATGAAAGCAAAGAGAACGACGCGCCGCCTGTCTCCGGTACCCTCGGGAGGCAGCCGACGCTCTTCAAGTTGTAGTAGTTCGGATGAAGATGAAATAGAAAAGCACATGCGTCGTCTCAAAACCACTTCCGGTTGTAAACTGAAATCCAGGCGCTCGAATACTGATGATGGTGGCTTCGACGGTGACAGCGGAGGGGGTACTGGGATGGGAGGAGGGGGTAGTCTGGGAACAAGGCGTTTAATTTCCTCCGACAAGCGCTCAAATGGGGAGTCGTCATCCTCGAACAAAAGCCCACCACCTAAAAAAGAGAATAGTGGTAATGATGAGTGTTTAAATTTAAATTTGAATGGATTTGCTCCTTTGTGTGAAGATTTGGATGTTATTGTTGAGAGCAACAAAGAAAACTTGGACCACAATAACTTGAGTAGTGATGTGGACGAAACAGAAAACAGGACAAAATTTGAAGTTTGTAACGGCAAAAGGAGCCCTTTAATCGAAGAAAATGACCTGTTTAGTCACAAAGGCGACGGAGAAAATGAGCGAAACACGAGCTTTATTCGAGAGAAAAGGACTAATAGCGCGTCGAAGTACATTCGGACAAACGAGTGTGATGCTGAAATTGAAAAACGGACGTTAAACTGGAATAACACAGGCGTTCAACAAATAAACAAAAATAAGCGAAACTCTTCGGCAGAGGATGGCGTCAACTTGGAGCTGACCGACATGAGTCTGCAGTCCAAGGATAATTTGAACCGAGTGGAGGATACCAAGAAAAACATGCGCCTACTTCGGAATCCCACAATGCATACGGTGAAGAGTAATTGTTGTCAAATATTTTGAATGTACAATCTTTTAAATTCATTTTAGTTTTATGTATGATAGCTTTTTTAATCGTTTTACTTTGAGTTTTTTATGAAGACCGCTCAGATTCGCGAACATGTCATTGTAAATTGTACCTTTCATATTATTTTGCCTTTTTCTCCTGGGGAGGTTTTTTTTGAACGTTAATCCATGAATTCCGTCCTTTTTTGGCGGAGGTGCATATCGGGGGAACAAGTCTACTCGTAAGTTTGTAAGTTAGGGAAATACATTTCTTGAGAGGGCCAAGTTATTCCGTATCAAACTGGATGATTTGTTTTCTTTACCAAGAAAACTCTTATTACTGTGAAACCACTATTGCTTTCTTCAACTTAGAACACTTGAAAGTGAAATTAAACTAGAGAGGTGCGTACAATCAGACTGATCGATACAGAGTTAAACGATGCCACTCAGTCAAGCTAACTGATCTTAAAGTATAGACATTTGTTTGACCATGAACAAGGAGATTAATTCTTTTAGCCCTAGAGTCTCTTGACTCGTCTTGCGTAGGGAAATAAATTATATACTCTAATGTTTACACTTGCGTTGAAAACAACGAGGTGTTGCCGAAATTCTGGCGTATTAATAGAAAAAAATATATATTACAGTACTACCCCGCGAGTAAGAACCTGCATTTTCCAAAGTTGTTGAAATGGCAATTAGCGCAAATATAGGCTCTAGGTTCTTAAATAGCTTTTTGGTTTTTGAAGGGATAATTACATTGCCAAGTCAGTACGGGTAGTAAAATGCCATTCAGCCTATTACTTCCAAAAGAAAGTAAGTATTAAGTAAGCTTGTCCCAATAACAAAGTTTTTAACTCATTACTGTCTTTGTCGATCTTGTAGCGGACTTTTGGTTGGTGAGATAACGCCAACCGTCATTTTAATGGGTTGTGGGGTGTGATTTGGTGTGATACTTGTCTTATTTCCCAGTAATAGAGAGGAGAAGTCGTTACGTCGTGTTGTCATGGTGGCAAAATTTCTGGATGACAACAAACTGAAAACGTCACTTAACAAGTGAATTCGTACTGTTTGAAACCTCATCTATTCAATTTCATTTAATTTGTCAAATGTTGGCGAAATTTTCTGGAGTTGAATCCGATAGGACCGTCTTTAAGGTTGTGCTCTGTTCTCAACCTACGCTTGAAATTAGGAAGTTTCACTTCGTAGTCGTACAACGACGGCCAAGAAATGTACAAAAAAGCGCGTCGCACGTGCAAAGTTGTTGTTTTGCTTGCATAAACATATTGCTTTTTCGCCAGTGGTCGTTGCCGTTACCGTCATCGTTGTGCTTGCTACCATGGTAACGTGACGTCACACTTCTCCTGTCCATTACAAAGCGCCCACGGGCTTTTATGATTACGTCACGCTTTCAATGCAACCGTTGTCCAAACCAAATGAAGGTTCTGAGGAAAGTAAATGCTCCAAGAAAACGTTGTCTTTTACTGGCAATCATGTCCAATGAATTTCAACTGCTTCTGTAACAAGATGTAGGCAGACGACCTTTTTTCCTCGAAGAGAGTCGAAGAAAAAGTTTTGAGAATGATGTATAAGTTGTTAGCTATACAGCGTATTCATTACTCTCTACAACATATTTTGGAAATTATATATCAGTGTAATTAAAACAAGAAATAGATATATAACGAACAGTTAATTGATATCATATTCTTTTACATCTTAATTCTTATAAAGAAAGATTGATACAACGTGTAATATTTTTAATTTATTGGCCAGTCTTGACAATGATTGGCGTCGATTGTATACTACGAATGTAAATGAGGCATGCGAGTGATCGCCCACCATGAACCGTTTGAGGATTTAATAAAAACCTGGGTTTTAAAACCACTTTTTCATTTTAAGCCCCCTTTGTTGCCTTCTCTGCTGAATTAAGATCATCATCTAGGCGGTCCTATAGGCATTGCTTTGGTATTTTTTATACTGTAAACCGGCTGAAAATATTATTTTAAGAACCGATAACAGAAAAAGAACCTATTTAGAGAATCTACGAACTGATTAGACCGATAGGGGGTAGAGTGTCCAGGGAGACCTTGTAGTGGTGGCATACCATTGCGTACCATAACAATACACACTTGTAACTTGGAACAGACGCCACTGAATCGTAGTCAACAGTTACCGGCACCGTACAAACTACTTATTGACAGAATTAAGCAAAACTAACTTCGAGAGAACGACTGAACAACGACTGTTTAACTGTGAAAAAAGATGGATGGAAACGCACCAATGACGTTTCGAGTCTTCATAGCCAATAACATCGCGGCTTAACTGACAGACAACCAATAACGGTACATCGCGACCTAATTGACCAATCAGGTCAATAACCAGAGTTTAATACCATCAACTGACGCGATACAACTCACTTTGACTCTAAAGATGTCGACCGCACAGGTTGTCGAAACGCCACTACGTTCTCCCGGACGATCCTACTCAGCCTACTTATGCAGTGACTCCCGGGTTCAAACCTTTCACACAATTGTAACTGTTTCATCGGAAAAACAGCGAATTTGCTAGATTGTAGAACGGTCAGTGAATTGGCCACTTAACTAGAGGAGAATAGAGACCTATAGATTCGAGGACGACTACGAGTACGAGATTTGACTTGAAGTTTTTTCGCGTCTTCTCAAAATATAGAGTTTCCGGAAAGCTTCATTTTACCATTTTTCACCAGAAAAGTTAGCATTGTTATCTTAAGTGAATGCTGTGAAGGAGGTTACGCGCTCTCCCGGTCGCAAAATGATAAAACTTCTAACACTTGATATCTTGTCTTCGCCACCACGACATTCGCGCAAAAACTCGTAGTAGAATGACGACGGCTACCACGTTTTCCCGCCAAAATGACGCTGGCTCACGCGCGTGCACTACTTAGTATTGAGAAAATCTCGTACTCGTAGTCGTATTCTTAGAATCTAATATAAAGGTCTCTAATGAAGATGGGCCGAGTTAACTTTCGCAAAAACTTCTCGGACTGTTACCGGGGACAGGGGAAACAAATTGGCCAATAGCTGACAGGCGCATCTTCAGTAACTCTCTCAGAAACAATTGAGGGACCAACCTCGTTCCCAGGTTCTCTTGAGGGACGCGTTTCTCGTTTCTACCTGAGTTCCCTTCTCGTTTCTGAAGTGGTGAATTTACGTCAGACGCGCGCAATAAACGTTGCCATACCAATGGGGAAGTTCTTTTGAAACGTCAGAGTTCTCGAGTTTGCTACCGTTCTAGCTGACACGCGTTTCAAATTGTGCCTGAAGAAAACCTGCTGTGCATTCAGTTAAACATCTTTTACGAAAGATGTGTGGGTCACTTCTGTCAAAGTTTAAGGAAACAACAGATATAGTTGACCATGTAAAAACTGTTTCCCCAGACCCTTTGAAGCTTATTGATAAAGTTTCCTTGAAGAACGATGGCAGAGTGTCCAGGAAAGACGAAGATCGAAATTGTGAACCAAGTGCTCAATCGTTGGCCAAAATTCCCAGAAAAACGTCAGGCGTCAATATGTCATATTCTTTGACGCAGGAAGGATTCGAAGGTGAGCGAGGGATGTACTTTGAACAGAGTAGGGTAAGCTCGTGTAGAACAAAAAGAACGTGTGATATTTTCATGAGTTCGTTGACACGAAGTTTGTCATTCACCTTTTTCGAAGTTTAAAGTCGACCTTTTCTTTTCCTAGAGCCAGGGAAGGGCGTGGTTGGAAACTCGGCTTGTTATCAACACATAGGGTTCCAAAAGGGAGAAGAATCCAGAAGTGCTCCATCTATGGCTTTATGTCCGAGAAATAAATCAGCGGGTCCCGCTATTTTCAGTTCGTTGTCGGATGTAGAATGTTTACAGCGGGCACTGAATGGCGCAAAGTCTTCCACGGGGAGTGAGAGGTTCGAGCCTAAAGTCGGAGAGCAGAACACAAAACACCCACTGGAAAGACAGAAACAGGAAGTGGAAGGTGGAACTTTTGACCTACAAGACTTGGAGACTTACGAGGCTTCTGATAGTGACGATCACTCATGGGGAGACTGATGAGATGGGCGGGCTACATTATTCTGCGCGGCCAATGTGTTTCGGGTCACGTGGTCCGAGCGAAGAAGTTTCCCGCCGTTCGCCTCGGATACGTCACCGAAGGTTATTGACCTAGAAGGCCTAGGGAAACGGCATAGAGGGACTAGGCAACATAACAGCCAACACGACAGGCAAAGAAATATCATGGCTTTCGCGATACGATGTTGCCCATGCCTGAAACCCTGCCAGAGCAAACGTAGATTTATCGATGAAAATTAATGTCTTCAATTTCATTCATTAAGTTGGACGAACCTTAACCTATACAGAAAGCTGTCCGCGCTCACGGCTTTTTAGCCGTAGCCTTCTGTTAGCCAGATCCAGCGAGGACTTTTCCCATTTATGGGCTAGATGGGTAGTTAGGTATGTGCCGCCTGAAAGGTTATGGTTTTTGAGGATCTCGATCCTTAAATAGGGTATCATATTTGCCATTTTTGGCATTTTGTGTCCCCGATTTGATCCCTGGATAGGGTACCTAAATCAGTATCAGCTTAAGTCAAGCGCGTTAATGCCCAGCTGGGAAGATATGGCAGCTGACCGCAGCAGTTGGCGCGAGATACCGCGACTCAAGGCAGGGGAGGAGCAGATCCAGACCTGGGCCGAGGAAAAGAGAGCCAGACGAAAGGCAGGCACAAGTGAGGCAGACCCAGCAGACTCGATTCGGACTGTCTAGTCACAGCCGACGCTGTGCCAGCCGTGAAAGTACCACGGCATCCAACTGAGGGCGCATCATCCATGGTCGAGACCGACCGACGGAAGCCATACGTCTAAATGCCCAGCTACTCTAGAAATAAATCATCTGTTAAAATTGAACTATCCCTTAGAGTCATTTAAAATAGTATCACTTCACGCCATTTATTTCTTAGCTAATGGATTTTCCCTCGAGTGGGGTGTCGTTTTTTGGGTTTGGGCCTTGAACAGCTGCAGGGGGTCGATTTTTGTTTTTCTCATCCTTAAATAGGATCAGGGTTTAGGACCCTGGGTGGTACAAACCCATTCAAAATTTATGGGAGTAGCCCATGCCTGGCCGGCAGAAGGACAAGTCGCTAGTGGACCCACAGGGTACAGGCTGTATAGGCCCCGATCGAAACTCGACTCCACTTCTTGGGCAGTGACGTCACACACGACATAAGCCAATGACTACGCCTGAGCCTTGGGGAGGGTCAAAACAGCCGAGAAGGAATCGTCAACGAAACGAGCAGAGAGAATGAAAACTTTTTTATAAGCTATAGATCCGAAAGAACCCATTTTTAGTCTTTTATTCAGCAGTGAGTTTTTAATCAAAAACACCTAACAATCGCCATTTGCCGATTTTTTTCTCCCGATTTGGCATTAAATGGCCATATTTGTAAATTAAAAATTTGGAAATTGCTTGTTTACCCACGAAGCACATAGAAGTTCATATGAATCTGTTAAAAGTGTCCGTGCGTTCCAGATCGAATTGGAATTTGGTAGTGTTGGTTTTTGAGGAGAGGGGAAAACCGGAGTACCCTGTTGCCAGTTGCTTTATATGCTGAAGAGTGGATTTTCTCAAACAACCTAGTACTTTGCTTAACAAGAATGTGACATATCGGTGTAAAAGAGCATTTTGAGTATCAGTTTTTAGAGCCTTTATTTGATATACGGAATTCTATTCTCCAGAATGAAATTATGATTATTTTATACTTTAAGATTTCGCGGTGTGACAACTTGAATAATCCCATCTTGTTTTACTGATTCCGCGCTCCGGACCTTTGTTCTGGTTAACGCTGAACAAGCGATTTCTTCCCTAAGTGACTGAAATCTAATATGTCAATTCGAACTATCGAATGAAATGATTTCAAAACTAATATATAATTGCAAGCAAAACCAGATGGGAAAAAAAAACCTTAAACTCATGATTGCCCCCACGCGCTTGAAGACAGTTAGCAGAGCTCGTAAACGTCTCTAAAATTATATATAGGTTAGAATTCATGTCATTCATTCTTATTCATTTAAAAAGAGCTAGAAGCCGGCAGTTTTCGAGTACCGAGAAGAAAATGTCGAAAATCTAACGAAACGTATCAAAGGAAATTGACTTTGGCTCCAACTGAGCTATAAAAAGAGCAAATATTCCTGCGTCATCAAACTTTCTGAAAAAAATATTTATCGTAGATCGTTCCAAGCAGTTAAGCCTAACAACAAATTGACATGAGTGTGCTAGAAACCTTGCAATTAATTTAAACGTCTTTATTAATTTTTTCAGCCGAAATTATCGAATGAGGAGAGTTTAGGCTTCAAATGAATAAATTTTTGCTGAAAATGGTTAGAACAGATTTGATTTTAGAATTCGATTTGTTGTGTAGCTGTGACAACTCTTTGAAACAGCTGCAAAATTTTCCTTTTCAGCAGCGATTTTCTTTCCTCACACTCAGCTGAAAAAAATATTCGACACCTGTCCTAACTTCATTAATTATCCGTCGGCATATTGATTAATGTTAAAAGTTACAATTACCACCCCAAGGCGATTTTCGCGTGCGTGAAAAATGAAAAATTGTTTTTATTGCCCGTAGGAAGTTTACGCTTCCTCCGTTTCAAAAGATAAAAATTGTAATTCAGTAATCGCCTATACAACATTTTTGACCTTGGTTTTTAATTGGGTTAGTGCACAGTCAAACTGTCATTGTTCATTAAGAAGGAGAGGGCGACTTGGTGATGAATAATTGCTATAAGGCGATTTTTTTGCTTCGGGAGGTTTTTGGCATAGTTTTTCTTTTCCCGCGTTCATATCATTACTTTGAATGCACCTGCCGCGATCACGTGACCCCTTTACTGCGCACACTAATCACTTTTAAGTCAAATTTAACCGTAACGCCATGTTATAAATGTCATAGAGAATGATAGTCACACGTAAACACAAATAATCGTCGTTGTGAACCATGAATGCATTATTTCGCTGAACACCTGCAAGGTGCTGTGACCGATCGTTGGTTTTGAAAGTATAGATTCCGTACATTTGTGCTTCGACCGCAACCAGCTTGCGAACTAAGCTTATCTTTGCTAGTTCCGGCAAAAGGTATGAGCCATACATCAACCGTTTGAACGACGAATAAGCTTATATGCTGCCTGGTCCGCGACACAGCTTTCATTTAGTGCGAGTCCTTAGACGCCCTACAATGTTGGAGAGCGACATTTCGACGCGTTATCATGGTCAGAGGAGAAACTGTAAGTACATTATATTGCCGGAAAACATTTTAGTGAAATTCAAGATCATCCCAGAAAAATCCTACCCTTTTTCCATATTAAGCTTAACATTCTTTTCTGTGAGTAAAACCGCACGTATAATTTTACAAATTGAAATGTCTTTAAACGACATTATATAACTCTTTATTTCCTACACAATGCGTACATGATTATTGTTTTGTATGAGTCGGTTTTCAAGAATAAAATATTTTGCTCTGATTTTGATGCCGCCCTTAACATATGAGCTTATGTACATTGACATTTCGTCTGATCCAGTGCCTGAAACATGAAGAAAAACCTATAAATTTATGACGCTGAGAAACTCTTCAACATGCAGTTCACTGAGTGGTAAAAATAGAAAAATTTTATAATAGTTCACCTTTATGTTCAGAGGGGAAAATATGCAGGAAGCCGGAAGAAAGTAATTTTCTTTGTTTTGTTTTTCGGGGTACAGTTTTAAACCTGTTTATTCCCTGGAGCAAGAATTATAAAAAAAGAAATGACTCGGTCAATTTCACTCGCATCAGCATGTGAGTTGGCCGAAGTGCTCTTGAAATGCCACCTTGAAGTTTTCACCGGCATCGTGAATTAGTGATGTCTCTTTACGAGTGTCATGTAAGGCACATTAGCGAGCAGCTAGAAATTTAAGCCACTAGACGGCGTTTTTAACATTACAGTGCCTTTAATTCTTCCTCATCAAAATTTTATTTAATGGAGGGACCATTGCCATTAACCTCTAATACTGGTTTGTCGTAAAATGACTGAAATACTTCAACGTTAACAACGCTGCTAAATTGGACAACTTTAAATATTGAGAACTGGCTTTGTTTAAAACCAGACACGCCGTAGGCAAAAACAAGGATTTTATTAATACTCTAAGCCGCTGGAATCAGCTTGCATACTGAAAAGCTCTATATTAATAGAAGCATTTTCTCATAGAACATCCCCATCTATTTTTAGATCATCGAACAACTGCTTTCTCTCGAAAAGCTGAAAAAGGCAAACTGTTAAACGATTAATTTTGGAACTTGTAACGAAACATATTCTCACGTTATTTACTGTATTTTCTTTTTTCCATTACGCCTCCGTACTTTCCCTTAGTTATACACAATTATGAACACTTGTCACTGTGTCGCCATGAGTTCTAATAATTTTTACTCCCAGTTTCTACGAAACGCTTTGTTCAGGCAAAAATCTAGTCTCCAAGCAACCTTTTTCTTCCGGAATATTGCCATGAAAAAGGGGCTGTGAGTTTGGGATCTTTAACAATTCAGTTGTAACTGTGTTTTATTGCGCCAGGACCCTGACAAAATATTTATGTCCGCTGATTTGAAGGTCATGCAACTGTTAATGAATGCGCTTTTTACTTGCGCGGAAACAGAGCGACAGCTGAATACATGGCATAAGGGCGTCTGAATAAACGAAAACGAGTTTAACAAGAAGCGAAATCCATGGAAACGCTACTGCCTTGTCAATCATGTTGGCATGGAGACGAGAGACAGAATGCGCAAAAGCGCATGTTTTTTTAAGGCAAACTTTATCGAGATTTTGTCGCAACTACCTTACCTTTTTGGGGTTTCCTTTCTGTAGAAAAATGGGTTGGTCATTATAGGGTGCCATTAATTCGAATATCCAGGTATCTTCTTACAAGTAGTTTAATTAAAAAATAGGTTTCCTAAGCAAGGTGAACTTGCTGCAAGAATGCGCCAATATTGAAGTTAACAATCGAAATGCTTCGCCTAGGAAAGAAAAATTTCTCGAAGTGTTTTTCCCCTGCCGACCTTGACACATCGAGAAGTCCGAGAACAACAACAAAAAATTGCGGTTTAGTTCAAAGAACTGCTGCCTATTTTTGTGGCTATTCATGAATTGTATTCGACAGATGTCGTTCTTTAAATCGACGAGGAACATTTGACAGTAGTCATTTTCATAAAAAGCTATACGAATTTTCTTTTCATTGAAAGTTATAACTTGTGGCGAAAATGGAGATAAACTCGAGAGTAGTAACACTTAGAAAAGAAAATTCTACTAGAATAGCGAAACCTGCACAGTACTGTTTCTTGTCACGCAAGAACATCGAGGTGGGGGGCTTTTTTTTCATATTAAACGTGTTCTATTCTCAGTCACCATAGCTGCACCGCAGCCCCCAAAATATTTTACAATTAAATCGTTGTCTTAAGAATGATATTCTCTTCTCCTTTGAGGTCCACGTGCGCTTCGATTAACGGATTCTACGGATTGTTGTGTGTTGTTATAGTTCTATTGCTTAATATTATTGTAACGAGGGGGCCTCCTCGTACAAGCCTTGTGGTTTTCTGAGGTCCCCTCGCCACATCTTTATATAATGTAATGCTTGTGTAATCTTTATTGTGGGAAAATAATAAATAAATAATAAATAAATAAATACTGATTACAATGACAATATAATTGATTTAGTGAGCGCATGAGCACTTTGAACTTCTCTCTTTTTTGTATCTTCTTCTCCGATTTATCGAAAAAAATTTCAGTAAATTTTGAATTAGTATCAATTTAAATTCAAAACTTCGAAGTTAGAGGTAAAATGTCCGCTTCTCTCCTGTTAAGGACAAAAGAGGGCAAAACAAATAGACAAGAATGAACAAACAGGAGACCTTTTGATGCTACAGCTGCCTGTCTCGCTGAAGTCAAACAAGATTTTAAACAATAATTGTTAACATGAAAATAATCATTTAACAAATATCCTGTCGCAGACAGGGCTTTGCGCTTCCGATATTGATAGGAAATAATATTTTTAAAATAGTTTGTTAACCGCTACAGGTATTTGAACAGAAAAGCAATAAAATGTCTTCCGTCGGAACTGTCAATCACTACAGTAGTTCGATCAAATTTCTCCTCTTTCCTCATAATAACTTTTGCCAAGTATCACCAGCCGTATTCTAAAAGTACAAAAGGGTAGACTCGGAGGGAGCAAAATCTAGCAAATGGCGCAGAACACAGGACACCCAGCCTGAAGTAACCGAGTTGCTGTTGAATAACCCTGGGAAGCCTGTGTAGAAATAATCATCCAGCACTTTTGAGCGATACCATTTACACTCGTGGATCGAGAGTCAATGTGGAGCATTATAAATTCTTGTGTCTATGGAGTGAAGGGGAAAGTCACCAAGGCTTGTTTTATTACTATTATGGTTATGATTATTATTATTATGCAGCACGGAAACGTCAGAATGCAAACTGCTAGCCACGTAGGACGCACAGCGTAGCCTATATGTGGCCTAAAGGGAGCAAACGTACTCTAGAAAACGAAGGCTCTGTTATGGAATGTTACAATGGCAAAGTTTAAAAAATTAATAATAGTAAAACACAAAGATAAAAATGAAGATAATAGAATACAATTAAGAAATATGAACTCGCGGAGGAAGCAAAGAGGGTGTTTGGAGAGGAAGTCAACATAACGACTGAAGGTCAGCGCCATCTGGGAGCAGTTATTGCGTCGCAAGAATACAAAGACCAGTATTGTGAGGAGAAGGTTCGTGCATGGAAAGAGGAAATCGAACGTCTCTCTGAAATAGCAAAAAGGCAGCCCCATGCGGCGTATATTGCTTTCACAAAAGGCTACAAGTCGAAGTTCACCTACTTCATGCGCACGATTGAATCGTTTGAAGTTTATGTCGATCAAATCCAGGAAGTGATTGAAGATTTACTACTCCCAACTTTGTTCGGTCAATGAGGGCCTCTCCCTAACGAGGTGCGCAGACTTGCTACCTTAACAACGGGTCAAGGGGGTCTAGGCATTCCTGATCTGAAATCCGAGGCACCGCAGCAGTTTGCTGCCTCGAGACTAATAACCACCGCGCACGTAGATTCTATTACTTCACAGAGTCCCATCATGGTGCCAGGAGAAAGATCTACGGAGGAGCTAAAGAGGCATCAACAATCACTTAAGAGAGCAAGTGCCAAAGAGAGAATGGATAGCATTGATTCAAGCCTCTCCCCAGGCCTGCTGCGTCTGGTTAATCAATCGAGGGACAAGGGCGCAAGTTCTTGGCTGAATGCGATGCCTCTCGCAGACAAAGGTTTAGCCCTCAACAAGCAAGAGTTCAGAGACTCGCTACGCTTGCGTTATGACTTGCCCTTAGTCGATTTACCAAGTCATTGCACATGTGGGGATAAATTCACCGTTAGTCACGCCCTCTCTTGTAAAAAGGGGGGCTTGTAGCGCCGAGACACGACGGTGTACGGAACTTGTTAACGACATTCATCGACAAGATCTGCAATAATGTCGAAATCGAACCACGCCTTCAACCCCTGGACAACGAGCGATTTCATTTGAGGAGCGCTTTTACAAGTTCTGAGGCAAGGTTGGACATCAAAGCGGGAGGTTTCTGGGCAAGAGGAGTTACGGCATTTTTTGATGTTAGAGTTACGCACGTCAACTCCAAGTGTTACTAGAGCAAGCCAACATCGGACGTGTTCAAAGAGCAAGAAGAAGAGAAGAAGCGCAAGTACCAGCAGCGGGTGTTAGATGTAGAAATGGGTTCGTTTACGCCTTTGGTGTTTGGAACCAATGGCGGAATGGGAAACGAGTGTCAGCGGTTCTTAAAGCATCTCGCAGACAAGATAGCTCAGAAAGACACCGAGCCTTATCATGTTGTAATCACTTGGCTCAGGACACAGATCTCGTTTGAACTCTTAAGATCAGTACATGCATGCGTCAGAGGTTCGCGAACGCCGTTTCGTAACAAGATAGAGCAGTCATTAGACTGTAATATAAATGTCGCTAGTGCGGATATCTGAAATACGTGTCTAGATGCTTTTATACTTAGGGCTTTTTATGGACACTGGTTTAGCCGTCATTAGTATAATTCGATTGTATGATCTTCATATCGCTGCATAATGGAATTCTTTATTTTATAGAATGTTGAACTTTTATTATTAATGATATCTATTTCCTCTTCTTTTATGTAAGGTTAAGTTACTTCTATTTTTTAGAATTTGTAAATGAACAGTGTTTTGATGAATTAATTAGATTTTTTGCAACAGCAGGTTGATTGTAAATAGGATTTTAATTGAGGTTTTGTAATAAAGATTTTACTTTTAAATTTATTAAGAAATATTAAAGCTGATACATTTATTATTATTATTATTATTATTACAATTATTAACTTGCCAACCCTTTTTATCCTATCACTGTATTATAAAGCACTTTATTGGAAAACAAACATTTCAGAACAAAAGAGCAATTGCTACCGATGATAGTAAAAGTATATTAGCTGATTATATATAGAGGTCATCTCCCAGTACCTTTGTACGCATAGTCGTTCTAAAAAGTAATAACGGCGTCATAAAACGTGAGACGGTTTCTTCCCACAAATCCCCGCCGAAGTACCTTCATTCAGTATCATGAACCACGGCCCTGAGACCGGATAACAACTTTAAACAATCATTCAATTGAGGAAAGCTTCCTACCCGATGTACGAGTCTCACTACTGTATTTTTTAGCGATCGTGACGTCATAAGTGCATCTAACCACCCTTGTAAGGGAAAAAAAATGTTCGCTCAGGGATGTTTTAAGCAAGGAGATAAGAAAATTCGATCAATAAAAATCCCATAAAAATGAGTGCAGACAAAGTAGAAAGGAAGAGCGAATTTATTCCAGTTCCAGGATTTGGGTTTGAAACACCAGCGATCGAAAAAAAGATACAACAACTGAGTACGTACGTTAGAGATCCCCACAATTGAACAGTTAAAAAGTGAAAATGGAAATGTTGATTAGCAGCTACTATTTTTGCAAAAAGGTTCCTTAGTATGCTATCCTTGTGGAAAAGTTTCACTGTGAAGTTTAGATAAAATGCTGTTAAATATAAGGATCTGAATGAAAACTGCACAAAACAAATATTGCCTGTTCCCTGATAGTCTGCTACACAACCGTTTTTAGTGTCGTCACGCAACGCTTAGTGGGGAGGAGCGTTGCGTGACGGCACTAAAAACGGCTGTGTAGCAGACTAGTTCCCTGATGCCTTTAGCATTTCTTGCCAAAACGTGACTTCCAGCCATCTCAGAAATGTTTTCATTCTACTCTATTCGGACTATTTGTCTTGTTCGACGAGGCGAACAAAGGAGGTCTTGTATTTAAAAAAATATAACGAAAAGGACGTTTAACTTAATTAATTGTCTTCAAATTAGGCCAATATCAATATTTGACTGCTAAGAAATTCACCTCAGGAATTCTCTGAAAATAACCTGAGAATCAAAGTAATCTTCAAAGCATCCTCGTGTACTTGCATGGTTTGAATAAATTGATAGAGGCTTACTTCATTTGCTACTTTTGCCATCAATGTCAGTGTTTGCGGTCATCTATGATCACAAAGTCGGAATTCAATTGTTCTCTATGCACTTTGTCTCCTCTTGATGTGTGTTCTAGAAGGAAGCAGCCCGGATTTTACTTCTGCAACCTGTGGTGGTCTGTCTGTATTAAATATGCTCATGAAAAAATGTTAAAATTTGCATTTTAAAATAGGTACCGTAGGTGTGGTCTTTTTAGTATCGGTCTGTGGAAATCGATTTGATACTATTAAGTCATTCAAAAGCAATAGGCGGAATTCTCAAATCTCAGCTGCGAAATTGCATTGCCGACAAGTAAAGTGAGTCTGAGAACTCAAATTTCGCCAACTTACCCATTTCGCATACTTTTCTTTCTGTAGGCTCTCACTTTAAACAAAAACTTCTCTTTTTGTTTAATTTCTCTCGAACTTGCTGTAGTCGTGCAAAATAGATATTTTCTAAGATTGACACGAATTTGACCCGAGAAAAGAAGGAATAAGTATATGAAAATTAACTGATTATTCATTTCATTTTTTCAAATTTTTAAGGTAATTTCTCTCCGATAGAAGAAAAAGAATCTGTTATAGGACGAGTCTTTCGCTTTAGTTTTTACTCAGCATATAGAAGTTTCAAAACTGATATGATTCCTCCTTCAAAAAGGCGGGGAAAATTGAATCGTTTTGGTATCAAGCAGTTAAAAATAATAAAAAAAAGTTTGAGGAAGTAACGTGGAAGAAACGAACAAGACAAACTAAGGGCATGTGGCTAACATATGGCAGCAAGGTGTCGCTGGTCTCTTCAAAGAAAATCTGTTCGACCCCGCAATATTTACATGCCTGAACACTGAGAATTGTTACAAAAAACGCACCTGCAAACTTGTAGACTCAAAAAAAGAACCTGTTCTGCTATTCCTTTGTTATTTCAAGAAAGCGCTGGCTTTTGTGCACCCCGAGGACAGATGTGTCGGCCTTATCGACAAAAACCGTTTTGCCACATGTGCACGTGTGGCGCTGAGCGACACGCTTAGGCGGTGACTCCTAGTTCAAACTCCCTCTCATCCTGTCAATAGTTGTCATAATGAACTCGACGCGTGAGAGGAGAGCTTGGAAATTTTCCTTCCAGCTAGAGTTAAAATTTTTCCCAACCTTCTCATTTTGCTGCTTTTATGAGGTAACCGCCTTTTCCTTCAATGAATACTGTTTTCTCAGTTAAAAACTATTTGCTGATAGTTATTTTACAACAAAAGGATTTTATTTACAAATTAGTGGTTGTTTTGTTTTTGTCAGGGATATGAAATTTTATTTGTTTTATCATTCATACTTGAAATTTTGCAAGTTACTCTTATGTGTGTTAACCGCTTTAGTTTTTTGTATAAAGTTATACATGACATAACATCTTATGCATGAACGCTTCTGAGTTCAAAATTATTCAAAAAATCTTTAAATTGCCACTCTTATCGTTTTTTTACAACTGATATTTCTTATTAAAAATTGAATGTTGAGTTTATTTTGTTTCAAACTTCACAACACGTGTTTAACAACAAACATACAGGTGTCCGACAAGTTGAGCGCTCTTTTTTCCCTAAAATAAAACAGGTATCGGCCCTTATTCGGTATCCCGCGGTAAAAGAGATATAAGAGACATTGATGGCGGAAAATGTCAAGTTGCTAGCGTTCTTTAAGGGTATCGTTGCTAGTAATGAAAATAGGTCGCTTTACATCAGAATGTCGTAGAACATGGCGAAAACATCACTGCAGAAAGTTACTCTTGGCGAGATCTCATTTAAATGCCCCACGTTACTGAAATTTTCCATTGTACTGAAAATTTAAAATTTTATTGTAACATATCTAGGAGACCTAAAGGTTCAACTCTGCGACGATACATATACATTGGGTATAAGTTTGACAATCATCGCTAATAAGATAACTTCAGTGAACACGTGCAAGCTTATTTAAAATCTCATCTTAACTGAAGAGTTTATATGTTTAACAAAACTCATATTCAAGTGTAATGTAAACAAGGAATGAAATAATTTAGCACATGTGTGAGCTCCCAAGTCATTTATATTGTTTTAAAAGATCTTAGTATTTTGGAACTGAGAAATCAGAGATATGCAATTCATATCATCGTGACTGCATCCTTGTAATTAAACAATGACCATACCTACGATTACAAAACTCAACAAAATGCCCCTTTAACGTGCCAGAAAAGAGAAGGAGACTTTCAGTTAAAGGCATGTTAGCTTTGTTTTGTTATATTTTGACTTCTGGACTATTTTAGTTCATGGGAGATTCGACGACTCATCCCATTCTGTCCATGTTATTGACACACACTACGTCTGGGCCGCCTGTAGTAAAAGTTGTTTACAAAAGAATTTATACGGAGAACTGACAAAATCAATCAATCAAAATTGTTATCATCCGTATTGTACAGATGTAAAAGGTAGTGTTAAACTTTGTTTGAATTATTTAGAAGAAATAAGGCATCTGGGTCCCCTTGTCTGAAAAACGTCTTTAAAAATGCTAAACGAGAAATAAATGCCAGTTCTTGTTACTGCTTCTAAATTGTTAAAATTGATTTACCTGTTTTTAACATTTACCACATGTAAAAGACTCTAATGAATTATATGCTAGAGAAGAAATTAACCACTTTGTTCATAGTCGGCTTAAAACCAGTGACTGACCTATACTGACTGACCTTAATATAGGGAGTTTAAGCGGCCGCGTTTTCGAGAGACGCTCGTCAACCGGAAGTTTACTTTTTGTACCCTTCGGCCGTGATTTGCAACAAATTCTTGGGCAAATCGTCTCTATAAGAGAAGAGTAAAGACACTAAGCAGTAGAAATTTGGTAGCGTCGAGGCATGTTAAAAGAGAAAAAAGCTCACATCCGGTTGAACGTGCGTCGCTCAGAAACGTCGCGTCTTAAAGACCTTAAACTCCCTAATGTGAATGAAGAAAATGGTACCCATGGCTCTTCTCTACGGGAAATGCCCGGGGGCGAGGTCAGACAGTGAGCCCCCGCCTATTTTCGGTACCTCATGCAATGTTTACAGTTTTGAAAACCTAGGAAATAAATAAAATACTAGAAAAACAATTTGCAATCAAAATTGGCACTAAAAATAGACGTTTCGAAGTCATCCTGGCTTCATTTTTTAGTAAAAAAGGCACAGTAAATGGAAATTGAATTATTTTTTCTATTCAAAGCGTCAAAACGTACTATGCAATTCATAATTAGATGGTTCACAGGTAAATTAAAGTTGCAAAATACAACTGTGGGGTTGGAAGGCATTAAACAACATGACTGACAAAAGGAATCTCCACTTAACAGCGTCACCGAGGCGACAAAACGGAGTTATTAATTATTTCCTTTTTTCTCCTTTCTTTCCATCCTCATACGCCCCAAGATCATAACGCTGAAAGTCTCAGCTTAAACTGCTTATCAGCTCGCTGGTTGCCCTGGTTACGCTCAGTCCTGATTTTAAGGTTATGTACTCTAACTGCTATGCATGGCGCCGGCAGCACCAATCAGACTTCTATCATGACGTGTCGTCCGTACTTTTTCCCGCGCTTGAGTGACGACGCTCTGATGATTCGTGATAGCCAATGGGAAGACGTCATTTAATTCTACATTTATTCATTCGCGTTGTGATTGGTCAAAAATTTCCGGCCTTATCCAAAGTAGAGACAAAACAAGACAGAGATTTTGGTTTTTCTTTTTTAACACTCTAATTACATTTTTTAAATTTTATTCTGCTGTTTTTCAAGTCATGTTACTTTCCATTACCTGTTGGAGGAGAGACTACGTTGTAAACACTTGGTTAGTCTTGCTTCACTAAAACAATATGTTTGGAAGGGACCCAAAAAGGGATAATCATGTCTATTACAATCAATAAAATCAGCAAATTAATGTAGAGCGTAACAGACAGAAACGTCCAGTGAAAACGATCAAACACGATACACGACAAATCTGAGTTCTAAGAATGGATAAAACGCTTGCAAACTCGGTTATTCAATTAAGTTCATCTCACAGCTTACAAAAACCTAGGCTGCAAATCGATTCCGCCACTGGACGATACTTAGTTATAAACCCTACTTGTGGTACTGAGATTGAGTGATATCGTGAAATAAAAGTCATTACATTCCTCATATATTGATTTCTCTTTTAAGCGTAAAGGCACTCAATTCCAAAAAGTCTCAAGAGCACGACGTAATGGGGCAACTGTCCGAATTCCTCGTCGCTGCAGAAATTTTTTCTCCTTAACAACAATAACAACAAAGGAATATTACTATAGTTACTGGCAAGATTTTTTCCTGCGATATGGCTTGCAGTTATGTTTGTTATCATTTTGATTCTTGTACTCAGTCAGAAGCTCTTTTTATGAAAATCTTGCTTGAAGCAAAGTTACCATCGGCTGAACTGGAGAACGATAAGCTATATATCATTGTAGAAAAATCATTTATTTCTTCAGTCAAGTACATAAAAAAGGCTTCTACTTTCGACATAATTGTCTGTTTCAACAAAATTACTTAACAATAAATAAGTAAACAAATAAATAAAGATCGCGATATTCTCATCATTTTGTTGTTACTTCTTCTTTGGTTTGGATATTACAAAATATTCTCCCACATTTATCTCAGTTGTCAAACACCAGCTTTATTTTTCACTGCTCTGTTTTCATATATAATGAATGCATGGAGTTCTTTTTAATTAAGAACAACAATTTCTCGTAAATTACTTTCTATAAATAGGTTTTTTTTTACTTTACTTGCCAAATATTGTTTATATAATTTGTCAATTGGAAGACACGTATGACACAAATTTCTTTTTCAAAATATACCGAAAGACACACCCAAAAAGAAACAGGTACTTGTCAAATCTTTCCCTCAGGCACCGTTGGTTTGCCTTTTATCGGTTTTGATTCGTGACCTATCAAAAAATTGTAGTTGATTTTGTTATATTTGAATCAGACGACTGCTGCTTAATCTAATTTTATGTCACATTCGACTTATCTTAAATAACTGCCGAGATCCGTGCTGACGTATTTCATTCAGGGCTTCAGATGTAAATTGTTCCTATTTCAAATGAAATGTAGCTACGTTTGTACATACATTGAAATTTTCGTGAAAAGGATTCTAAAGCTTGGACAACATGTGTTAGACACATTGTGAAATTAAAATTGCCTGCATATTGTACAACTGATAGTTAAATCAAGTATCCCACGAACTCACCGGTTGCAAAGCCTTTAAAATGCAAAACAAGCGTTTAAAGAGTTTGATTTTTTTTTTCTTCGAAATAACCGTAACAAATAATTATAATTATAATATTGTCGGACTGTGTTAAATTTATTCAGTTACAGATTGTGCCTTTTTAAATTTATATATGCGTAAACAAGAAAAAGAAGTGAAAAGTTGACCAATTTGATTTTGGCACCAAATTGTCGCAGGGGAACCGACTATATATCAACAATAGAAAATGGTACTATTTGTTTGAGAGTCTTCTTTATTCCGACATTTCCAAAGTGAATACACTTGAGATCGGTCGCATTTGGTTATTGAATCTCTGTTTGGCCCAATCAAGGCAAGTTTGTCGTTTTCATGTTTTTCATATGTATTTTCATAATCATCTCTATCTCCTCCTACGCGTTTTCTGCTTTTTGACGCGCATTTCCCTTTTTCGACAACACAGAAAAGTCACTTACAAATATACGATTGAAACCCAATTAGAATTCAAGTTCAGGGACGCACTTTTCAATAAAGACCGAGAAGGCTTACACAAGCTTACAGTGTACAAGGCCCCGTAAGGTGTTAACATGGAGATATTACAGTTACGCACGCACCTAAAAGAAGAATATTAATTCGGAGTTATGGCGCCCCACAGCATTGTTTCCTACACTTTGATGGGTTTTCGTTTCATTTAAGTTTTGCATAAGAGGCAGGTGTTTCCATTTAACACTGCCAATCATCTTTTTTCGTGAATTACACGAGTTCTTCCATATTATAATAAGGAGCCAAAATAATTTTTTTTTTTTTAAAAAAAATTTCTACTTTTTGATAGTTTATTTTTTCGTCCTTGGATGCGGTTAAAAATGAGATTACTTGTAAGAAAAAAAAAATGAAAAGAAAAAGAGGTATTTTGCAATTAGCCCAGCCCTTTGTTAATTATTTGACCTCGGTACGCGGTGGGTCTGCCGAAATCCCCGTTCTCCATTTAAGGAAAGCTATACAGGTGTGGCTAGAGCAAACGCTAAAATGAAAATTTTTGTTTTCCATAACAAATTCTCTGAGTTTTAGCGATAATGCATGCGTTAGCACCAGAGATCTCGCGTGGCTTTCGCATCCGGGTTGCACTTTGCGCGAAAACCAAATTATAAAGCGAAGTTCGATAAGGCCTCGAGCAACAGCAAAATTTCTTCAGTTGTACTAAGTCCTTTAGATATATTAATTTGCCCATCAGAAGCGTTCGATCGATGCCAGAAAAGCAGATGTAAATATTAAATTCACGGGCTTCGTATCTGTCAAATGCCGAGCTCTCGTTAATTAATGATGACATGCACTTTGTTGACAGCTGTTTCAGCTGTCTTTAAGCCCCGGATGAGCAGGTGTACCACTCACTAAAACTTCTTGGTTCGCGTTACGCCTTTACGTGCTGCAGAACTTTGCTTGCTAACAGACGAGACACAATCTTTCATCCTCCATACAAGGTCTTTTCACGCGTTTTTTTATTCATCAAAGCGTCAATGAAACTCGTCGGAAGAATGCACCACCACAAATACAACGGTATGGACTTTGCTTGTATGGAATGCATTTTACACAGCTATTTTTTCTTTCCTCGTCCATATTTTTTGCGGCCGATTTTTTTTAGATATAGACCGTTTATATATTTTTTATAAAATTTCTTTTTTTCTGGTGCGAGTTACAGAATTAAGAGGAATTTCTTGGTGACATCTTAATTTTTTTTTTTTAAGTTCTTTACCCCGTGTGAATTTCACCCTCTTAATCAAAGTGAAAATTATTTCAAATCTTGGAGAAAGATCCAGCGTGTTATTGATATTTTTTCCTATTGCTGCGAAAGCAATTACTGGCATACAGTTGGCCTAGTCAGAGCGCGCTTACCGCCTCAGCACCACTTAGAAATCCCTGTGTAAATAAAACATAAGTTGTCAGTGGAACGCTCAACATAAGAAAACAGCTCGCTTTCCCTAATGTCCTTTAGTGAGTGGCTCGAGCAGATGTACGTAAGATACAATAACTACACCAACAATCGAATAATTAGCACGTGCAGATTTAAACCAATTGCATTCGAGAACGCGCGCATTTCAGGGTTTTACCGGTCATCGTTTTCATGTCCTGTTCGACACTTCATAGATTTGACAAAAACAATTTAAACAATCAGTTTTTTTGCTGATTTTTTCTTTTACATATCATTTGTGCTGGAGCGTTTCGCGTGCCCAAGTCGTAGGATCGAACTTTTTGTTCAATTTGATATCGTATTACGCGGAAATGTGTGTTGAGTTTGGCCGAAGAATAATAATTTCTTACGGGGGCACGTGTGCAAGAAAGCTATTTTAATGAAACTGAGCTTAATTATTTATCATATTAGAAACAGAAAGCTTATCATATGGTTTCCTTAGTTCTGTAAAAGTCGAGGGGATAACACGGAAATTATTCCGGTTTTTTTAATGAATAGAAAGTCGATAATCCTTGTTATTATTTTTATCCTTCAATATTTTGTTTATCCCCATACATTCGACATCAAAACCGTCTCTAAACGACAAACTAATTCATCCCAGAATCTGTATTGGAACCCAGTCTCCTAGTCTCGCGGTTTTCTTAGCAACGAATGCTGCCTCCGATATTTAGAACTCAAACAATGGTGAAAGAGACTGTGATTCCACCTGCGCTGATACGAATCGCTAAGTTCCCGTATGTACAGCTGTTCATAGACGTCCTTCGCCACCTGAAAGCTCGATAAGGAGTGTTATCTGTTGGTCAATATTGCATATTGTGTAGGAAAGCGGCTGGCAAAATCTCGGTGAACTCGGCTACAAGCTTTGGCAATTTTCTTCTTTACTGGGCATAAAATTCACTTTTCCGTCGTTCATTCCCCCTATTTCTACAAGCGAACGAAAATGCAGGATACTAATAAATGAACCCTTTTTCCGAACGGAATCGAAAACCAATTTGTTTTTTCGCTTTTCAAACAAAAAATGAAAATTGAAATTACTTTTGTGTTCGGTGACAGCTTGTTAAATATTAAGCAAGATACTGCGATATATTCTGCGAATAAGATTTTGTTTTGTTCACGGAAAAAGGCTAGCTTTTATTTCTGGGGGAGTGAAAAAAAAACTCATCATTTTTCACTTCTTTTTTTTTTAGTTTCAAAAGATTTTAGAGCACGTGCTAAAGAAACGATAAACAATACATAAAAAAATATAATCCAGCGATATTCTACGTCAGGTCATAAAATATTCATAATACCGGACGGTTCACGTGACTAAATTAGTGACGTCACTAATTAATTGCCTACTGGTGGCTTTACGAGATGGGAGTCAAAAGCAAGTCGCAAGGGCTTTCTGTTGTAGCAAAGAGTTGGTTATGCCGGCAGTAACTTCAGGTATTTATTGATGCATTGCTCTTATTTTTAAATAGCGAACTGCAAGATTCGATGGTGTCCTTCAAGAAATCATTTCGTGCCGACAATTAAGAGTTAACGAAGCGCCATAGCTTAGGTCACCTTGGGTTTATAACCGTACGAATGTGTTTCTTTACATGGCGTCCAAACCGCTTCGTTGTCTATTGTTTTGTTTCACGAAGGATTACCAGATGATTTTTGCAATAGGTTTGGGTTTCGTTTGAAAGACTTATGTATTGTTTTGAAAGGAAGATCTCGCAACGTCGGCGGTAATAAATGTGGACTGGGCATCTTCCAGGATACGAATCAAATTTCTTCGTCTGCTGAGCGGCAAAGGCCATGAGCTTTAATTTATTTATGTTTTGAGCGAGAAGAACGGCACAACTTTACTACATTTTTGTTACAAGGACACAAAATGCTACTTTCTAAAGTTACTTATGCCGACAGCCTGGTCTTGGTCACTTAGAATGTCCTTTGCATTGCTTTTAAATTTGATAGTCGTAAAGAAAATTAAGCTTAAGCTTATGTCCATGTTCGGAAAGTTACGAACATGTCAGATTTTAGAAAATTCCTATTATCATCGAGTTGGTTAGATATTTGATGAGTCTTTCCTAATATTATTTACATCTTGACTTCTGAGTTTTTTCTATAGCATTTCCAGCCTCTCGAGACGAGTTTGAAAATCGCCCCAACGAGAAAATCAAGAGATTTTCGCCTGTGATCACAACATGTGTTTTTAAGGCCATCTTTCTTTCAACATAATTAAGGTAGTAAAACATAAACTTAATTATAAGATGCCTGACGCTCTCAATGAATCTTTTACAATTTTTCTAAGATTATTAAAAACCCATCGACTCACATGAAACAGTTGTGAGTTTTTCAAAGTTAACCATGGAGACTTTCATTGTTGATTGCTATTTGATTCTCTTTCATATTTATGTGGTTATGTTCAGGTAATCTTGGTGAATTTCGCGAGCTACACAATCCATTTTTCCCATGATATATAAAACCTATAAAAACTGTTCCCTAACAGTTAACCTTTAAGAGGAACAAAAACTATGACAACTTTGAATACATGTATGTTCTTATCTAGACATTTTTAGAACATACAAATACAGTATGTATTTAAAAAATGCAAACGTTCAGAAAAAGAACTCGCCTTTGTGGAGTGTTGGGAACTGTGCATTGGATAGTAAATCTTAAAATGGCTAATGTTTGGAACAAAAATATCAGTTTTTTTCTGGAAGTATAAAATACCTTGTAACCTCACTACTGTGCCAATATATTCATATCTTTTGAATTTTTATTAAAAAAGTTCAGCCAAGCGCATATATATGTACGGTGTGGGATGTCGCAATGTTCTATTTTAGTGGTTATAGTTAAGGAACAAAAATATTAAGAAATTTTTTTTTGGTTATTTTATTAATTTCAAGTGGAAATACTCTGCAATCAAATAGCCCTCTGACGGGGGTTATTTTTAAAACAATATATTACTTTACCGTGATTGACTGTATGGCAGCATTCTGTTGTTGAAGGGTTGAATTATATCTTTTTGTTGTCATTCATGCCTGAACAATATCATAGCTGCCCTTTGATCCAAATATATTGCATAATATGTATTGTTTGATTAACTCATAGCATGCTTCATCTCATTAATGGGGCTGTTTTCTTTAGACACTTTACAGTATATTAGAAATTCTAAGCTAAAAGTTTGGACATTTCCATTATTTGGATGACATCAATTTGCTTAATGCAAAGTCAAACTTTATAATTTTGAGATGTTTATTGAGTGGTTTATATCACTAATAGTAATTTCATTGGACATATTTATCTCTCATTTATCTTCTTTATGACATTTGCATTAATAGCTGCTACTTTAAGAATAACATCATACATGTACAATATGTACATGTTGGAACAAACATCACTTGTTTATGGAAAATAAATTTCATCTACATGAGAGTAAACAAAATTAAGTATCATGATCAAAATGTACAAACTTGACGAATTATCACATACACATAGTTTGTGAAGGCTGTTCTTAAGTATGATTAATTTTTCCACATCAAGAAATAATGACAGGTATATAAAGTATCTTAATTACACAATTTTACCTGGACCAATACCAAGAAATACGATAAAAGAAAAACATGATGCAGTGTTGTTACTTTTTAAGAAAAATATAGATCATCTATGCATACATGTAGTTTAGTAAAAAATGTGTCAACATTTTATTTGGTTAGTAGTTATAATTTATTTATTATACGTACAGAATTTGAATCTCTGATAGCCACACTAGCAAAAATAGCAAATAAAAACAGAGCAAAGAAACAACAGTGCGTTTTTAGGGTCACCATGAAGCTTCACTGACAAGACTGAAAAAGTAACCCCTAAATTCATCTGCTAAGGTCCCTACATTATAGAGATAATTTCAAGAAAAAGAACGCAAATGCTTTTTTACATTGAGCAGTCCTGTGCAAGCTTGCTCCTGTGACTGATTTCATAAAGGCGTGTTTTAATAGGCCTTTTGCATTAGTTGATCACGTGATCAACTTCCGGTAAACGTGAAGACAGTTCACTTTTGAAAAATTTGTGAGTATGAGCTGAAAGAGCGTATTAAAATTAGGTAACCAGTTAATTTTCAGCGGTATATCTCAAAAGTAGTGATTGCAACGGCTGCCGAAAATTAGAAGGACTTGTATGAGAAAAACAACTCTTGCCCCCCAGTCACACTTGAGTGGTTTTCCAGACAAGTCCTTGTAAATTCTGAAATTTTTAAACTGTCGTTAAATCTTTCCTTTATGCATTTACATGTGTAAGGGCTCAAAGTGCCTGTTATGAATTAAAAGGAGATTTGAGCCCTGTAATTTTGGAATTCACAAGAATTTGTATGGAAAGCCCTTCAAGCGTGACTGGGTGACGAAAGTCTTTTTTCTTATACAAATCCTTCTATTTTTGGGTGGCCGTTGGATTTGCTACTTTTGAGATATATGACTGACAATTTACAGATTGTAACATGCTCCTTCAGCTGGTGCTAACACTGAAAATATTTCAAAAGCGAACTGTTTCCGTGTTTACCAAAAGTTGATCACATGATCAACTGATGCAAAAGGCCTATTAATAAGGAGACAAAATCTAAAGGGCCAGCCATTTAAGGCCCAGTTCATATGTCATGCTTCTGTTGTGCCAGTCTGGGTATCATTACTGATGTTCAAACAAAGAAAAACTAAATTTCATGTTTGTAAAATCTGCAGATTTAAGAGAGGCAAGCATGCCAGATTCACCGACAGATCCAGCCTCCCACCCACCACAGGGACCCCCAGTATCATCTCCAAATGCAAACCCTGCCTCTGTGCCAGTTGTAGCTGACGTTAGGACATTATCAAACAATTCTACTTCACCAGCCGTCAATGGTGTTCACTCAAGTTCCACAGGACCTGTGTCTCCAAGTAGTATAGGAAACAGTGTGACCCAGCTCCCCCCTGCCTGTGGCGCACGGCAGCTGAGCAAGTTAAAAAGGTTTCTCACAACATTACAGCAGTTTGGCTCAGACATTTCGCCAGAGATTGGTGAAAGAGTGAGAGGACTTGTGATGAACCTTGTGGTGAGTATGAAACAGTGGAACACATCCTGGTTTAGTGTTGACATACATTTTCTACTGTGTTTTTTTAGTATGATCAGGAAAATACTTGTAGATAGTTAACTTAATGGTAATCAAGCCTGTACTCTAAGAAGAATTGAAGGGAGTCCAGTGCTCTTAACTTGTGAAATCCAGGGTGCCCAGCATATAAGCTCTATGAAAAAATTTAAGGTTTTCTAGTTGCCTGGAGCCAAAAGTGAGGTGCCACAGGCCACCAGACACTTCCAGAGCACTACCTTGGGTTAGGAAGATACTTTCCGATAGCAAATTTTATGCAGTGTGGTGAAAAAGTTGTCAGACACAGGAATAATAGAGACCATGCAGTCTAAGAAAAAAGAGGTTGGAGAGGAAGAGGGAGGGTCTGGGAGTAAGGTAGGCCTTTCTACTTACCAGTGTGGCTGTGGTTAAATCCCAGATATGATGCCATTGTGTGGGCTGAGTGTGTTGTTAGTTCTGTTCTCTTCTCCAAGAGGTGTTTCTTTGCCTACTCTGTCTTCAGAAACTAAAGCCCTACTCACATCAAAGCTTAAACAATGTTTTAAAGCTGTTTAGTTAAACATGGTGTAAATTTGTTTTCTTTATAAAAACTACCTACTATACTTTTTTTTGCTTGCAAATTCAGTGCAATTACCTAACTTGTTAAAGTTCATTTGAATTCAGAGTAAAAACTTGTGTTGTAGTTTTCTGTTACTGTTTTGTTATTTTTTAAAACCTAGTTCAATTAATTAATCATGTTTTGTTGGTGTGAATGGGGCATATCATTTGAAATTCTAGTTTGGTGACGAGTGCATGCTGTATAACCTTTCTATGAATTCTAAAGAGCTCTTACGTACTTCATGGTGAATCAAAGTTGATTTATACCACTATTTTGATCTGGAATCCTTGACATACTGATCATTTCATTTTCTTGACTCTTTAGTTTATGTCACCAGGTTTTACTAACTAGTTCCTTCTGCGATTATCATGTACAGAACTCAACAATATCTATTGAAGAATTCCATGCCCAGCTTCAAGAGGCAACCAATTTTCCACTTAGACCGTTTGTAATACCATTTCTGAAGGTAAGTTTTTTAATATTCAGTGCACCCTTTTCTTGAAAACTGATTTCAATTTAAGTACAGGCTCAAGGTAGTTGGATGTTGGAAAATTTCTTTTTTTTTCAATTTTATAGACTAAGACTTATGGCGTTTAATTTCCATCTGTCAGAACTGACGGGCCAGACTATTGCTGTCATAATGAGATTTTCACCTTTAATCAAAACTATCCAGCCACATTAGTCAAATCCTAAATAGTATGCACAAAGGAGATGACTTTTTAGTAGCAAAAACTCTTGGAAAAAGCTTATTTCATTGTGAAAATGTCTGGTCCAGCCATGGTCTGGCAGGCCAGTTCTGACTTCTGGAAAGCACCCTAAGTCAAGGTCCATAAAAATGAAAAAAAATAGAACAAGGTTAAAATCCAGCCATCTAAACTGAACAATCATGTTTAAAAAAGAATTTATTATGTTGCCTGAAGGAAATGTATTCTTGTGGGAAGAAAGTGGGAAATCTCACTCACAAAATCAACCCAATAAATGTTATGGAGTGCAGGTGACAATGATTAAAGGTCAAAACACTTTTGCTCAAATTTTGCTCAAACACTGTGCTTTGCATAAGTTTCACTTGATAGGTATAATATAAGTCTAATATAAGTCTGAACCACGTGATCACAGATTGCCTTGGATGCATTCCATTCATTCTTAGTGGAAATCCAAACAAAGCTGGCTACATAATTATGTGTGGAGTATGTGTAATAGCAACCTGAAGATTAGGATTGTGGGCTCCTTTTGTCACCTGCAGTAAATTATTGCTCTAGATTAACAGCCCGCCAAGATGTGCCAGCAGCCAGTAATTTGGCAACTATGCTCAACTGGGGTGTCTATTCTTTAGAGAGCAGTGAAAATTTGTTGTTTACATGCAGTTGACATGTAGGAAAATAGTAACTTGAGTTTTAAATGTTGCTTGGTACTTTTTAGGCAAACTTACCACTCTTACAAAGAGAACTGCTACAGTGTGCACAAATGGCAAAACAGACTCCTCCGCAATACCTACGACAACATGAAGATATTTTAAGTGAACGAGATTCTGCGCCCTTGGATCCAGAAGAAATGAATCCTTTGGAGATAAACGAAAATGGAAAACGAAAAGCTTCTGATGGAATGAGGTGTGCAATTTTATTTTATTAGTCTTATATTTTATTTTGTTTGTACCAGGTGCTCACTAAACTCTTGACTATGAGTAATGTCAGTCTGCTCCTAAAATGCTCATGCATGGCAGGCTTCCAGTACGTATGATGCCAGCCATGTTCATAATGGTTGGATGCATATGATTTTGCTTTTGTGTCCACACTGCATGTTTTGAGAAATCCAGTTGTAAAATGCTCTTGTTTGTTTCCTTTCAGACCTAAAGAAAATGGAGCTCCCCCTGATCTAGCCATGGTGAGTGATTGTTTCCTAATTTTGAAGTGCAACCCAGTTAAAATCTAGTCATTTTTTGAAGACCTATTGTGACAAACTCTCAATACAGTTTCATTAAAGAAAGACATTTTGATAATAGATCAAAGCATTTTCTCATAAACTTTCTGCCTCTTGATTATGTATTGTTATTGTTAAGAGAAAATTGATTTTGGTCTCCCTTGGGACTTAAAGTGTTTTTATTATCTTGTGTATGAAGGTAAAGGGTAAAGGCGCACAATAGCCAAAGGCCCAAACAGCTGAAGCTTATCTTGGTTTCCTTAGTGTGAAGCATACTGATTAGTATTGCTACTCCCCCCTGGACGGGATGCTAGTCCATCACAGGGTTACTCCCCAGCAGTATGTCCCCAGTAGCCATTTATACACCTGGGTGAAGAGAGACAAAGTGGAGTGAAGTTCCTTGTCTAAGGGAACAATGTGATGGGTGAGGTGTGGCTTGAACCCCGGACCTCCAGGTCCAGTGTTTGAGGTATTAACTGTTAGGCCACACACGCCTCCACATGAAGCAAAGTGTGAATTTGAGAGTCACTGAGATTGTTTCTTTGTGCTCTGGTTCACACTATTTTCTTGATAATTTCCCAGCCTTCATTGTGTTGTTTTTGTAATTTTGAGTCTATGTGTTTTACTTTTGCAGCAAATGATGGCCGAACTAGGAAAACCTATACCCAAGAGACCCCATTTAAGTAAGTTAAAGCTCAAGTGGCTTGGTTTTTGTTGTTGTTGTTGAGAGGGGTGGCTTGCTGAGACATGAATATTTTATCATACTGTACTTGTGAAATGCAACAAACAGCAGAGGTCTGTATCAAAAGTTAATTCCGGTGAATAATAAATTATCAACTCAGTTGATTTGTATTGAGGTTTACAGAGGTGGACTTGTGACAAAGTTTGGTCACAACTCAAATGAATAAAAATGAATAATGTAAAAGTCATTAATATTATTTTTGATGACTTTCACAATATTACTACTATAGAAAACATCTCTTGCATGTAGTTTTTGTGACAACCAGGTGCTTTTAATATAGCTTCAACGAAATCAGTTATTGCCAAGCTGTTCTGTCTTGTGAAACCTCTGTGACAGTACATGTAGTAAGCGTGTGAAGTTTTCTTTTGTTGCAGGTAGTAACAGTGGCCTAAACAAACCAAGTCAATTAAGAATGGAAGACATTACAATGCCACAAGGTAATGTTACAAAGATCTTGTGTTGATGAGCTGTACATTGTACTCAAAATGTCAAAATGGCTGAATATTGGCCCACGTGTCACTGACCACATCACTGTTTCTTACTTCACAGCAGGTAGTTCACGTGATGCAGAATCTTCAATGCCGGATGTTCTGCTAGATAACAAGCATGAAATCGCTGATGACTGGCGGCATGTAGACACAGTAAGTTTTTTCAATCAAAATAATCTTAAAAAAATACACAAGGGTAGCTCTCAAATGTGTGGAATGTACTTTTTTCATCATCTGTCTTGGCTGTAGCTGACAGGTTTTCCTATTCATCAGTTTCTAGTACAGATGCATGAACATCTCCTACATACACCTTTAACAGGTGTCTTTATTTTTTGTACTGTTTTTATTTTTTTTTGAAGTGACATTTACCATGTTAATAACTACAAAAGGCAGGCTTTGTACTTATAAATCGTAAAGAGCCAGCGTGCAAAGAAAGTAGTGTCCGATAACCCGGAGCTGGTGGATGTTGCTATCGGGCTAGTGAATTCTGTTTTTAACTTGCCCTACGGGCAAGTGAAGTATTTTGAGGAATTCAACGTACAGAAGAACTGTGAAATCAATTCTGCTCATCAAAACATTTTGGGGCTAGTTGAAATGACGTTTGGGTAAATGCTAGCTTCAGCTTACCCGAATGGTAAGCTGTAAAAATGACTTTCTTGGCACCCTGTAAAGAGCGGTACTTTAATCGCAAAGGATGTCACTTACAATTAATATAAAAAATGGTGACACCAGTTCTTTAAAAGTAATAGTTCTGTAGTATGATTGAAATGCATTAACATCCATCTGTTACTCTGTTTTCTGCTTTTAAACTTATCCTACAATTTTTGAAGTTTCCAAAGCCATTACTCTTGGAAGGTTCCTCAGAGGCTCCTACATTTGATGACTTCTATTAATTTTCTGATGTCATTTCAGATGCTTCAATGTATTATTGGTATGGTTGACAAGACCAAACGGGCTGTATCAGTTCTTCAAACACGTTGTAATCAGGACCGAGAAGAGCTCTTGGCCTGGGCACGAAAAACAGCTGAGGAAACAGAAGCAGAAGTGAAAAGAAGGGCAGGTTTGTTACTGATCTATGTATAAATAGTAGTAAATATCTCTGCTCTTGGTTACTTTTAATTTATCATGTTAAGAGGACACATACTGTTGTCCTCTTATCAGTGACAATAGTATAAAAGAGACCTTTAGATTTGAGAACGAAGAGGACTATGACACCCCAAAAAGCTTCATTTTACGTTTTTCACAAGCAAATTTAACACATTATTTTTAAGGAGGTTAAAAAAGGTTAAGCCCTCTCGTGATCGCAAAATGATAAAACTTGTAACATGTGCTAACTTGTTTCCATCACTCTGACATTTTCGCGAAAACTTGTAGTAGATTGACTAAGGCTATTGCATTTTTCCGCAAAAATGACGCTGGTTCATGCGGGCGGTACTTAGTATTGAGAAAATTTGTTTTCATAGTCATCCTTGCTTTAGAACCTTAAGGTCTCTTTACATTACATAACACAGTTTGGTGATGATCTCCCTGCCCTTTAATTTGATCAAAGTGGAGAGATTATTCTAACTTGTCCATTGTTTATTTTCTCCTCATGTAGGTGAATTGATGGCAAAAACATTACAACAAACAGAGGAGCGTGTAGCAGAAGTAAAACGGCGTGCAGAAGAAGCAGTGAGTGATGTCAAAAGACAGGCAGTAGTGGAACTGCAGAAAGCTGTCCGTGCTGCTGAGGAGAAAGCCAATGAAGCTGTGGCCAGTGCTCATGGCAAGATGGAGAAAGCTGTGTTGGAAGCCCGTAGACAGGCCACTGAGGACACTCTAGCAATGTCCAATCACCAGAGTGACTCTAGTGAGGTAGGAGCAACATTCTGGGCATTTTTATTGTTTTCTTAGTTCTACATTGATCAGTGATTTCCAATATACCCATCTACCCTCGGATCAACCTGAAAAATTTATACCCCAGGCAGGGTGGGTATAGGAAAGCTGTGAAATTTTTGTCAGGTATCGAGGAAAAAGTGCTAGTGACCTTACAATCTTAAAGGGTATTCCTCAAAAATTTCTGTTATCCAGTTTAAAGTATTATTATTATTATTATTACTGTTAATTATTGTTGTTATTATTTTTCGTGGAAATAAGGGTAAACATGCAGAGTTTTAAAAGGCGTAGTCAATCTGGCATTACTTAAACAGAAATTAATTAATGTTGATGCTTATGGGGATATGCATTGTTCTTCCCGTAGAGTTGTTGGAATTGTGGCCGAAAGGCCACCGAAACGTGTAGTGGCTGCAACTTGGCGCGGTACTGTGGTCCATTCTGTCAACACAAAGACTGGGAAAATCACCATCATGTTTGCGGACAGCAGGCACAGGGTGCTAACGAGGACACTGCACAGGGAGGGGGTTCTCAGAACACCAACTCACCTAAGGAATCAGCTGGGAGCAGCAGTAGTCCTGCCGTGACCAGAATGACCACGCCCACTTCTTCAGCAGACCCAATATCATCTCTTAGTGATTATGTCATGAAAACTCCCTCCACGTAGAACAGACGCATATCCTATCTAGTAATGAATTTGTGCCAGGTCTGACATAGAAATCATGCCCAGCAGGACAGTGTTTAATTTCTGTAAAGAGAATCTTGACATGCTTGATGGTACATGTACAAGGGACATGAAGGAATTTTGCGTTCTTTGCATCTTATCCTGTCTTTGTTAGTTTTGCAACGAGGAGATTTATGTTGAACAAGTTTGAAGCTGGTGGAAGCAGACATCGATTTTCTCCTAACGACATCAATACTTAATCGAAAGGAAAGGTTATGAGAATTCATGAAATGATCAGGGAAAATTCTTTGACCTTTTAACAAATTCTCTCAACTATGTTTAAGGGAAATGTAAGGAGATAAGTCTGGAGAATTTGTTTGTTGATATTGGGGTTGAAAGGGACAAACCAGTTTACCGTTTAACCTGACAACTAGATTCCAACATTCCTCAGTTCTTTTTAAAACTTGAACGTTTTGTAGGTTGATAGCTGCAATAATGTTTTGGATTTTAAACATCTCTAGCTTGAACTCTAGTTTGCCTTGCTAATGGTCAGCTCTGTTATGTCTTTGTATCAATGCTAATGTTTTGGATTGGCTATGGTTATGAACAGCAACATGGAAAGTTTTGAATAAGTTTATTGTTTTTAAAGCCAGGATTACTAGACTTGATAGAGTGGATTCTCTTTACTGTCATCTATTACTCAGCAGTAAGGAGAAAAATTGAACATGGTTTCTTAGATTAAAAGAGGTGAAGAGATCTATCAATATTGATGCACAAGTATTTTGCCTTTTTTCACATGGTTTTGTTGTTAGTTTCTTGGTGTTGTGGACGGTTGCAATCATCAAATGATGTTATACAAAAGATTGAAAAGAGACTAAACTTCACCCACACCTTTCAGTCCTAAAAGTGACCAACTTCAATTTTCTCCTAATGATATCCATACATCATCAAGAAATTAGGATATGAGAATTAATAAAATGATCACCTAAGAGAAAATGCTTTGATCCTTTTTCCAAATTCTCTCAACTCATTCTTTAAGGAAATTTATAGAGATCAGTTTGGAGAATTTGTATGTGTATATTGGGGCTTAAAAAGTTTTTTTACAGTGGTTTCCACAAAACTAAGAAATGCTCGTTTTGTTTTATTGTTTTTTTCTCCTATGCAAAGTAACTCCATCTTAAAGTTTGGAAACAAACCTGCCTTTCCAGACCACAGATAGGTCGAGTTTTAAAAATTACTTTCAATCCTTAAAGTCAGTTCTCCTCAGTCGCTTTTATTCAGTTGAATGGTTTAACCCTTTCTGTGAGAAGAAAGTTTTTTTTGCAAAGAATCTGTGTAATTATGTACAGGAATAGTCTCTTCTGTGAATGTATCAATAAAAATACAAAACTTACTCATTTAACACTTAATTTTCCAACATAAATTGTCACTTCCTTGTGGGGAGTACAATTTCTCGATGAATAATTTGTTTCCATTTTTAGTCAGCCATCTGTAATAACATCGATATGTAATACTTGTAAATATGAAATAAATTCAATTCCATCTATGTTTTTCCTGCCTTAAAAGACTTAATTGTCAGTACAATACTTTAACTCCTATCATGCACTCTATCCAATGAGCTTTTCACTCTCTTTAAAGTGGTCCCTTTGTTGGTATCCCCCCAGAAATTGTTTGCCTTCTAATTAATTGTGGTAGAACTGTCTCCTGCTCTTGAAGTGGTCACCTCTATAACCAGTTTCAGTCTACCTTTTGCTAACAGATAACTATGAGCAGTTTGTGCTGATTTCTAAATAGTTAACTGTAGGCGTTAAGCCAATGAGAAGAGAGATAGTGAACACAATGTATAATAATATGGGGGTAAATACACATACTTGGCTGGCCACTGCGGTGGGTCAAGGCCTGGTCATTATCAATCCCATCCCCAAAGTCTTGCATCTCCCCACCTAGAGAGAACCCTCCCCTGTGGAAGAGAGATTTGTGAAGTGCATGGGAACTAGCAAGCTCTCCACTTTTGGTGAGCCCCGGGAGGGGGTACTTTAGGAATTTCTGGGTGGGGATGTGCCGCTGAGACCCTGGAACCCTTGACCCATACCAGAGCTAGTTCAGCTAAATTTTGCTACCCTAAACTAGAGTAAACTCTTCAAATCCCCCTATCCTACAGTAGCTGTTTCCCTAGTAGCGATAAAATCTTCAACCAACTGATCAGTTTCCTGAAAAATGATTCCCTATTCTAGACCCAAATGTTCTGATTTATATACCCTATCCTAGAGTAAACTGCATGAAAACCATACCCTTCACAGCGGCACATACCTATATAGCCAATATATGGCAGTACCCCCCCTCCCCAGGTGGTGAGTAAAGCAAATCGCGAGAGAATGCCCCTCGTACTCACGGCTTCTTTCACGTGCTGCACTTGCGTGACTTCTCACAACTCCCCCAAATGGAGAGCTTGCTCGCAGGCTACATGGGAACAAGGTCAAGGACAGACACCCATGGTGTGGTCTTTCTCCTGCAGCAACCCCGTGACAAACCTCAGGGCGAGGTTGTTCAAAGCTAGGTTAAGATAACCCATTGTTAGGGTGAAATTTGAATTCAGCTATGAAAGCTTAGAAGGCAAATTCAGTTAGGTCTTTTTGTCTACCGTTCGATGATTTGGTGGTTCTAAAAAGAATAGAAAAGATTATTTGAGAAAAAGCTTTGGAACAAAAAGACAAGAAACATGAATTAAAATTTAACCCCAGGTTAGGGCTAATCAGCTTTTGAACAACCTGGCCCAGTCCATTACATGGGGCTAGTTAGACTCTAGCTTATAAGCCATTTGCACTAAGAGGTCATGTGACATCGTTTTTATGAAATTGAAAGTTATGATTTTTTTCCTTCAAAAAACGATTAGTGGGTCATGCCTTGAACAAAATAATAGTGATTTTGTTTTTCAAACCTGCAACATTTTCTTAAAATGAGTAACTTCATAGTTGGCCACATGACCAAAAAGTGATTTTTGAAATTATGAAATAACTCTTTCTGAACAAAAATTTTGCTCTTAAACTTCAAGGAGAATGTTGAAAAGCAGATGTGGGAACATTTACAACACATCTGAGCATAACTATCAAACGTTTAACAAGATCTAAGCAAAAAGTAGTTTTGGTCGCCATGTTGGAGGGCAAGAGTTATCCCTCCAACATGGCGGCAAATACAAAATAAAAATTGATGATACTACTTTGTTGAAAAATCAAACTGCCATAAAATATCTCCCTTAAATGCGTTTCCCCTCAAATTTCGGGTGTAAGAGGTGCTCTGTCAATTTTTGGCATCAGCAAGATTCCAACTCATTGTTTAAAGGAAGCATTGGTCATGTGACCTCTTAGTGCAAGTGGCCTATTCCAGGCTCATTAAGTGGGAGGGAGGTAAATGAAAAGTAAGAGTTCTCTCAGTCACATCAGTTTTTCCGTTCCTCTCATCCTCACTCTCATTTTTGCTTTTCGTGATGGGGCTCTGGGTACTTGATAGGGTCTGTACAAGTGCAAAGGGGACGAAAAGGTAGTAGAGCAAAAGATAGAAAAATATCCGCTTGCATTTACCGTAAATCCTCTATTAAGCCTCCCGGCGTGCTTATTAATTTTATTTAAAGCCCATTGGGGTGGGGGGGCTCATTTAATCTAGAAAAGACAATGGTATCAGTTCTCCATAAAAAGCTAGAATACAAAGTGGATAAGCTCAAGGACAAGAAGGTTGGAGGTGCAGCCAAGGATCAAAAACAAATCCCAACTTCCAGTTGGTAAACAAACTATCCTGGATCAGTCCACACGAAGTTAAACAGTCGTGATTTTTAATACAGTCTATCATTTATTAGTAAGGAATACTTAGGGGAGGGGAGGGGGGGCTTATAAACTTTCCTCCTCCTCAAAAGGGGGTCTTATTAGAGAGAGTGGGCTTAATAGCAAACATAGTGAGCACACCTTTTGGGAGGAACTTTAATGGAATTTGGTTGGGGGTTGTGCCACCAAGGCCCCCAAGTCCTGACCCTTTTTAAGACAAACTGTCCATTGTGGCCACGCCATTTATTCATGACCCTCGTTAATGTCATTTTGCAACTACTAGTGCAGAAAGACACCATGTTGAAGACATTCATACAGCGTTCACACACTTTTGTGCTCTTCCAATTCCATGACTTTCCAGGTCTGGAAAATGAAATGCTTAAATTCTATGACTTTCCAGGTTTTCCATGACCTGTAAAAACCCTGTAATAGTGAAATGATATGCATCCTGTTTATGACTCGATCAAAACCCTTAACAAGCGCGGATCTAGGATAAATTCTGACTGATTTCCTGACAAGTACCAAAGGCGCAAGCTTCGGAGGTCTCATTAATTTCTGTAAAACACCCTTCAAGTCTAAAGGACTTTAATAAAGGGAAGTAACCATTTGTTAAAACAACAACAACCAAAACCAGATGGGTATGACCATGGCTTTTATGGCAGCTGCTCCATTGGGAAGAGGAAGGATTAAGGAGTACGAGTGATTTGCTGACTATCTTTAAGGTAGAACTCAGGTCGTTGGGTTCCAGGGATTTTTCAGGGAGCTATCTCAGAGGCTAAGTCTATTTTTTTCTCTTAAATTGCGCTTCATGTGAATGAATTACCGATCATTGCTTACAGGTGTAGTATGCTAATGTACGCTGATGACACTGTCTTAAATTCTATTCTGGAAAGCCTGCTGATCCAATCAAGAAACGTCTCAACATGATTATTTCAATTTTTATTACAACCCCAATTTTATTGATAGCGGTGCTTAAGGTTTCTGAATGGGCTACCTTGTAATGGTCTCTTCCTCTCTCTCTTTCTCCCTCTCTAAATCAACAAGTGTGTTTCAGATTTTATCCATTCCTCCCCTTCTTTGGAGCTAAGTGCCATATATCTACATATACCATTATCACAAGTCATAGTGGGGTTTCTAATCTTCTTCCAGCTAAAATTTCACTCATCATTGATCACATTTTTCACTGCTGGGAGAAGTATTCAAATGTTAAGGGCTCTTTTTCACTTTTTAATAAGACAGAGTGAGAGTCAGAGTGATAAGCGGAGTTGTAAGAGCACTTATGACTCAGGGAAAAAATCCAAAATCAGACTTGTAAGCAGAGTCATAACTGCAACCAAATCAGAGTTGAAAGAATCAGAACGTTTCCATTTTCTTCCGGCTCCACTTATGACTCCATCACTTACGATCTAGTGGAAACCAGGTTGTTGGAGTCTGAAGAGGAAGCGGACAGATAAACCAATCACAATGCGCGTTCCCATGCTTTGTGATTGGTTTAGTTCTTCTGCTTCGATTCTGCTTGTGACTTTGACAACCTAGTTTTCACTTGATCGTAAATGACAGCGTCGTAAGTGGACTCAGAACGCTGTTTTCACTAGATTGCAAAGTTCTATGCATCTGATTATGACTCACACTCCCAGCCTTAAGTGATGATTTTAAACTCGACTACCCCCCCCCCCCCCCAATTCCTCAAAATACCTAATATAGACTTGCCCACACTATCAGACACCAACTGGCCTGCAAATGAAAAGAGGTGTTTCAAACTGATTCACTTCATCAGTGGTGCTTTTGACTAATAATTTTAGCAGTGAAAAGCACTAGTTGTCACAATGGCTGGTTGCCATAACGATAACTGTGAACGGACTTTTTTGCAAAGGTTACCCCCCAGGGACAACAGAACTTGAAACAGTTTTCCACCCCCGGTCAGGAACCGAAGTGCCTGACTTTTGCCTTGTTTACCGGAGAGGAGATTGTATCAAATCAGTAAAACTGAGCCATGCACAAAAACACGAAAATCGATTGACGAATGGCTTACTGAAATATTTGTAGCAATTCTACAAACGCAAAAAATAATCTGATCAGGTTGTTTACGCTCGAGGCCATTCATTAATGAGCTAATTCGCATGGTTGGTTCTTCAAAATCTCGTCAAGAAGGCAATTCACCGCTTGTCCGAAAACACTTTTTTCACCAGTTTCCCAGTCACGAGACTTAATCTCGAAATGGTCGACAAAACCGTGGTTTTTACAGAACTGTTCCAGCGCTAAATTGCTCTCGAATATCTTCCCAGGTCCAATCCACTGCATCGGTTCTTTAGCTATGTTATCCGTGACTAGAACACATGGTATTGAGGGACACGTATCCATCACCTTCTCTCTCCAACGCTGGGCTTCCTCGAGTGAAGTTCGTCGACGAGCCCCCCAGAACACCAACGCCCCATGACTGTCCTTAAAATAAACGTTCACCATTTTGGAAAAGCGTTCCTGCTCGGCTATCTCCCAGATTTGAAGCTTGATGGAGAGTGGCTTGTGTTGAATACTTTTCTGCCACCTTAATATCTTCACGTAGAATTTTACTCCGATAAGAGGAGCTCGATAAGTCATAACTGGAGGCCAAACATGAAGATAATCATCAATAAAGACACCTTTAGTTCCTACACCGCCAGTATAACCTCCAACACATACAATCTTCAACGAAATTTCTTTGGGTTCTTGTGACGAACACGCACACTCCACGCTTTCATTCGTTTCCTCGTCAGAAACGACGTCTTCTTTAGAGTTTATCACCTCTATTTCCTCCTGTAGTTTCCTAAGTAGTTCCTCATTGACCTTCTCTGGTAATTCGCACTTTGTGGCCATGAAGAATCAGATACGACGAGCGACTTGAACCACTTTCAGCTTAATATCGTCGCCAATAAACACAAAACGAAGTGAGAACATCCGGTTCTATCCGAGTATTAATTCTTTTTGAATGTCGATCATCTTTGTTTATATCCTGATGACCAAAATTCCTCAACGCAGAGACCACTTCTTCTGTCTTTTGACAAGAAAGTAAATAATAAACTTATTATTAAAAGGAGATACCACTTTCAGCTGAATACTCTTTCGCTTTCGACCACTTTGAGAAGAGCATGCACTTCCTTTGGCGCGCGCGCAAGTGAGGTAAATCACGTAGATGATGACGTAGACCGCAGCTCCTAAAAATATCGGTGGGAAGAGAGGAAGCTTGCACCCACACGGGTGCAGTAACCCCTCAAAACATAGAGACAAAGAAAAATATAATGACAGGAATTTGAAGAATTTTACTAGACCTTTGTCGACTTTAATCTTTTTCAAAAAAATAGAAAAAAAAAAAAAAAAAAAAAAAGAGACCATAAGACTTCTTGACAGAATGTACTTCCACATTCGACTCATAAAAAGTTCAGCACTGAACTAAAATTAGATCCTAACTACAAGATTGGTGACAATTGAACGACTGATTGAGAAAGAAATAATAATCGTGACAGATGGAGAGAAACGTTGCATTCAATCGTCATATTTGTTCTGATCTACGCTTAAATTAAGTTAACTGTCTACCATTCTCGTCAGGTCGACTAGTTTACCTGCCATTTTGTTTTGTTTAGAAGGCCCAAAACTGCAATGGCTAGCCCACGCACTGGGTTCTACCCCTAAAAACGTCTGCGTGGGAGGTTAAAAACTGGCGAGAAAGACGCGAAATTTTACATTTCCGGGAACCAGGATACAAGAAAAAAATTTTAAATCTCCATGAACCCCGCAGGATACAAGACGGAAAAAACTCATTTGTCCATTTGTTTTGGACCTGTTTCATGGTCAAAACTCCCCAAGCAACGCACCACTTGGATGTCGTCGAGTCCAAGTGAAGTTTAGGGCTTGGTCTGAGAATACCGCTCGGATCACGATGCATCAAAGAAACCGATGAATTTTTCCTCGTCGGTTTCTTTGAATAAGTGATCTCAAATCCCTGATCCTGATCCCGCCCCTAAGCAACCACCCTTAGTCCAAAATGTCAAACAAGCGTGGCACTCTAATAAGCGTCCCCCTCCCCTCCCCTTCCCATCCCTTTCTTCAATAGTAGGAATACAAGGAAATTCTATCTCAATGTCAACTTTCAGCTTCAACTTCAACATTTATAAAAATACACTGTAAAATGGCACTACGGTATGCTTGATTACCAACATGGGGAAAAACCAAGAGATCAAAATAGGACAGGTCCTATCATGATCTCTTGGGAAAACTTAATAAGCGCCCCCCTTAATTAAGCGCCCATGACGTCACCAAAATTCAAACTAATCGAGTCTTTTGAGTTTCTACTTTCATGATTATTACAGCTCCTAAAAACCTTTATTTACACAAATTATTGGTTCCAAAGGGTTTTTCGTTTTGTGATAAAAGACGTTTGAATTTGCAGGCTTTTGCGGGACGCGGCATTTTGCTGGGAGTGAGTGGAGTTAGCTGGCGGCCGGGAAAGCTCTTGTGTGAGTTAAAAACGTTACTGATTTTTGAGATTTTGCTATCTAAACATTCCTTGTCGTAGAATAAATATTACTTTAATCTTTATGAGTTCCTCAAGCGATGAATTCACGCATAAGTAGGAAAAGTCAAAAACAGATGTTTCTGTTGGTTTCCGGGGGCCATATTTATGTCCCTCAAAGGGACACCAACATGGCGTTTCCATTCAAAGCTCTATAAATTTGGGTCAAACGTTTTTCCGAATATCTCGCATATGAATTATCGCACAGACCTGATTCTTGGCGAGGCTTTTTGTATATTTATCTTCTTTTATTTCCCAGATTCTGGACTTTCCGTATTCTTGGTTTGCAACCACGTGACAAGGCGGCCATATTGCGAGTCAAAACAATAGAATTTTTCCTCGAAGAATTTACATGAAAATAGAGTTAAGTTCCCAGAGGAGAGAAATGCTTTTGTTCTTGACCGCCAACATGGCCGCCGTGACATCACGTGTAAATCAGCAATTGACTGGTTTTCCTTTTTTATTTTTGATGGCGTGACACTTAAAACACAGACGAAATTTTAAATAAGCGTCCGGCCGGTTATCCGAGAAAATACGGTATTCGGAAACTCAAGAACGAATGTCGGAAACTCAGGTGAAGAATTCAAGGACAAAGGAAAACAAAGAGCCGAGGCTGACAGAGCAACATGAAATTGTAAATTTAGGATTTAAGTCTAACTTTGACCAGCTAAAATTTCTTTATTCCCGATATTTTTGAGCAGCTAGTTGGATTTTACTAAAACAATTATTCCTCGAGCCGGAATGGCCTCTGAGTCAATAGCCCATTCGGCCTTCGGCCTCATGGGCTTTTGACTCAGAGCCCATTCCGGCTCGAGGAATAATTGTTAATTCGACATTGTCGGCATTGTGCTTGCTGATTTAATGTCTGACAGCACCAGCGTCACAACGTTAGCCTGTTTCCGTGTTGGTCGCTCCAACAGGAAGGAAGTTATAAGTAGTTTCTCAATTTAATAACATTTTTTTCTCGATAAACCTTTGGTTTCTGTTTTATTGATATGTTTGTTACACATTGATACGTTGTACTGAACAATTTAAAAAAGAAAAACAATGGAGTCTTTCCCCGAAAAATCACGGATGTCATGATATTAATCCTGGCCCCTATATCTCTCTTCTCCTTACAACTGGCATTTCCTTAAGGCAGTGGCCATTACGTTGATTCGGGTTTGACTCTGATTGTTTCACCTTGACCCTTTGACTCCCAAGATCTGATTAGTAACTCTCCTTTCTGGCTGCTTTACATGTTATTGTACATTGGTTAAGAGAATTTGGGTTTATATCAATAGCGCATCCTCAAGCTGATACATTTGCCTATTCTCATCACCTTTCTGCTAGACAATGTATTGATCTTATAAGGAGAAGTTAGATGCTGATCACTTCTTGGAGTTAAAGGGTTAAATCTTGCTTCCACTTTTCTTTACACGTTTTCTGCGTAAGTGATACCATGAACCGCATGATAAAAGCATTATAAATCAGAAGGCACTAAACCGTCCTTGTTGATTCTTGATTTGAGTTCATTAACATGGAAAGCGAAAATATGGACACTCGTCGGATGACCACGTAAGTGAATGGCGGTCTCGTCTCCAGTAGGCAGAGTAGGAGACGTTAGTATAGTGTCTCCAATTAGTACAATTAATTTCCGTAATCATCGCCCTGTTTTATCATAATAGTCCAATACTTTGATGGACGGACTATAGAGGTGACCAAACCCAAAAACAGAGGAGGAGAATTTTGTGTTGTGTTTTGCAAATATCGTGTTTTGTTGTGTTTCGATAACAGAGGGGGGCCGTGAGATTTTCGGTTTTTGCACTGAAAAACTTCAGTTTTTCGGTTTTGTTGTCCGTTGCGGTTTCCGGTTTTTCCGTTTATTAGCATTCTGGTTTTCGGTTTTTTGGATTTTGGTGACAGATGTGCTTTCTTGGTTTTTCCAATTTAGAAGGAAGTCAAAGACAGACTTGCACGCGGCTCCCAATGTGGTTTTTGTGGCTGTGTCTCATTATCAACTGCCTTCAAGTTACATTGATTTTTGCTTTTACAAGCATGTCTTTCAGATTTACCTCTTTTGTAGGATATGATCGGATGTCTTGTTTAGTCCGCATGTTCCACATATCAACGACGTTTGAGATCTAGACTAGGGTTTTATGAAAATTAAGCTGTGTAAATCTTCGATTTGAAGGTTTTGTATGCGGTTTTCGGTTTTAATCGAATTCCATCGCGGTTTTTCGGTTTTGGGTAGTTTCAGTTAGAACGGTTTTTCGGTTTTTTATAGACCCCAACGCCCCCCTCATAATACTTTGTTGTGTTTAGATAATACTGTGTTGTTTTTGGAAAAGTGATTGTTGTGTTCCAGTAATATTCTGTCTTGTCTTAAGAATTGTTTGTTATGTTTGCAAATATGGGTCACTTAGACCTTCACTAAGAAGTGTCAGACGTGCATAAACTTGTCTTCTTAGCCATGATTACGTTCTGTAATGTATCCCGAGGGGGGTACAATTGCTCAAAATAATGTATCAAGATCGGGATTCCTTTGATTAAAGTCAAGGCCATGTGACCAAGAAACAACCAATGGCAGTCCCTGATTAGTTAAGTGAAAGTCTAGGAATATAACAATTCGGTATGCCATTCACTGCTGTCAAATAACATGGAATGTTGACTTGGTACCTTCTACACTAACTGTCTAAGGAGAACGTAATGGACCGACTTAACGCCCAGTTGCATAGAGTTATCGGTGTAAGTTGTTTTGTATTTTTCAAAGAAAAAATTGGGTCCATGCTTTCCCTAGTTTCCTCTTGTCCAAGAAATTCTTAAGAATAAACTTTCAGTCTTACATTCTACTGATTCTAAAAACGAACAAAGAAAACACATTTTGAATAGTAGTTAGGGGACGAGTAAAACTTAGGTCATTCTTACACGCTATCGGAAAGTCAAATTTAACTTTAAAATGCTACGCTAACACATTTGTGAAAGTTGACGCACAAATAGAGGAAGAGTGCCGAAGGACTATCTCCTATCTGAAATGGCTTTCTTTCCCAAAGCTTTATTGCAAGAAACTAAGTAATCAGAGTGCTGCGGCGAAATATTACTGGTATAATATACAATTAAAACTTGGCAGGTGTATGCATACACTGTTGAGTAAAATTGGGGTCGCATCAATAAGGTTAGCATAAGATAACATCGAGGGAAGCCAGATTGGACACCTTATGTATTTTATACAACGCATTATTTTCATAATGGAACGAGACTGGAATGTAGAATGAGGCTAGAATAGCTGAAAAAACCAAAACTACAGAGCGCCAGTTATGGAGAGAACACAGTAGAGAGTTAAGCACTGATCTGCAGTGATTAGGGTTAAGCACTGAACTGAAAACGGTTAGCTTTCAAATATTGTAATGGGGTACTCCATATATAAGAACATGTATATTTTAAAAATTACTGTATTTGCCAGCTAATTCTCGATGGTGTAGTGGATTTGGATGTAGGCTATAAAGCAAGTGACCCGGGTTCAAAGCATCACACTGGAGTTTTTGCATTTCACTTTTATATTACACAGTAAAGTTGGACTTAAGTTGTTCTTCATGTAATTTTACTGAAAGAAACAATCTGACTTCACTCGATGTTATCTAATTCTGACCCATCAATAGTCGGGAAGTAGCAAACATTTTGCAGTAAATTATGGCCCGTTAAGATGGCTGAACACAGTTTTGGCAGTTTGTAAGTATATGTTATTTGCCAAATCATGGCAAGAGAAATGTTGCAGCTCACAAGCTGAAACTTGGCAAATGAAAAATACGCTGATGAGAGATTTTGATTGACAGGTAAAATGTTGCGTTTTCGTAGTTTCCATGGCAACATGAACGATTTAATTCAACCTTAAAATTTCACTTTTGCCCAGTTTACACAAAATTCGCTCATTAGATTGTCCTATAAACTTGCATAATTAATCATTGCCACTTGAAACTTATTTGACCAAATTTTAACAGAGAAGGTTTAAGATAATCAATAATATAATTGTACTGTAATTATTAAATGTGTCACAAAATTGGTCTGTTCAACTTCCATTTTAAAGTTCTCATTATTTAAAATACGGTAAAAGTAAAAAATCTGCCTAATATCACAAAATTTTAATGAGTAGATTTTGAGAAATCGTCTTCTGTGTACTATTGCTTTTTTTTGCCGCCATGTTTGTTTGTCTAATTAAAACACGCGCCGTCACGCGAGTTACCTTTGACCGCCCGCAAAACTTTGTTCAGCCACCTTAAAGTAAAACGACATTCAAAACTATTTCCATTGCTACATCTCAGAAAAATTGTATGCCACATCCGGCTTGTTAAAGGGTAATTAAACATCTAAGGATGTTCCAGTTCAACTTTCTTTTTCACTGTAACTCTCAAGGAAAAGCAAGGAATCTGCACGTTTTTTTTCTGAACCTGCGATTTTTATAGGTAATAGCATGATTTGTTGTGATATTTGGCATCATTTTTACATAAGCTCGGATTCCTTTGTTCTTTTCGAGGGGAATATATTACATAACCCCCGAATCAACTGTCTGAAAAGCTGGGTGCGGCTTTGATTGTTTGAGTGGAAGAGCGGGGCTAACGAACAGCTAATTAAAACGCGAGGGGATTATGTATTAATAGAGCGGTTTTCACTTGACTGTCGAAAGGGATTGGTTTTTTTTTTGGTTTTGGTTTTACTACGCCCTTTGGTTGGCTAGTGTATTTACTTTGGTTTTGGTTTTACGACAGTCAAGTGAAAACCGCTCTATACGAGGGGCCTCGCATATTAATACATAATCCCCTCGCATTTTAATTAGCTTTTCACAAAAAAACAAATTTACAAATGTTTATTGGAAATATTAAACACGACAATATAATTACTCAAATTAAACTGAGCTGCGTTTCTTTTGCGCCACATTCACGGATTTTCTTAGTTGTTGGTTCATCAATTTCCATAGCCAGAACGACAGTCCGAAATTGAATGTTCAGCGTCTTTAAAATTCTACGGTTCCACGAAAGTGTCGCTGTCATGGTAAGGTGTTCCGTTCTTTAACCAGTCATCCCAAACTCGTGTACTCCATGAAGACATGTAGTTGACCTCTTTGTGTTTTGTGGTATTCTTGCTTCATTCCTCGACTGAATTTCCTTGTCAGTTACAGTAGTGAACCCTCGCCCGGAATCTTCTTTATCTGTAAACATGCAGGTCGGTCGAAAGATCCTTGGTGCGAAAATTGAAACTGTCAACTGCTTGCTGGTTGTCTACACCCGGAAATGAAGATTCAAAATTGTTTTCCAAACGGCTCAATTCCATCCGCCATTAAAGCTGCTTTAGTTTGAGTAATAAACGGCTCTACTTCTGATAGATCTGAATCGCTCGACACTTCTAGGTTCTTTAGGTTGTTTCTAGCATTCACAACGAACAATAATGGCCTGTTTACATGGAGTGGGGGACCCCGGTCTAGTGGGGTAAGTTTCTTTTGTTTTGTGTCCCCCAGAGCGTGAAAACAAAAGAAACTTACCACACTAGACCGGGGTCCCCCACTCCATGTAAACAGGGTCTAATTCGAAATGCGACTTTGAGAAACTAACATAATTAAAAAGCCGAGAAACTTGTGAATGCCAACAGTGCCAGCATGGAGTGTTAAAAAACAAAAGAAAGATGAATAGAGGCATTTTTCGTCAATGTATTTTTGTATCCCTTGAGAAATCCTCGCCAATGTAAAAACAAGCCGTTTATCGGCCTTCAGCTCGTGGTTATGTGATTTATACTACTACATGGGAAATTACTGCAATTTGATTGGCTTAGAGCAGTGGTATTTCAGCTTAATTTGAAATACCTACAGTACATGTGAAAATTACAAACCTTTTGCGGGTAGTAGTATAAACAAATAATAGCATGATTTGTACGTGATATTTGGCATAAATACCACTAGTGATATTTCAAAATTGTCACAAATTTCACTCGCCTAACGGCTCGTGAGATTACGCATAACAATTTTGAAATATCACTCGTGGTATTTATGCCAAATATCACTACAAATCATGCTATTACCTATACTTATTCCTCTCGTGTGTTGCCCTCGGACGCACGAGGGGAATAAATCACATAACCCCTCGCTTCAGGCCGATAACCCTTACTAAAAACCACGAGTGATATTTCGAAATTGTTATACGTAATTTCACGAGCCGTTAGGCGAGTGAAATGTGAGACAATTTTGAAATATCACAAGTGGTATTTATGCCAAATATCACGTACAAATCATGATATTATTTGTTTATACTACTACCCACAAAAGGTTTGTAATTTTCACATGTAGGTATTTCAAATTAAGCTGAAATACCACTGCTCTAAGCCAATCAAATTGCAGAAATTTCTCATGTAGTAGTATAAAAATAGGAATTTGCACAGGTCTAAGGTGTGTGAAAAAACACCTCAAATATTAATTTTTTGAAAGTTCAGGTCTTTGATGATAAAATATATGTAATTTTTATTTCAGAAAGTTCTGTAATATTGACGATTTTAATTTTTTTAAAAATAGCAGTTCTACTACTTTACGTTAAAATTTTCCATCTGATGACTGCTCTATTTTAGCGGCCCGCCTTAGAAAATTTTGAACCTGAATTTCCCCGATTGTCGTTGGACCATGCATCCATTAAGCCCACCTATGATGTAGTGGTTGTTGGATCAGGATATGGAGGGTCTATTGCAGCCAGCCGTTGTGCACGAGCTGGTCAAACTGTGTGTGTGTTGGAGCGAGGGAAGGAGTGGCTTCCTGGTGACTTTCCAGAGTCATTCCTTGCTGCCTCAAAGGAAATTCAAATCCATCCTGGCGGGAAAAACACAAAAGGTATGCTTACAAGTCATGAATATATTTATTTGTGTCATTAAGCAGTGGAGGAAACTATTAATTAATGGTCCTGCAGAGAAGGAATGCAACAACCAGAGAGCTTGGAGAGCGCCAAGGGCGGAGCTTGCTCGCAGGCTGCTAACGTTACTATTGTCTATACTTCTGATTGACAAAAAGGTCTAAATTTTCAACATTTAAGGAATTTGTGAAATTGTATGCTTTTCTTGGCCTTTGTTTACAACTCTTAAGATTGGTTGAAACTTTTTAACACAAAGAAACATCCTTACAAAATGAAGTTAAAATACATTTTAATTTTATAAACTTCCTTTATTTGGGTTTAAATAATTGATATTTTATATAAAGAATGAAATATATGATCATAACCCTGCAACTATGAATCGAATTTGCAGGGGAACCATCTAGTCTATATGAGTTTTATGTCACTGACGACTTGAGCGTTGTCCAGGGGTGTGGTCTTGGAGGAGGCTCCCTCATAAATGCCAATGTTGGCCTTGATGCTGATCCTAGAGTGTATGAAGACCTGTTATGGCCATCAGAACTCAAGCAAGACCTTGAAAATCTAATGAAAATTGACCGAAAGCATGTGGTAGATATGTTGAAACCCACCCCTTATCCAGATCATTACCCTAAACTGGACAAAATGAAGCGGATGGAAGATGGCTTTGGTGCATGCGATATTGAGGACATTGACAAAGCCTATTACAAAACTCCTCTTTATGTAACATTTGAGGACACACCATCCAATCATGTTGGAGTTCCACAGCCAAAGTGCACTGGCTGTGGAAACTGCTGCGGTGGTTGCAATGTTGGTGCAAAGAATACTCTGAACATGAACTACTTGCCCGATGCGAAGGCTCACGGGGCAGAGATATTCACAGAGGTACAGTAGGAGCTGAGTTGTCACTAGGACGATTATTAGGCCAAGTTCAAACATTGAACTTCTCATGTACCGAACCTAATCACTTCAATTAAGTACATGGAAAGACCAACATTTGGACCATTTAAATCCCACACACTTAGTTTGGGTCGACCCATGAATTAAGTTCGAGTAGCCCACATGGGGATTTTGACTGTTGAGCGACTTCGTTTCAAACGTCAAACTTTTCATGTGCCGAATCTAATGCATAAATAAATTGAATTTATTTTGAATGGTGAGCGTTGGAGACCATTGTGCACTGTGAAAATGAATGTAGGCCGACGTCTAGTCTAAGGTCTAGTCCGATGTTTAGTTCGTTGTCTGAGTCAACCATCAAACATATATCATTTGGGTCGACCCAAATAGGTATTAAGTTCGGTACATGAAAAGTTCCACTACTGAACTGGTCCTTATTTACTTAAACATGAGTTGCTACAGTCGTAGCACTTGGGCCTTAAATCAAACGAAAAAGTGAGGATCTATAATATTAACAGTTTATGATCCACAGAAAAAAAGGCCTCTAAGATGTTTATAAATGGCTAATTCTTTAAATTAATGAAGTACCTGATAGCGAATTGACAGGCCTTTATAAGTTAATGACTTTTTTATTAGTTGTAAGAGCAGGCAAATGAAAACAGTACGTATCATTGTAAGAGCTACCAGTCATTTACAAGTTGAAAATCTACAAATATACCACATTTTGATAACTTTTTTGTCAAGATGAACACACTGTTTAAGTAGACTATGATTTAGAAATTGTTCTTACTAAATGAATTCTCAGGTCCGCCATGTGAGCTGCAAGTTGTGGACTAGAAATTACCATAATGTACTGCCAGAATTTGCGCTGAAATACACTGCACCAGTTGAATTTTACTAAAACAATGATAGGGTTACTCTCAGTTTTACTTGCTTTAATTGAAAGATGTCAGCTTACCTTATCAACCATCTGTCCATAGAAATCTCGATAGTTCATTGGGCTGTTTGTATGGGCTAAAGTTAATGTTGCTAGGCCCCTCAGTTGGCGTCATGAAATACTTATTAGGCTGGTTGCTGCTCTTTTAAAGGTTGAAGTCATGTCAGTAACCAAGGTACCTGGCACTGCTGAGTGGATGGTAAAATACAAGCGGCTAATCAGGGGCAGTTTCACTGTTGAAGAAGAAACCATACGAGCTACTCATGTCATCATTGGTGCAGGAGCACTTGGCTCTACCAAACTGTTGCTTCGATCTAGAGAGCGGGGGCTTAATGTATCTAACCAAATAGGAAAGAACTTCTCCACAAATGGCGATGTCTTGGGTTTCAGCTTCAACGGCGCAAAAAATGCCAACTCTGTTGGGCTAACAACTCAACACATGGCAAGAAATAAGAAACCTCCAGGCCCTTGCATAACCTCTGTCATGGATTTCAGAAAAACTAATGGAAACCACAAGAAGGGCTTCGTAGTTGAAGATGGAACACCTCCATCGGTGATTTCTGGTATGTATTCTGTTGGTTTGTCGGTTGCAGCCAAACTGATCGGAATTGAGAAATACTCCTCTGCTGAATCACTGGAAAAGGCATGGCAGGTAAGAATGTGACAAAAAATAAAGAAATTTTTTGAGAGCTCGATGATGTAGGGCTAGCACTCCAATTCTGCTCTTTGAATCTCTTTATGGTGGCTTTAAATTTAATTTTATTGTCAACCCAGTTAATAACAATTATTAAATTATTTTGTGGGTCTTAGCACTGAAATGTGTGTCTAGCTAGTATTTGCATTTTTGTGAAATTTTAAGCTCACCAAGTTGGATAATCTTCAGTTCCTTAAATAATATTGAGGATTTTAAAACAATATGTTATAGAAATTGTGATAGAAACAATTTTTAACATTTTAGAAACTAAAGGGCAAAGGAATCAACAAAAGCCTTTCTTTCTTGTGCATGAGCCATGATGATGCTAGTGGTATCATCACTTACAATAACACTAACGACAGTGTTGATATCACCTGGAAGAGAGTTGGTGATGAGGAAAACTTTGTGACTTGCAATAAGGCAATGGAAAAAGTCACTACAGGTCTCAGCGGGACATTTGTGCAAAACCCCATGTGGACTCCTGCCCTTGGTAAAAGTGTCATCTCAGCACATCCTCTTGGTGGCTGCCCCATGGGAGAATCTGGACAAACTGCTGTCGTAAACCATGCTGGACAAGTCTTTGATGGTAGTATAACACAGTATAACATTTAGTATAGGTAATCACATGATTTCGAGTGCAATTTGGAATAAATAAGCACTTGTAAATTTTTCAAAGACCACAAAGTGCACTCGCCCTACGGGCTCGTGCACTTTTGTTGGTCTTTGAAAAATTTACTCATGCTTATTTATTCCAAATTGCACTCGAAATCATGTGATTACCTATACATATGCTTTTGGTGCCTATGTTAATAGTATGCTCAACTGAATAAACTCTCTAAAAGGAATAAACTCTTAAAATCACTCAATCATTTTGGCATTCATTGCTTTGCAATAGCTAGAAATCTGCTTGAAATAAAAATATTCATGTATGTAGCAACTATTAAAAGTAGCCCAAAAATCATGGTACAGGAAATTTGCAACAAAACGTTTGCGTATTCGTATTCTGGAATACGATCAATCAAATGCATGTTAAGTTTAATGTGATGCCTCTGAATGTTCTTAAATTCAAAAATTTAACTTTAAAATTATTATACCATTTTTTATTCATGAGGTCGACCTGGCGTGGATTAGCTTGAAAAGCTTCTGAGCGAATGAGACCACAACACACATACAGACAGGAGTCAGGCCATTTGTCGTACGTAGTTACTAAAACAAGGAATGACCTACAATGACCTACAATGACCTACAATGATCTACAATGACCTACAATGACCTACAATGATCTACAATGATCTACAATGACCTACAATGAGCTACTATGACCGAACGTGTAATCCCTGTAATGAGCTAAAATGAAGATTTTAGAAAAAGACAAAAAAAAAAAAAAAGATCAGGGGACGTGTGCGTAAACGTAACGCGTTTAGTCTACTGCATGACAGCCCATTTAACGATGACAGCATCTCTAATTATTACGCTTGGAGATAAATTTACAGTGTAATAATACATGTATGATGATACTGTGACTTTTGTCCAAACCATCCCTTGCAACCTTTCGCATTAGTTTTATTTTGTCTTGTCTTTTTTTCAAACAAATTGAACAAACACAGTCACCCCAACAGTCGTTCCGGGGGGATCTTCAAGGGACGTAAGGGTAGAGGTGAACAAAGGAGGCCTTCAAATTCTGACCCTCTTCAAAAGAAAAATTGTTCATTTTTTTTAAGTACCCTGGCCTGTATAAGACATCATAAGACCCTTTAAATGGCTTCCGGTCCACCAGGATGCTCTGTTTGTAACGCTATATAATAAAATCCATATCCTGCTCAGTGGCCCATACCCATCTAGGCCAAATGAGGAAGTGCTTGCATGACTTCCGTCAATAGAGCGTATAATAGTGCTATACCGGTAAAAAGGCGATTGCAATAATCTATTTTCAAGTTTCTCAAGTTACCTGAGATCAGGCACAATTTTTGTTTTGCCTTTTCAAAATGTGCTTGGCAATTTAATACCATGAGCCTAGTGTCACGTCCAAGCGTGACACACGACAAACATCATTGTCTGTCATTTTGTAGCTCATTGTAGGGCTTATTTTAACTCATTTTAGCTCGTAGTAGCTCATTGTAGCTCGTACTAGTTCATCGTAGATCATTGTAGGTCATTGTAGGCCATTGTAGGTCATTGTAGGTTATTCCTTGTTTTAGTAACTACGACACACGTTCCCTGATCTTTTTTTTTTGGTCTTTTTCTAAAATCTTCATTTTAGTTCATTACAGGGATTACACGTTCGGTCATAGTAGCTCATTGCAGGTCATTGTAGATGATTGTAGATCATTGCAGGTCATTGTAGATCATTGTAGATCATTGTAGGTCATTGTAGGTCATTGTAGGTCATTCCTTGTTTTAGTAACTACGATTTGCCGTATGCTGGAACACTCATTAAGGAAATAATAATTATATTAATTTTATAGACCAATGTATGGTAACTTATATCATTTTAGGTGATTCTGGCAGTGTGCTTGAAGGACTCTATGTTGTAGATGGTGCAATTCTTCCCATAGCTGTTGGAGTCAACCCCACTCTTACCATTTCGTGCCTGGCAGAACGCTGTCTACGACTTCTTGCTAAAAGAGAGGGTTGGCATATAGATTATGACACATTCAAGCCGCTCGGTGAGTTGTAGTTACCGTACTTGTACATTTTTATTTATAGTAGAGAACCGTGGGTAATAAAATTTGTTCATCTTTTCATGCAAGAAGTTTGGGTTTGTCAAAATCGTCCGTACATACGTCCCCCTTCATGTTAGCGGATGTGAAATTGCATTGTAGCTATGAAGTTCAGAGTAAATATTGGACATCCATGTTATAGTCAATTGACAGCTGTCAAAATAGGGTATCTGCTGACCAGACAGTGAGTGTCACATGAATATCACGGGCTCGGGTGTACAACTTATTGAGGTGATGTGTTTTTTAAAGCTCTCCGCTGACCAGATATTGTTCTCAATAAGTACTTACCTTCTCAATGGATCGCAGGCTCAGGTCCATTTTTCATCCTACTGAGTTACAGTGAAAATGTATTAAAAGATACACGATAAAATACAATAGTGATATAAGATAGAAAAATACTATACTGAGTTATATTTAAAAATAAGTCTATTTACAAAAGTTTTCTTGTATCTGTCCGTTTTTATCTGAGGAAGGTGACACCTTCTCCTACGCAAATTATATACTAATTCTTTTTCTTTGGGAATGATCGCACCTAGCATTTGATTATTAATAGCTCTTTTGAAATCGGATTTATCTTGCTGTTCTAAAAGATTAAAGTTGCTTACTGTTTGAGAGGTAAAATGACGCTTATGGCACCTGTCTAAAAAACGCTGTATAACATTTAAATCAGAATCAGAAGCGCCATACACAGCGAGACCATATGTGAGAATGGGAAGAACTAGGGTTTTAAACAAGTGATCTATTTCCTTCTGGCATCGTTTGCACTGCAAAAGACGCCTGCTTTTCAGGCTAAAATTTTCCCCAACCCTCCCCTCTCTCACCATGGACCATCACCTTCAGAATTCCACCGTAATGACCAAAAACCACTTAAATCAAGAAGTACACTAGCCATAGTACTTCGGTGGGTAGCAAACACGCTGTGAATGTCTCAGGACTTTATGTTAATATTATTTTGTTTGCAGATCAAACTAGCTTTGTCAAACCAAAGCCTGGAATTCGCTTCACAGAGAAGATGGTGGGGACATATGAATCATCGAACAACAAAGGCAAACAAATGCCTTGTGAATTTACACTTACCGTTGAGTCGGATGATGTGGAACAGATGCTTAACTGTGACCCATCTCACTCTGCTAAAATAAGTGGAACAGTGACTTGTCTGGCATTATCCTCATCTCCACTGACGGTTTCTGATGGTATGTGCACTGCTGCTGTTGTTGTTGTTGTTTTTTTTAAAAACCTGTATAAGTACTTTACCAAGAAAAAAAAAAAAAAAGAGAGAGATTTAGGGTTATCTAGGGTAACATCAAGAATAATACAATAAGAGGTCTGTCAAGTCACTCCTTCGATTTCAAAAGGATTGATTTAACTCAAAGGATCTAAATAAACGAATATTGCATTTAAGCGTTTATTAATAAGCACTTTTTGTCTCAAATGCAGCGCTTAAGCGGGGACGGCGCTTATTCCAGTAAATACAGTCTGCTCCCTTTCGAGACTCGATCCACAAGGGGTATTTTCCGAGAAGAAGTTCCAAGATATTTACTTTTTGCAGGAGAATTTACTCTATGCAATATCTAAGTAACGATATGTGTAGTTCCATTTGTCACTTAACGTTCTTTCACTTCTTCGAGTAGCGTTGTACATACAGTAAACATAGAGAGTAAACCATGAGTCAAGCGGTCGTCTACAAAAGCTTGAAAACAATACAAGATTATAAAACCGTCACGTTTGAAGTAATAGCGGTCGCTTATGAGAGGTGTTCATTTACGAGACTGGTACCAACTATAAGGCTTTGACTGAAAAGGATTTGGTGTTTTGGATTGGTGTTAGCTTACGAGAGGTGGTCACACATGGAGATTCCACTGTTTTTGTTTGTGCTAATAATAATTTTTTGGATTACAATATCTTTTTATTATGTAAGCTTTTGCTACAGAAGCATTTTAAATAATATTATTATAAGTCAAGTAACTGTTTAAAGAACCCCTGTATGGAATTGCATGAAGAGAGTGTCTCTTTGAGAGAGTTATTACTAATCCAGCATCATGTCACAAGTGTGGAATAAACTGGAAAACAATTTTCAAGTCCGTGACAGGATTGGAACCTATGACCTGTGAAACACTGGGCAGGCGTTCTATCTGATCGTCAAGCCACTGGGAGACTCATGAAAAACAAGGCGATTAACTGGTGTGTCTCTTTGTTTTTGGCAGGCCATTTTCAGCTGTTCAGTACCAGTAAAGAGAACGCCGACACTAAGAACATGGTGTATAAAATGACTCTTAATGGAGATGGGGGCAGGCTGTTTTCCTTTGAAGGTGTCAAGTATGTCCACAAGGACCATTTTGGTGAAACTGGATTGAAAGATACCACAACACTGTTCGTCAAAATCTTCCGCCTTGGTAAGGAAGAGCCCTTGGGCAACGCAACACTCTACATAACTGCTGCCAACTTTGCTAAGCAACTTGAGACAATGGACATCATTAATACCCACAGCACACGTGAGAAGCTGTATTGGATGGCACGTTTTGGTGCGTTCTTTGCTAAAACCCTCTGGAATGTGTACGGTCCAGTCTCCTCATTTGATAAGTACTTCATCCCTGATGCTCCACCCAGGAAGAAAAGAGCTCTGAGGCTGCGTGGATGCCTTCCTGAAGTCTTCAACTGCACCACTGACGACAAGGTGAAAACCCAAATTCTCCTTATCTGTTTTTGTAGGTTTTCAGGGTTTGTCACTGAAATTTCCAAAAAATGTAATTCCATGATCGTTAGTTGGGAAAACTACTTAATTCTGCGCGCGGACGAAATGAGTCAGGGCCATGAAATAAATTAAGGTCTCTTGTCAGGGTAGGAAAATGAGCAATGGGTCAGGATTTGAAGGCTCCCGCGGTACACCTCTACCCCAATTTTCCTTGTTACCCCCGGCACGGAAAGAAGCTAGACTATACACGCAGGTTCTGCGTCTCCTAAACTGTTCGCAATGTAATGTGGGTTTTTTTTAACAATCCCTTTTACTTGATTGGGAAGCTTAAAGGAGACAAGGCAAAATAGTCACCACCCAGGAAGGCTTTCATCTGAACAGAGACAAATCACAGCCAGCATATGTTCTTGTTTTTCCTTTTTAAGATCCTGGCTAGCGGTTGTTTGCTCTTAAGTCTTCTGTTCCTTTATTCAACTACATAAAATGGTTATGTTTTCAGTTTGAAATAGCTTTGACTCGCTACAACGGTGGCTCTAAAGGCCCAGTTGTAATGTTTCACGGAGCCGGAGTGAGTAGTGGAATGTTTAGCCTTGACACAATTGACACCAACCTTGTGGAATATCTGGTGCAACACAGGTATGATGTTACATTTGCCACAGTATCCTGTAGTAACCCATTAGAGACCTTTAGATTCTAATACGAGGACGACTACGAGGTCGAGATTTTCTCAGTACTTAGTAGTGCGCGTGCGTGAACCAGCGTCATTTTGGCGAGAAACGTGATAGCCGTCGTTATTCTTTTACAGACGGGGAGTGGGGCGAGGGGGGCTGAGAATATCGTAGAGGCGAGAACAAGTTTTCAAATGTTAGAAGTTATTTAATTTCGCTCTCACATTGGGGCTCAATCTCCTTCAATAACAATAACCCTGCTAACTTTTCGTATGACCAAAAATGCATGCAACAACGAAAATGACAAATCTGGCGAAACTTCGTCAAAGATTTGGCGAAAATTCAAGGATGTCCGAAGGTGCCCCTTGAAAAGTGACGAGTGACGAAAAAGGCAAATTGGGAAAAAGGATAAATTTGGCGAAAACTGAAAGGTGATGTCTAAAGGGGTCTCTTGAAAGGTGGTGATTTTGACGAAAAATGGCAAATTTGACGAAAATGACGAATTCGCCATTTTGGTCACATCGCCGTGTTTACTATTTTCGTCAAAATCGCCACTATTGAAGGGGAGCCTTTGAACATCTCATAAGAAGTTCAGTCACATCTTTGGCGAATTTCGCCAAATTCGCCACTTTCCAAGGGGCCTCTTTGCTATCTTATTTGGCACGTAGTTGAGGGGTTGCCATATTCGCCATTTTCGCCAAATTCGGCACATTCGTCAAAATCGTCACTTTCAATAGGCCCCTTTGACTTGTCATTTGAATTTATTGTTTAGACTTTGGCGGTTGTTCGCCAAATTTGCCATTTTCGCCAAAATAGCCCCTCTTAAAGGTCATTTTAATTTTTGCAAACCCTCTGGCGAATTTCTTTTGCCAGATTCTGTTTTCACCATTGCTAACAGGTTTCCACTATTTTCGTCACATCCGCCACTCTCCAAGGGGCCTTTTTGGCATCCAATTTGAATATTTACCAAACCCTTGGCAAAGTTTTGCCACATTCGCCATTTTCACCAGATCTGCCATTTATGTCATGCAGTTTTTCCATTTTCGTCAACTTCTCTACTATACAATTAAGGCGCACCTCTTGTAATCTCATTTAAATTTTAGCCAGCCCTCAGGCTATTTCTCACCAGATTCGCCATTTTCGTCATTGCTTGTGTCTCTGAACATAAGTGAACTTTTTTGGCTAAGAAAATTTGCAGTGAAACCGTATTAAGCGGACAGTAGCCAAAGTCACCAATTTTTTCCCCCTTGTTAAGCGGCCACCTCTCTTCAGCGGACGCAGACCTCTAAGAAGTGGATGAAAGGGTCATTTCTGTTGTTACAAACCTGCATAAAGCGGACACTCGTCATTAGACTCCACTATCCAACATGCCAGACACGTGGTATTCAAACTGGATTTCCACCCACAAATTTGCTGAATTTACTAAACGTAGTTGACTAAAGATGTATTAATTTTCGATAACATTGTCGAATACTCAAGAAGAAAAGAAACCAGAAATACAGACGCGTACACGAACTATTGTAGTTCTTAAAACAGCTAGTATTCTGTAAATTCTTCGTCGGTCAGATACTCTTTTAACAGTTACAAGACAAAATCAGTTACCCGTTTCCCATCAGTTTTACAGTACTGTTTATCTAATTTCGTTTTGCTTGTACATGTATAGAGTTTGTTTTACTCATTTGTTCTCTTAAAACTTAAGGAGCAATGAATTGGTCCACTGAGCTTTGAAATGCTACAAACTTACTCTCATACTCTCATACTCTCTCCAGTTCCACTGTTCAACATAACATGGAACATGTTGTGAGTTAAACAAAGAGTTTAGTCTTGCCTGTGAAAATGTGCCTTAAGCTCTCGGACGAACCAAATTTTTTTCGATGAGATTCTTTTTTTTTCCTTTTGTGTGGAGATGCTCTCGCTCCTACTTTCCTTCCTTAATTAAACGTGGTTGGTATTCCATGTAAGCTTTTCTCATAAGTAGTATCCTTAAAAGCAGTGTTCACTGACTGAGCACAGTTACATGGCTTCACTAGGTACGACGTTTGGCTTGTTGATTGGCGCACTTCGTGTAATCTTCCATCAATGGTTCGCAAGGACTACACACTGGACGACTGTGCAGCTTTTGACTACCCAGCGGCTATCAATAAAGTGATAGAAATCACTAAGCAGGTATATAAACCACTGGTGTTGGTTAAGGTGGCTAAACACTTTTGTTTTTAATTTTTTTAAAATGAACACCAGTGAGCAGCACAAAGCAACGCGAGGATCTTGTTAACTTGATTATTTCATCTCATCACACAGACTCATCAGGGAGTATAACAAGACAGAGCTAAGGAACTAACTTTATACCTAATGATTCAGACGAAATCACGTTCCTAAGGGTATGCGTGCAGGATATGACTATAATCCTGCGTTACAAAATTTGCAATTTTTTTATTTTGGGGCTAACGGATTTAACGGAATCCAAAACATATAAGCGAAAAAGGTTTTTGAGCCAACGTTTTCATGTTTTAATGCTATGCCTGTAAAAAGCACCAAAAAATTATTATGGATAGTGCTTTTGGTGAAATTTTTTGATATCTTCTTCATAAATCTACAAGAGGATTTTGATTCTGGGTAAAGGCATTAAGTAATGACTTCAGCACAGAATTGACTTAAAACAGTAACATCCTCGTGGCATAGCCCCTTTGAGCCTGGTGAACGAATTAGGATGATGTTTGTATATCTTCCTGCAGAAAGACGTTCAGGTGGTGGCGCACTGTGCCGGATCTTTAGTGTGTTTTGCTTCTCTCCTGTCTGGAGCGCTTGAGGGAAAGGTCAGGAGTCTGGTGGCGAGTCAAGTGGCTGCTAATCCCATTCCCTGCCCGTTCAATAAGCTGAAAGCTGGGCTTCATATTCCAGGAGTAATGGAGGCTGTTGGAATAAAGGGATTAACAGTTGACACAGATGATCATACGTCCTGGGCTGGCTGGCTTTTCGATAAATTTGTCAAAGGCGTTGATCATTTGTTTTTGCCATATGAGGAACTTTGTCGTAACCCTGTTTGCCACAGGTATGGAGCAAAACCTGTAGAAATGTACTGTCAACCTTAAAAGTCAGTTGCCGTTTGAAGTTTCTGTTATAATGTTTAAGCTCAGTACCAGACCCTGGTTGTTCAAACGTTGGATAGCCTTATCCAACGGACAAATCACTATCCAGCGGGCTGAAGTATTAGGGAAACCAATGACGCTATCCATTGATAAAGATTTAGCCAGTGGATAGCGTTTTCCTCCTTACAAATAACTCAGCCCAGAAAGTTAGTAAGTTTTAAGTATAACGATGGGATAAAGGAAAATGATGTTTATACGTTTAGAGATATTATATATATGTGGTGTCACTACAACCAGCTGCAAAAATACTTCAGACATCAGTACCTTATTTGGGCTTAATGGCCTATCAATGATCTTGTAATTGTGATCCCCTCCTCTCCCCTTGAGAAAGTTGCTAACAATACGAGACCATGCTCAAAACTTGAAGGAACGTGTTAGAGGACGTGAGTTTTATTTGTCATAGATGTGTTCCTATCAGCAATTTTTAATAAAACATGAAGCCAGTTTTTTTGCAACTGGTTGTAACTTTGGACACGGTGAATTCGTTTATCGCATCTCTTTTATAACTAAAAATACCTTTTCCCCTTGTTTCATGTGAAATTGAGCAGAATAACCTTCACTTATGGCCTTCTATGGGAACATGAAAATCTCACTCCACTGACGCACGATACTCTGCACGAGTTCTTTGGCTACATAACAGCAGAGTGTAGCGCCCAGTTGGCTCTGACGATGAGAGAAAAAAAGCTGGTTTCGGCTTCAGGAAAAGACATCTATTTGCCTGATGTGGACAAGGACGATCGGCTGGATAGTCCAATATACAGGAAACATATTAAGCGACTAGATATGCCAATCTGCTTTATTGTTGGTGAGTTTTATCGTATGTTCATAATAAAGAGATTGGGAAGGCAAGCAAGGCATGTATTCATGGAAACGAAGACTAAAGCTGATGCATTGTTCGATATTTTGTTTTATATTTATCATAACAATGGAAATAACACACACAAAAAAATGCTTATTGCAAAATGCACAGAATTATGTGGCTCGGGTACTATGCGCGTGGTGGCGCACGGCCTTCCCAGTCTCTGTTTGATAGTATGTGTCAATTTGTACAATTCCTTACTCAGCCATCCTTGATCAATCATTCCGCTTTTTTGGCGCCATTTATTGTTGCACTGTGTATACTACATGATCTTGACTTCGGTGGAACCTGTGTTTAACGGTCGCCCTATTGACTTGAGAACGTGAGGCGCCAGCGTATAATGTGGGATCGCTAAAGATACTTACTGGGTATAGACGACAAACAGATTTACCCGTTATTCATTCATACTTCTGTACAATTGTGCAACATCGGCGTAAGATCCTCAAATTTGAGGACTTTCTGAAGAATTGGGAAATTTGGAAGGGCGGTTTGATCTAAACAAGATCTATCTACTCTAGCCTCACATTCACCCAAAAGGTAGGCAACGAAGTGCACTACTGTGAGTGAATCACCGTGATAATTGGTATTTTTGACTTCTATGCTTCATTGTTAGGAGAGAAAAACAGCTGCTATCTTCCTGAAAGCACCTCCACTACATTCAACCTTGTGAAAGAAGCCCACCCGCATCAAGAGTATTCTTGGATTCAGATTCCTGGCTATGGGCACTTGGACTGCATTTATGGCAGAGACGCAGTGCATGATGTTTATCCGCACATTTTAAAGGCTTTGGATGCGTATGCTCAAGATGATTTGCATCGTGATAAGGCAGCTCGTCGTCACGTATTGCAGGCTCTGAAGTCTTTGGAAATTAACCCAGGTATGATAGTCACGAACTAATGTGATAAGCCCCATGCCCCTCAGACATAACATTTTTGACTTCAACGCGTTGGGTCCGTTTGAATACCCTGCTGATATGTCCGAGGTTAATCTCTACTGAGAGAATTCGCAAAGGTAGAGAATACCCTTAAGTCTAGCTAAAACGCCGAACAAGTTGGGCGAATTTTATTGAAATTAAGATTTCCAAGTGATTTCAAAACTACAGTATAAGTGTATGCCACGCCAAGCTGAAAATAACGAAATTTCGGAGTGTTAAGTTTCCGCCTATTGAATGGGAGCGAAAGACATCGAGATTTTGTTAGGTATTCCCATCCATCCAAAGTCTACGATTTTCAAAGGAGACCTTGTGAGGAGACCCTCGGATATAAAACCTGGCGGTTTCACACCGGTGACTCTCCTTACCAGTTACCGTGTTTCCTCGAATAAGCACCCACGGTCTACTAAGCGTCCTAGGGTCAGCGCCAAAATATGAAACATGCGCCCTCTTCCTCTCCCCAATCACTTTCTTTAATAATAGGGATACAAGGAAAACCTGTTTCTATTGCCACTTTATTAATAACTCGGTGTATAAACTGTATAATGTGACTAAGTTACCAAGATGAGAACTTAATAAGCGCCCCCTCGACTAAGCGCCTTCTTTCTTAGACCTAATAAGCACGCATCTTTCTAGCCGAAATTTTAATAAAGGTCCGGCCGTTTTTTCAAGGAAATACGGTATACCTGGCATAAATATGTTTTGGGCCCGACTCAGACTCATTTTAGCCGGACCCGCCCGGCGAGGGTTAAAATGAGCCCTGAGAAGGGCCCAAAACATATTTATGCCCCAGAACATTTTAAAAATCTATTACCATTAGTTTGGAGGGCACTGAGAAAATGAAGACTTCAAAAAATGACAACAAGGCAGAGTATGAATCAAATCACAAGAGCATTTCATGTTGAATGGCTTTTATTTTTGCCCGAATCTGGCTAGGAATTACAATATCCTGTCATTTGAGTTTTTAAATATTATAATAGACATGAAAGCTTATAATGTTCATATGTACAAATGTTATGCTAACAGTTTGGCATTTAATTTGGTTGAAGTGAGTGCGTTCGACTTGAAGCCGCAAAACGTACATGTAATTCGTCGCCGACTATGGAGCTGCTACAGGCGTTATTTACATCAGAAGCCTCTCTAACTTTTGTAGATTTTCTTCCTCTAGCTGAGGAGATTTAGAATTTACAAATTGTTTGTTGTTCGCGTTGTGTTTTCAGCTATGATTTGAGTTTTGAAAATGGCAACGTTATTTCTTTGACAAACGATGCAAGAAAACGGCGGCGCGAACATTGCAATGGCTTCTCAATTTTGAGTCGCTGCGTATGTCATATAACTGTTTGATCCTCTCTTTTCGTTGGTTCATTTCAGAGGGCGCAATAAAATTTTAGTCCGCCAAATTCGCCTTTTTTAGGCCGCAAAATGCGACACAATGCCCAACAAAGTGATAATATCTACCAGTAAATCTCAGTCCTTCTTTTTGGCGATTAGTCGATCAATCAATCCATCAATCAATCAATCAATCAGTCAATCAGCCAATCAATCGATCAATCAATTTGCGCAGTCCTCCGGTGAATGTACTTTGTCGCGAGCGAATGACATGCGCAGTTAAGCAACCTTGTACCCACGGCCTCTTTCTCTTCTGGTCACGGCGAGATTACATTACCAGGGAGATTAAGCAACAAGGACGACGTTGGCTACGAAAACGTCAGTTAAAAAGTGAAGTAGCGCTGCCTAATACTTTATCAGGCTTATTCCATCTGGTTTAATTCGTCAAATGTTGGCAAATTGTTTTAGAGCGAAATTCTAAAGGACTGTATCAAAGTTCAGGAAAAGAAAAGGACAGTAGTTGTCTTCGTTCACGTCCTCGACAAAACATGAAATTAGGCACTTTCACGTCGTAGTCGTGCAACGACGGCTTAGAAATGTAGAAAAATTATAAAAGCATGATGCACGTGCAAAGCTGTTGTTTTGCCAATCTAAACCCATAGCTTTTTTGCCGCTCTCGTTGCGGTCGCCGTTGTCGTTACTTAAGCTCCCTACTATCGAGCAAGATTGTCTTCTTTTCTATCTAACTGTTGTTTGCCTCCAAAACAATATCGATCAGTAGTTTTTTAGTTTTTTTGGGTCAAATCCCGATGCACGGACAAGAGCCAATGTCATGCAAGTTGATTTTACTTTTGCCAGTGTTTACTTGCCTGTTGATGACAGAAGATTTCTTTATTTAATTTATCTTGTAATGTAGTCTATGATGTTGTCATTTCTTGTAGGAATGACTGATTCAACTGACGCTTCTCCTGCTAGAAAACCAAAGTTGGATCTTCTGTCTAAACACGAAGTGATGTTCCCGGATGCTGATCACGAGCCACCAGACATGACCGACTACGCATCAGATGATTCAGGTGATGACTATTCTTCGTCTCTGGAGCAGCAGGATCAGAAGAGCATCTGGGATGAGATTAATACACTGACTCCTCTGGGATCAATCCAAACGTGGCTGTCAAAGCCGAATGTGAATGTTCCAGCCAAGAAAGAAAAGAGGTTTGTCGGTTTCATTTATGTGCGTTAGTGTGAGGTCAAGATGGCTCGATATTTGTTCGCAAGTTCTTTTTTTGCGTTTTTATGGGCGTAAGTATGAGGTCCAGTGATATTCTAACAGAGCATCCCGGCAAGAGATTACTTCAAAGGCGACAGAATATCTATAATGCGAAGGATATTTCATAGTTTGTTTTCCTAGTTTTGATGGTTTCTTCACTTGAAATGACAAGGTTATCTTGTAAGTAAAATAAGCACTCAGAGAAGGCGAGCGTGTAGGTGGATGCAACTTATTATGAGAAACGGAATCGTTTAAAGAATGTTTTTCGACACAAAAATTACATAATTCTGTGTGCCCTTCTTTCTAATGAAACAAGAAAGAATTAAAAGAAATCAATAGGGACCTATTCTTTCGGAAGCCAATGGCCAGGTATCTAAGTAACCGAACACTGAGCTTGGTCAGTTAAGTTTTTTCTATGGCCAAGAAAAACGTGGATAAGTGCATAAGTTCATGGTTACAGGATATTCGTGATTAAGTAGAAGCGAATCTTCTTAAATCTGGTTTAGAGGGTGGTTGCGGTAAAATGTCCTTTTTTGTCTGACTGTAAATTAACCATCTTCTTTTTTGCCCTTATATTTCATTGCTTCGTAAGGTACGATCCTTCTAGTGACAGTCATGGAGAAGGGGTCACTGTACGAGAAATGGACAATCCTAACCATCCAGAAAGGAACGTGATCATTAGCATGAGCGACCTTCATTTGGATAGCATCTGGAGTAAGAATGAAAACGAAAGAATCCAGACTTTTATGAAGGACTTAGTAGAGCTCGCAAAGGTTAGGTAACATATTGATTATAGTACGGATACTGAAGGGATGGTTTTTGTAAGCATCTATCGTAGGCGGATGATACAAGGCTAAATATCGTTTTAAATTTGTTGCCGAACAAATTTTGAACTTTTGATGTGGTAGCCTTTTGAATGGGTAGTTCAGGGTACTAGCGTTTGGCGCAACTATTTTTGGGATCTTTTTGGCGTTTGGCTGGACAAGCGTTACTTATGATTGGTTAATGGTTGCCTTGAATACCTTCGATCAATCATAACTACTTCTTGTGCACCCACACTTCCCAGAAATCACTGCGCCTAAGGCTTGTACCCATTCCCACTAGAGTTTCCGACGTGAGGGAATAGTGACAAATTGCGCCTTCAAAGAAGTTATCTCACCTTAACAGCCTTAACACCGCAACTGAGAGCAAAATCCACAATTTTCACCCGCTAAGCGAGACGACGAGCATGTCCGTCTCTGTCTTATAAGGCTCCCCCCGGAGGAAGGGCTGCGACATTTGTTCAACCGTGTTTCATTGTCTTAATCTTAGTCTACGTCGCAGATGAAATCTAACTTCGGTTAGTGACCTCACTCTCCCGAGCAGCGCCGATATCCTTGTTCTGGACCCCCAAGGGACTCAACGAATTATACCGGAAGTGCGTTTTGAATTTTCCTTTCAACCTGATTGGCAAATCGACAATGGCTTTTTTAACAGGCCAATCATGGCGCATACTCAAATCCTGGTATAGAGGTGGGAGCCTGGAAAAAGGATTTCGGCGCTGTTTCGCAGACGTACTTAACAAGAGTTTAGTTCTATCTGTGGCGCCGGCTACCTTAATCTGTGGAGAAATAAATGTTACCTTTCTTGATTCGATTCCACGAGTTTCCAAGAAAAACTTTAAGTTATGACAAGAGATATTATTTTTCATTCAAAATAGTTAGCAGTTTTTTTATTGGCATCAACTCCCCGGCTTATTGTTCATTACCAGCCATCGTTTACCTTATTTGGAAGATGTAGGCAATATGCAATCAAAATATTGCCCCAATCTAAAATCGCAAACTCCTTTCCGGGTAGCTGAGTGGCAGCCTAGCTATCATTGTGCGTGAGTGAACTGAAAAAATAATGGCGAAAGAGTTCAAGTTATCGAAAGAAGGAAATAGTCGAATTACTGACAAAAACTGAAACGCAAAAAATATTGCCCGATGGGTGTTATCTACTTTTTGACGAGCACCTGCAAAAAAAATATACCCTGAAACTGTGCAGAGACTCAGGCAAATGTTTTGAAGGAAGTCTACGAGTTGGTAAGGTTGTTGAGAACTTAGAAATATTTTGAATGTATATGCAGATCTTGGGACTGTTATCCATACAACATGCTCCGAGATATGCATAATTCTTCACATCAAAATCGGCCTGATTCAGTAATTGTTAATTATTCAATGTTTGTTTTTGACAGACAAGTCTTCACACATTAGTACTGCTTGGAGACACTCTGGAGATGTGGCTGGATAGAGTTGATGTAAAACCCAAAACAATCAAGGAACGGATCAAAGATTGGCAATCCAACGAAACCTGCAGCCTACTTTTTCAGAGCGTTCGTAAAATGACTCAAGAAGATGGAGTCAAAGTGTTTTACCTCCGAGGAAATCATGACCACGAGATGGACGCCAAGACGGTTAAAACACTGATGGGAGACGGAGTGGAATTCATAGAGGGGTCCCTCATTTATGTCATCAAAAGCGACGATGGACAGACGTACAGAATCCGCTTTGCGCATGGTCATGACTGGGATATTTTTAACACCTACTCCCTTTCTCAGCCAGATGACCCATTGGGTGGTAGACCGATCGGATATTACGTTACAAGGGCGGTGGCTACAGCGGACAAACACGAGAATGAAACGGAAGAAGTATGCAACATTTGAGTAGCATTCTACGGCCAACCTCGCCCCCAGGGTTTTTTAAAACCCTTGTTTTTTTAAAACAACCTGCATTAATGAATCCGAACGTCCCCGCTCGATCTCTTACTGTCACTGAGAGGTTCTTGTTTGGTAGCCTGTACCAAGCTCTCAGATAGTAGAGACTAGGGATATCGCAAAAATAAAACAAGCCAAGTGAAATCAGACGTACCCGATCTGGGGAAGGGGGCGGTTCCCTCTCTCTCCCCAGCCCCCGCACGTTTTTGCACTCGTTTTTGAACAGCACGACTGCACTGCACTACTATCGTGGAGCCTCGAAAAAGCTACTTCTGTGGCTAGGTTTAAACTAGAGGAGATTTTTCAGGATCCGGAACGATTAGGTACCGAACAATTGAACAATTTGCCTTTTGCACGCACATGGGTTAACCCAAATAAGAAAAATAAAAAGAAATACGTACCTGTTTGGTCGTGTGACCAAGGATTTTGAATCGCGAATCTAAAAGCCCCATTCACACCAACAGCTTTTAAACATGTTTTTAGATAAAAACATGTTTAAATGCCTATAACGAGGTTTCGTTATATCGAGGTCCTTTTCCATATATTTTACTATCAATGGGGAAATGAAAATCGTTCGTTATACCGAAAACTTCGTTACATAGAGGTTCGTTATATCGAGGCTCCACTGTAGTGAGAAGTCAGTCTGAACAGGCTCTGGAATACTATTATTCTTCTCTTGTTAAGTAAACTATTTCCTATGTACCCGGTCCTTACATAAAATTTCAGCCTGGATGTTGTTGATCCACAATATCTTTTATGCATGTCTTTGTTTTAAAGTTTTCTTTTCGCAATATAATAATTGCGGTATTTTTATTTCATTTTCAATTGCCAGATCATTATGAACATCACAGCAGAGTTACTTAGTAGCATCTGTTGTCACATCACGGAATCTTTTGTTACGGAAATTTTGGCCTGTTCCTTTGCACAGAAAAAGTTTACTAAGTCACTCATTGAAAGAGCTTTGGGTCAACCTATTTCAGAAGATGCCTACATTCATCTAGATGATGGAACGGTTATCAAGATGAAGCATGTGTTTGATTATCCTTACTTTAAGCGTGCCATTACCAAGGTAACATTATCTCCACCATATATAGCGAACCTTTTTAGCCTACTTTTGATTGGCCTACTGTTGGTGTTGATTTGTTTATTCCCTTTACGGCATATTCCCAGGTCTTCGCGTTCTGAGTTTGTGCTTTTCATTTGGTTTAAGAGGGGCTAACAAAATTAGCCTTCCTCAGGGCCAGAGCTAACCTGAAAAAATAAATCAGCTCTTTCCCGTCTTGCCAGCCTTGTATTCAGTTTTTTTAAGCATATATTTGTTCTATGAGAGAAATTTACTCGTTTTTGTTTTAGTGGCAAACGAACCACCGAAAACATAGTTCTTTTTTGTAAACGTGACTTATAACTGACCATTTAACTTTGGTTGGCCCTGGTTGACATGTTGACATTATTATTATTATTATTATTATTATTATTATTATTAATTCTCTTTGAAGTCGTGCTCTTTCCTCTTACTTTCCTCTTATGGAGCCAAGTTTATTCCATGAACTTAGGGCAGTCATAAGTCTCGTGGATTACTTGATGGATAGTGACATCCTGAGTATGTGAACAGTCCCAAGGAGGACAATCTTCTGAAGCTCTGTTATTCTGATGATTCCTGGGTCGATCGTGCTGATGTAGTTTTCAGTCTCTAGCTTCTTCTTGACAAGCCGGAGAGCACCAATAACTACTAGGAAGGTTGTTGGTTTTAGTTTCCATGTTTTCTCAATTTCTATTTCGAGATCCTTGTACTTCGAAAGTTTCCACTGGTTTTTTAAAAGGAGGTATTTTTTTCATTGGGGATAGGCATTGAGCAGGTATCATTATTATCATTTATTTTCTCATTAAACAGTTTGGTTCCAGCAAGACTTTCAGCCTGCTCAAGGGCTCCATGGGAAGATTTAATGATTTTCTGTCGCGTTGTCAAGAGGATGTTATCGTCCTTGCCCACACTCATACCTGGAAAGAGGATGAAATTAAGGGCACCAAGAATGGAGACTCCATTTACGTCAACACAGGAACCTGGATAGATTTTGCGCACGATGTAAGTACACTCACTCCCTCTCTGTGTTCACTCGACAGGAAAAAGGTTTGATTTGTGCCGCTCTCCCGAGTCCTTCCCAAGAGAGGGGGGTAAGTGCGGGCTCATTTTCGGAACAGCGGTTGGTAATCTGGCCTAACTTTTCATCACTGAAATCCACTGAAATTGATCAAATGTAATACCCACAGACTGTGAGCTCCCAGGCGACTGTCCACCAGCCACGTAGCTTCACGGCCCTTTACACATATGCATATAGCAGTCAAAGACAAAAAAGCGAGGCTACTTCAGAATTTTGATTTCGAATTTTGAGTAATCTTAGTCAACATTTTGGGTGAGGTCAATTGTTCTGGTGCTGTTTACGCTAAAACATTTACAGGGGCGTAGCCAGAAATTTTCAAGAGGTACGCAAAATTTTCCAAATCCCTCTAGCCCCCTCTCACAGTTACAATAACGTAGTCATGCTTTACATATTTACCTTGCTGCTATTTACACGCTTTTTTGCGCGTTTCTTCACTGTCATTCGGGTGTTAAAAGGAAAAAGTCCGTTGTTTTAGTAAAATATATTTCGACGAAACAAATAGAGTTAGAAGAATTGAGGAATATTGTCCTTTTAAAAATTTATTTACATTTTCAGATAATTGACATTTTTATTTCATATTATTATGTTTTTTATTCTCGACTTTTTTAGGTACGCACGTGCGTAACGTGTGTACAGGACGCTACGTACGCCTCTGATTTCACAGTTACACTTCTGTTAAACCGATATTTATGGTGCATAATTACATGGCTTTTAAATTCTCTTGCAGTTTTCCTTCGCCCGCATTGTTCCCCCGACGAAGGCTAAACCGGGCTTGGTTGAAGTCAGGCGACATCATTTAAATCCAACTGGAGGAGTTGATTAAATATGGGATAAAATGCCCTGTAGTGAGGTGTTCGTTAGGCTGTTGAAAGCAAATAGAGACCTGTAGATTCTAAGTTAGATGGGGACGACTACCCGGGAAGATACTTTCTCTTTAGGTAAAAGTAGTGTGCGTGCGTGAACCTGCAGCGTTATTTTGGCGGGAAAAGGTTCCTAAACCGTCATACTCTTATTCTTAAACTACACTGGCAAAACGAACAGTTTTACAATAGACTGGTTACAGTCCCATATTTTTTTGTAATATCGTCGAGATCGAGCGCTTACTATGGGTGGCCCAGGCTAGACTCAGTACATTTGAAACCAAGGGGGCCGCTCTGTGACCGATTTTAAGCAAAAATAGGGGACTGTGAACAGACTAGATTTACAAAGTCTTTCTGTCATGAATTTGGGGACCAAACAAACTTTTGAATGTTGTTGACGAACCACAGCGCGAGTACTCAGAGTTTTTCAAAGCTAGGTTTCTTCATTGCTGTGTTGATTAACCATGAAGAGAAAAATCACGATTACCGTAACTTGACTTAAGTCACGATATAATTCGCGCGAAAGCAAGATTCTGGTGATACCGAGAGCTGCGAAACCCGTGCGACCACGAGATGAATTTAGTGACCTTACATCGTGGCCTTAAGTTACAATCTCAGTTTCTTTGAAAAAGTTCTCAGCGGCAACTCCCGTTGGATGTTTTTTTTCTTAATTAAACGTGTGTGTTTTCCAATAATAATCTATTGTCGGCTTAGTTTTATCCCCAAAATTCTAGTGAGACAGCTTGAATCATTTAGAACTGCGAGTGTGTCTGAACTGCGTGAGATTGATTCATCATTTAATACACTGGTAGGTTAGCTTTGATTGGAGTTTAATTCAGTTACTTTTATCGGTTTGCGGGCTTTATTGGTAGAGCAGTCCGTCACGGTATTAGCTGCCATTTATAGGTTTTTAGTTCGTCTTTGAAAATCGGCAGTACTTTTAATAGTACAAATTTGTCAACTAGGATTACAAGTGTGAAACTCGGATTTACTTTACTAGCAATTTGTGTACAAGTGTAAGTTGTGCACTGATGACACCAAGTGTGATCCGTAATGCTCAAACATTCGATTAAACTTCTTAATAAACTTTTTCTCTCCCAAACTGAGTTATGAAGAGTTCTTTCATCATTTTAACTTTGGTGTCTGTGGATAAAATCCTACGGTGTTACCATTCAAATGAAATTTCTCTGGTAGAACATTAGCGCAGTGCTATTTAAATATTAGAATTTCACAAGAAGAAATTTGGAATTTTTATGTTTTTTCTTGGTGGTGTGGGGGGAATTATTAGAAGTTAAGGGGTTAATAAGTCGCAGAGGGAAGGTGCAAGTGTCCTCGTTCAACAGCCCGTGTTGAAATTATAATAGTAAAAATTGCATCCACTGCCAAATCTTTCCACAACGGCCACCATGGGAACAACAGTATCACGGTGGCCGAGGTTAAAAGATGAGAATGATGCATTCTCTGCAACATAAACGAGGCCGTTATGAAGAGGTGTCGGGAGATGTAAAAAGTTGGCCTTCAGTAGAAGTTTGATTGGTGGAATTTTTAAGATCAGTAGGACTGTCCATCAGTATAAAGAGGTGTCCACACAGTTTGGCCGGTGTCCGTACAGTTTATTAGTGTCCTTTTCCGGGAATATAATACTGGAGGTGCCCCAACGTGAAGAACGTTACCAGCGACAGTAACGACACTGTTACGACGGGATTGACTGTAGCCCGCTCGACCACTTTGACAATTTCAAGAGAGGATAAAGGGGCTAAGAGAATTAATCCCCCATATGGGCTCTCTACCAATTAATCTCTCTAAGGTTATTTTTGAAACGTTCTGTTTTCCCGCGGATAATATTTCCTCGCGTGTTGCGTGGAAGTTTCGTGGAGAAATAAAAGTGCAAAAGCATGTCGAGAGGACGGGAGAGCGAGAGTTGCGATGAATGGGAAACAAGAGAGGATAAAGAGGGTTTATCCGCTCTTAATGGTAAATGATAATCGTTTTTTGAGACTTTTTTTCTTTATTTGAGCATGTATCAAAGTCGCCATGAGCATCGAGAAACAGAAAATGGTCAGAAGTTAAGTTAGAAATAAAGCGTTGACAGGCTAAACCACAGGTGACCCAGGCTCTGTGATAGTACCACAGTACGGTTCCAGTAAAATTACAGTGTTTGTATGGGGTAAAAATATCATCCTAAAATTTCTAGGAAATACTAAATAAAGATCAATAAAACTTACTCTGCAGTTAATTGTTGTTGTCGTTATTGCTCCAACGAAGTTTCGTGATAATTTGCAGTAATTTGTTTAAATTCACTCTATCTACAACAATAATATACAAGGTAGGAAACACGAGGTGCCATTTTCGCCGACATGTTCTCATTCAACACAACTTTTTCCACGAAATTCGAACTCCAACGGAAAATAGACACTCCATTATCGTAGAAATAGGATAGCAGCAGATATAGAAGCCAATGAAGCTTTCCCAGATAGAGAAACGAATCCCACAGACTTTGACAAACTCGAAGAATATAATCCAAACAGACCGAGAATATGCTCGCCGAAGCAGCCGGGCCAGATCAACACGCGGCCAAGAAAATGAGGCCAGGGCACTGTACAAAAAAAAATCATCCCGGGAGTCCTGAGGTGACCTTTCTGGGCACCGATAGATCATTTGCCCAAAGCCACCCTACCCTGCTGAAAAATACTTAATAGAAGGCAATTGTTCTTCCTAGCCGTACCACCCTGGCTTGTTATAAAGAGATTATGTCCCTCTCGAACTATATTCAGCGCCTAGTGCTGGTCTTCAGAAAGTTTATCAAACATTAATAGGGCAAGGTTATAAAGGCAAAGGAAAGAACAACGAAGGAGGATTTACAAAACTTAAAACGAGCAAAAGATATAAGTGAATTTTAGCTCTTACCGAGGAATTTGTACAACAGGACCAAATTCAAAGAGAGGTGTATCACGATGATTCACATATTTAACCGATAGAGCGTTCACTTGTATTGACAAGAAGTCGGCGTGTTACTGCACAGGTAACCCAGGCTCTGTGATAGTACCACAGTACGGTTCCAGTAAAATTACAGTGTTTGTATGGGGTAAAAATATCATCCTAAAATTTCTAGGAAATACTAAATAAAGATCAATGAAAATTACAGTGTTTGTATGGGGTAAAAATATCATCCTAAAATTTCTAGGAAATACTAAATAAAGATCAATGAAACTTACTCTGCAGTTAATTGTTGTTGTCCTTATTGCTCCAACGAAGTTTCGTGATAATTTGCAGTAATTTGTTCAAATTCACTCTATCTACAATAATAATATACAAGGTAGGAAACACGAGGTGCCATTTTCGCCCACATGCTTTCATTCAACACAACTTTTTCCACGAAATTCGAACTCCAACGGAAAATAAACATGCCAGGATCGGAGAAATAGGATAGCAGCAGATATAGAAACCAATGAAGCTTTCCCACTGTTCCCAGATAGAGAAACGAATCCCACAGACTTGGACATACTCGAAGAATATAATCCAAACAGACCGAGAATATGCTCGCCGAAGCAGCCGGGCCAGATCAACGCGCGGCCAAGAAAATGAAGCCTGGGCACTGTACAAAAAAATTCCATCCCGGGGGTCCTGGGGGGACCTTTCTAGGGACCGATACATCATTTGCCCAAGGCCACCCTCCCCGGCTGGAAAAATACTTGATAGAAGGCAATTGTTCTTCCTAGCCAATCACTATGGCCTGTTATAAAGAGATTATTTTCCTCTCGAACTATATTCAGCTCCTGGCGCTGGTCCTCAGAAAGTTTATCAAACATCAATAGGGCAAGGTTATAAGGGCAAAGGAAAGAACAACGAAGGACGATTACAAAACTTAAAACGAGCAAAAGATGTAAGTGAATTTTGGCTCTTACCGAGGCATTTGTACAATAGGACCAAATTCAAAGAGAGGTGTATCACGATGATTCACATATTTAACCGATAGAGTTCACTTGTATTGACAAGAAGTCGGCGTGTTACTGCCGCATTAATCGCTAAATATGTTAATCGCGCTAGTTCTTTGTTTACTAGTGCACGTGCCTTTCACATTCGTCTCAGTTATCGCAATTCATATTCTGTTGCAATTTTCTGTATAATTTTTGACATTAGTTTGTAAACTTCACCGTTTATTTACGATAGTTTCGCTCGAGAGTTCACAGCAACAGTATCTCAGTCATCATCTACCTTTTGTTCAACCTTGTTTTTAGCCCGCCTTGTAAGTATTTCGCGTTGTTATTTCATTAGTTTCATTACTGTTATTTGCATTCCTTAGTAAAAGAAATGGGGCGCCTTGTAACTCCGCGGGCTCTCCTGATTATTTTAATTTTTTTTTAGCCATTTAAATTTAGGCGCGTGTACGGGGTTTGCTCTGGCAAATAGTGATTGGCTAGGAAGAACAATTGCCTTCTATCAAGTATTTTTCCAGCCGGGGAGGGTGGCCTTGGGCAATTGATGTATCGGTCCCTAGAAAGGTCACCCCAGGACCCCCGAGATGGAATTTTTTTGTACAGTGCCAAGGCCTCATTTTCTTGGCCGCGTGTTGATCTGGCCCGGCTGCTTCGGCGAGCATATTCTCGGTCTGTTTGGATTATATTCTTCGAGTTTGTCAAAGTCTGTGGGATTCGTTTCTCTGTCTGGGAAAGCTTCATTGGTTTCTATATCTCCTGCTATCCTCTTTCTACGATCCTGGAATGTTTATTTTCCGTTGGAGTTCGAATTTCGTGGAAAAAGTTGTGTTGAATGAGAACATGTCGGCGAAAATGGCACTTCGTGTTTCCTACGTTGTATATTATTATTGTAGATAGAGTGAATTTGAACAAATTACTGCAAATTATCACGAAACTTCGTTGGAGCATAAGGACAACAACAATTAACTGCAGAGTAAGTTTTATTGATCTTTATTTAGTATTTCCTAGAAATTTTAGGATGATATTTTTACCCCATACAAACACTGTAATTTTACAGGAACCGTACTGTGGTACTATCACAGAGCCTGGGTTACCTGTGGCTAAACACAACCCGTAAGCTCGTGAGTGTGAAACGTGACCGCCTTAGCTTGTGCTTCAAAACAACAACGGTTTTCGTTTTTTTTTTTCGTCTTAGCTACAGTAGGTTATGCAGTGCATGGAGTATTTTAATTTTTTCTGAGCAAATATCAGCCGTTTGGCCGCTCTAATGACTCTCCGTGGAGTCTTACATTGCCCGGCGTAGTCAATTTATCGAACATTCCGATCCGTAATCAAACCCAATCGAACTCCAATCGTTCGATTGACTACGATTGGGTTCGGTAATCGAACTTAATCGAACTCATCCCAAAATTTTGCCAATCGAACACAATCCAACGTTCGGAAATCGAACACTTAAACCATTGACTCGAACACTGCATGCAACAATCGAACTTGCCTGCGAGCAAGCTATCCTATTTGGGCGAGCGAGGCGAGTCTCTCGCCAACGCACGAGCGAGCAGCGAGGCCGCGAGGGGCAGAGGAATGGGGCCCTTTTTGCGAAAGCCCCGATAATTAACGGGCCCGTAAAGCCGTTGTTGTTTACATGCAAGATAGAGGTTTCAATAGTTTTGCATCTAACATGATAAAAGTATCAGTTAGTGAAACAGAATGGAGTAGTTTGCTGGCCAGGTCCCGTGCCCTTAGTCACCAATGGATCCAATGCTAATACAGCAGGAATCACGCACGATAACGAATAGAATGCAGTTCAAAACTATTCAAGTAGAACTGCGAGGTGTTGCAAAATTATGCATTTGCGCTGCCCTGACTAAATTTTAAAAAAGTGACGATTTCCTGTTTTGGACGTGATCAAAGTGTATTACAATGGTTGCCGTTTTCACGAGGGGAAATTAGTATTTGTAATCAAATGGTGACGAGTGAAATTAGGGAATAATTTCACGCGCGTTTTGTCCAAATCCTAATAATTTGAAATTTCAGGCTTTTGCGTGACGCGGCATTTAGCCGGGAGTGAGTGGAGTTAGCTGGCGGCCGGGAAAGCTCTTATGTGGGTTAAAAACGTTTCAGATTTTTTGAGATTTTGCTATCTAAACATTCCTTGTCTTAGAATAAATATTACTTTAATCTTTATTAGTTCCTCAAGCGATGAATTCACGCATAAGTAGGAAAAGTCAAAAACAGATGTTTCTATTGGTTTCCGGGGGCCATATTT